AACTGTTAATGAATTAATTTTCAGCCATAATTTTCCTGTTGATTGCTGCACGTTTTTTACAGGTATATCACTAATTTTCGTCGTAGCACTTTCGTTGTATTGTTCTCAGAAATACGCCATAAAATTTGCGCTTTTGTGAAACATCGAAACACTACAGGGTGATCGATTACACAAAAATCGACCCCCCCTCTAGCGGGCCGTAGTCATGTCCGATCGTGACGATTTAGGTATCTATCGAAAGCTCTCAAAAAGGCGAGAAAACAGGCATTTTCGTTTCTTAAGATAGGCATTTTTATCTAAAAAAAAAACTCCATGAAAATGGCGTGTTTTCTGGCCTTCGATAGAACTAAAGAGGGACCGCTAAAGAGGGTCGATTTTTTTGGGACACCCTGTATGAAAATGCGAAAATCGGGTGATCGTGAAAACTCATTTAAGTTTTATCATCTAGAAAGGTGGTAAGACTTTACTTTGCCCCCCCCACCCGTAAGTTCCCAAACGTTTTTCGCTATAAAATTTTTTAATATTGCTTTTTTGGGCTGTAATTACGACTCTTAGTATAGTTTTTTTAGTGCTTCATCGCATGGCATAGCCAAAATCCCGACAAAGCGGAAATTCGAAACATTTCGGGAAATTTCGGCTGGGCGGGGTAAAGTGAAGTCTAGCAAAAATGTGACTGTTCGTATCTATTTTGGCTTTTGGGTTTACTTTAGCGAAACATCCTTTTGCTGAGAACTGCAGTCAAATGGCTCCGCGGAGCCGTAAAAAAAGTGTGTTTCTGTTCATGGTTGTTATAATTCGCCTCAGCATGCACAGCGTTTCTTCCTGGAAAATAGCCAGATGCGACCGCAACGCGCCCGCATCGCAGGCTCCTTGGTCCCAGTTTCGACGTGAAACCACTTGAATTTTAAGGGGTACGGTCATTACTTCTAAAATCATTACTTCTAAAATCATTACTTCTAAAATCATTACTTCTAAAAGTCATTACTTCTAAAAGTCATTACTTCTAAAAGTCATTACTTCTAAAAGTCATTACTTCTAAAAATCATTACTTCTAAAAGTCATTACTTCTAAAAGTCATTACTTCTAAAAGTCATTACTTCTAAAAATCATTACTTCTAAAAGTCATTACTTCTAAAAGTCATTACTTCTAAAAGTCATTACTTCTAAAAATCATTACTTCTAAAAGTCATTACTTCTAAAAGTCATTACTTCTAAAAGTCATTACTTCTAAAAGTCATTACTTCTAAAAGTCATTACTTCTAAAAATCATTACTTCTAAAAGTCATTACTTCTAAAAGTCATTACTTCTAAAATCATTACTTCTAAAATCATTACTTCTAAAATCATTACTTCTAAAAGTCATTACTTCTAAAAGTCATTACTTCTAAAAGTCATTACTTCTAAAAATCATTACTTCTAAAAACGTTACTTCTAAAATTTGGTATGCCGGATTACCAGTTTTTCGGCATATTTATGCCCAAAAATACGCTTAGAATTTTAGAAGTAACGACTTTTAGAAGTAATGATTTTAGAAGTAATGACTTTTAGAAGTAATGACTTTTAGAAGTAATGATTTTGGAAGTAATGACTTTTAGAAGTAATGACTTTTAGAAGTAATGATTTTAGAAGTAATGATTTTAGAAGTAATGATTTTAGAAGTAATGATGGGTAGCCGAATTTTAAAATTCTAGGGTATTTCTGGAATCGTCATGCGATTCCGATCATTCTAACTGTTTCAAATTTAAGCAATGACCCCGGAAAGAGCTCTTTGAATTGGGTTCTTTACAGCGCATTACGACATGTAAAGCCCGCCCGTCCAAACCCAAAACATTTCCATTTTTCTCAAAATTTCGCGTTTCTTCGCGGGAAAGAATTTTCGGATACCCGTAGAGTGTAGCCCTAGAGTGCGGCTTATTCAAATCAAATCGCGACTCAAACCGGTTTGATTTGAATAAGGGCGGTTTGAATAAGAATCTGCTTTTCAAATCAAACCGGTTTGGTTTGAATAAGGATCCGTTATTCAAACCAAACCGACCAGGTTTGAGTTGGTTTGAATTGGTTTGAACAACAGGCAAATCAGCATGTTAATCGATCCGATGGATGCTAATCGGCTAAGTTTTCGAGGCATCCCTTCTAAAACCTTGTGCGATCAATATAATGATGAAATTGGCATCATTTACGGGGTTTACGCACTTTTTCAACGATAGGCTTGGTATTCACAACCTTTCACAAGCATCCAAATGGTCGGGATAACCTTGGCAGCGCTGAAAGAAAAAGGTCTCGAAATGATCCGCTAACCCCAAAAACCTAACAGGAATGCTGCTGAATCACCCTAAAGTGAAGTCACAAAAGGATTGGTGCCAAAACGCAAAAATGGTGCCGAAAACCGACTGTTTCGGAGACTGGTTCTTATTCAAACCTTGTTCAAATTATTCAAACCGGTTTGGTTTGGTTTGAGTTGGGAATCCTTATTCAAACCGGGTTTGGTTTGAATAAGGATCCCGTATTCAAATCAAACCGGTTTGATTTGAATAACGGAAATCTTATTCAAACCCGGTTTGAATAAGCCGCACTCTAGTGTAGCCCTTCAAGTTTTGCAGCTAATGTTTGAGTCCCAAGCAAACGAATTTTGACTTCTTAGCCCCTTTAAGGTGCCGAGACGGCTTGTTCAAGAGATTATTTCCTTCAAAATGCAAGTTAATGGGTAAGCGGAGTTCGGACGCCGGCGTATTATTTTTATTCTCACAAAGGCAACTCCAATTTTTCATGAAACATCAAAATTCCCATGCTATGTACAAAGTGAGTATTGAAAAGGTCTGCAAGCTTTCTACCATATAATTATTCACAAATTTATTTATTTATTTAGTATGTTTTCTCTTTTTCCATAGATTTCTCCTTCATCAAGGTTGCTCCAATTAATAACCGTCTGATTTTCCACATGTTTCATCATTCCATCTATAAAAAGTGTGAAACAACTTTTTACTGAATAACCGGTGTTCCATCAGAATTTTCTTTCAAGTCTTCGCTGGCTTGCCTTCGCCCGCTTGCTTGTTTTCCATTTTATTGTAATCTTCCCCCATTGTTTTTTCTATATCGAAATTTAGAGAATGTCATCATTAATGATGGCGCTCGACAATCAGGATCGACAGGCCACCGCCCGGATCCTGTCGACGATGCCGGTGAATATTTTAATGTTTCAGAAAATTTAAAATTGGCTGGGGAAATGATGGCATTAATAACGTTCTCTCTTTTTGGGCGCAAAACAATTTAAGATGAAAATCGGATACGTTGGTGCAAATCGGATAGAGCGGAATTTATGTTTCAAAAAAAAAAAACTAGATTTCATTCCAATGCATATATTGCTAGTAAATAGACAGTTTCTTCTTGGGACTAGCGGGGCAATTTTGAAAAAAAAAAAATGAAAATTCGGAAGCAAGCGGATGAAAACGGCTTAATATTTCAGAAAGTTTTAAATGCCGTGCAAATGTTTTGCAGCTAGTATCACAATGATTCGTAGCAAACCAACTAAAGATCAAAATCGGATCTATTGGGTTAGTGCGAATAACCGAATTGGTGTTTCAAAAAATCTGGAATCCTTTCCAATAGTTATATTTCTAGTATATAGCTTGTTGCGGCTAAAAAACCGAATAATGTTCAGATCAAAACTGGATATTTTATTCGTATTTCGATTCTACGATCGGGTGTTGTCGGCTCAATTTTGCAAAAATTTTTTTAAGTCCTTTTGGAAGTTATGAACTCGCAACTCATGCCGGCGTAAAACCAAATAACGATCAAAATCGGCTCTACTGCGTTTTTGAATCAGTTAGAGCCGAATTGATGTTTCAAAAAATCTAAAATCCGTTCCAAAAGCGATATTGTTAGTTTATACCTGACAACCTGAAAAATGGATTAGTTTATAGTATTTCGATTTACCATTGGGTCTAGTCGACTCAATTTAGCCCAAAATTCTGCCCACAAAATTTTTTTTAAATGCTTTCGGAAATTATGGAGCTAATAGCGCCATTCTTGATTAGGATCTAACCAAATAAAGATCAAAATAGTATGTAATTCGATTATCCGATTGGGCAGAAGCAGGTTGGTGTTTCAGAAAATTTCAAATAGGCTTGAAAAGATATTAGGCTAGTATGCGAACCAGAAGTCTGGCTAATATCAATGAGACCTGTTTCGATTATTCTAATTACTAGAAGCAGATTAACGTTCCAGAAAATCTTAGTTTTTTTCAAAGCCAGGACCCCGATGATTTCGACCCCCAATAACCGGGCAATGAACCAAATGGGGCATTTTGCCTATTCGATGCGGCGGAAATCGAATCAATGTTTCAAAATTTTTTAAAAATGCTGTCGAAATTCATGAAGCTAGTAGCAAAATATGCCGGCCCCAAAAACCAAGTAAAGGTCAAATTCGGATCTATTGCGTTGCTCCGAATCGCGTAGACAGGAACGATGTTTCAAAAAAATCACAAAACTAAATAGCGGGTTATAACGCTAGTAATAGCTTCGCAACAAATTCCTTCAATTTAATTAGATTTTAAAAATTTCAACAAAGATCATCCAAACGTTAAAATGAACCTGACTGCAACCCCGACGGATGAATTGTAAAAATTGAAACATTTATTACCGTTAGGCTTTGTGGCTCTGCTCCATTAGCGGGGGGGTGTAAAATATCTTGATGGAATTTTACGCTTTTTTTAGATATAGAAAGCGTCTCAAAAATTGTGAAAGTCTACAAAAATAGTGACAGTTTTGATAAAAATGACTGGTAAATAGTAAAAAACACCAAAAAAAAATTTTTTAAGTGTTGTTATAACGTTTCGGGCATCGGCAACGGCACAAAATGCTATAAAAAATCTATCTTTTTATTACGGTAGATCAATCAATTGCGCCCCCTCCCCCGCCAAGAGAATAGAACCGAGATTTTAGAGCGAAGTCTCGATCCGCGATGGCGAAGAGCGAGTGGCACTCCATTTTGCGGCCGAGACGATGGATATCGAGACATTTGCATCAATCTACGAGCAAGACCCATCACTTGTCGACTCACAAGATGCCTATGGGTACGGTGGAATGGATGTGTTTTAAAACTATGTCGTCCAAAAATGGCTAGCGCATTTAAAAGGATTTTTGGGGGCACAATACAGCATATTAACCAGGCAATGATTGCAAATTAGTGCCCGATTTCTGAAACATCTCTCACAACTTTTTTAATTTTAAAAGAAGTTTGTCTGGTCTAGCAATGACTAATAACGTAACGCAAGTGTTTTGATAATTTTTCTAATAAATTTAACGATATTTCAGCGGAAAAACTATCCTAAAAACTTTCACCTTTTTTTACAAATTCGAAATTTTTTTGTAAGTCGGTCATTTTTTGGACGAAAAATGTTATCAATACGGTTTTTAATAAACCCATCTAAAGTTTCTACGTTTAGAAATAGTAGCATAATAGCTTAAAAACACATCTACCATCGATTTTATTGGTTAAAAGGAACAAAAAGGAAAATTTGGATGCCGCCCTTTTAAAAAATCACGACTTGCCTTGACCGCGCCGTTAACGGGACTGAGAAATGGCCGAATCAACACCCGAAATACATTCGGTATCGACGGTTTCTAATGCGTTCAAAGTAGCTCAAAATTCCAAGGTAATCGCAAGAAGAATCTACCTGCTCAGAACCGACACCAAATCAAATTGAAGCGCTGCCTTTTTGCTGCCTGGGTCACTTTTCTGAAACATTTAATTTAATGCGGCCAGAATTGTCCGAATCTATGAAAACCTCTGAAGCTTCATTAAAGCACTTCATTACTTCTTTGAAATGTAAAAGTCGGTCCGACCGCGCATAGATGCCAACTTCGCCAGGAAAAACTTCCAAAAAGAGTTGTTTTTTATGTAAAATCGCGAAATTCGCAAAACCATTTTGACATCGTACGTTTATGGGACTTGCAAAATGAATGTTATTTCTCAAAGCAGAATCGCAACTTTCGACTTCGGGCGATTAATCTGTTCTGTGTTCAGATCGATCTGTTCGCTCCATAAACATCTATAAATGTTTAAAAAAAATTTTAATTGCCAATTTAATTGGTACCGTTCCATCTATCAGCTTGCTCGCCAGATAACACTTGTTTAGAAAGCGTGTAGAACCAAGAAAAAGAACAATTTTGAAAAAGACAAAGATTCAGGACTGCTACATTACCACGCAGTATTTATACCAGAGCTGAAATTTAGGTGAAACATTCAAAAAATTCGCTCGCTGGCCAACGTCCTTGAAAAAGATTGCATATTTTTTAGATGCTTAAACTAACTAAATTTGATGTAAAATAAGAATTAAATCAGTTTAAACTTCCAGATATACCCCTTTGATGATCGCCGTGATGTCGGGACGGACCGAAGTGGCCGATTTCTTGATTGCAAAGGGTAAGAGAAGAATGTTTTTGAAGAACCAGTCCTTCAGCCGATATACAGGAAATGCAATTCTAGAGCAATTTTGGCTGGCACTCGATCCTTTTTCAGTCAGAAAGCAGAAAATTATTTTCCAAAAACTATTAAAAAAATTTTTGTTGAAATTCACCGGTGTAAATTAAATATTAAATGCAGAAAAATAGCTTAATTTGTTGTTCCCTTTTAATAAAACTGCATCGAGCGTCCAACAATTTTGATAGTTTTGAAACCTATTTTCTTCAGGTTCGAACTTGAGCCATGTCGACAAGGACGGGCACAACGTCGTCCACTGGGCTGTAGTTTGTGGCCAGGTACGGCAATTCTTTTGTTATATATATTTTTTTATCATGTATCTCACATTGCTTCTGCATTTTTGTTAAAGTTTCCAGCGTTAACGTTCGCACAATTAGAACTAGCAAAAAAAAGTTTCTAGGATTCAGGCTTTGAAACATATATTTTTGGTAACCATTTTTAATGAAAAATCGTTCCGGGATCATACCGAGGCCGAAAATGCCTAACGCCAGGTCAATTTCAATAGCCAGAGCATCTTTAAAAATAAAAAGGTATCAAACTATTTCATTTCCAGCTGGAAACGCTTACTCTGGTTTTGGAACGAGGCGCCGATCCGGCCGTGCCGGATTTGATGGTATGTTTCAAACATGGTGCTGTGGATTTTTTAATGGGTTATTTAATGACATATTCAATGTGCGGGCTAATGTAACAGTGGTTTTTATCTGTTTCAACCTCCGGTTTTTGATATTGTAATTAGAACCTGTTGGACCGTTTTTACCAGCATAATTATTTAACTTTTTGGCAACCAGCTTCGGTATTTTTTAAAACTGTTTACTTTATCAAACTTTTTAAAACGGTGTTTCCAATTTCAGGTTTTTTGAATACAAAAATGATAAATTTTTACATGCCCGGACACCTGTACCTGTTATTTTTTTTACTTTTTACGGCGATCTTCCGGATCTAAAACTAATTACGCAGTCTTAGAATTGAAAATTTTGTACTTTTTTGGAAACTGTAGTTTTCAATCTGAATTCTTGGTTTCCAGACTATGGACTTTCATAATGTTAATTTTTCTTGAATATCCCCGCCTAGGGTACTTTAATTAACATTTGTTTTGAAACATGAATATATCTATCCTTTGTAGAAGGCCCACCCGCTCCATTACTCCACGGCAGCCGAAGAGATCCCCAGCGATACCGCGATTGCGATTTTGCATACGCTGTTAAAGTAGGTTTTGTTTATGAATTATGATGGTACCTTTAACGCCAACATCATTAAGGGCCAAATCGCAAAAACAATTATTGTTTTTGGAGATTGGATAATTCCCAATGCTATTTTTTATGTGTCGCCAGGAGTTTAGAATGTATTTAAAGAATATATAGTGACAAGTAACAGTACTGGAGTGATTAAATTTATCCAAAAAGATGCTTAAAATGACAAAAGTCCTTCGCAATTTGTTAACTAGCAAATATCAGAACTGTGAAATAAAATGTTTCACGAAAAAATCTTGTGACTGGCCGCAACAAGGTCATAATAGGGCCATCCCGTCATCTTGCCAATTTCAGTCTTCCACTCCTATATTTTCCAATTTTTTTGTTAAATGATGAAAATAAGTCTCAAATCTCAAGAAAATTAGGTTTCCGTTGCCTTCTAAATAAAATAATTTATTAATTATAATTTTGAATAATAAGAACTATCTAAATGTAAATTATTCTCTGTATCGATAAGAAATAGCCAATGAGCTACCGACAATTTTGGAATCCTTTTACAAAAACCCCTGAAAAATGAAATCACAAATTCGCTCATGAATTAGAACCGTTTTACACCAATTATATAGTGTTTTTTACGAAACATCTGATTTTTAATTGTGCTTTTGCATGGCTGGTTTATAACATAAATTTAGACCGTCTGCTCAATTTAAAGAGATGGTCATCAATAAAAAATTATTTTGGGCGAGCGGTTAAGGGAAAACATACAAAAACGAGAAATGTTTCACGAAAAAATATTGTCACTGCCCGGTAGCAGATACTAATAGTGTTATTATCATCCCAGTTTAGTGTTCACCCTCATATTTTCCTTTTTCCTAGATGAGGAAAGCCTAATGTCCTAAATTAAAAATCGAGTTTAGAAAACTGGGTTTTCGCTGTTCTATTAATTAAGCACGATAATGCTTCGAATTTAAAACAAATTTAAATATCAATTTAATTCAATTAAAAATTTTTTTTGAAAACGATAAAAATTATGTTTTGATCAGAAGAGTTGTTCTAAGCTTATTTGGAGCATCAATTCGAAGCGTTTTTTGGACAAAATAGATCTCAGCATCCAAGAATTCAAATTTTACGGTTTTTGGTGAAATCCTACTATATATAAAAAAATAGTGTCTGTGTGTGTGTGTGTGTGCCACTTTGCCTGCAACTTCCGTCAGCGTGTCCGGAGGATATCTCAAGAGGGGAAGGGATGAAGCGGGCGTATGATACGTCATTAGACGCGTAATGGCCTGTAGATGACTGCACGCATATCAGATTTTTCAAAATCGATTGTTTTCGACATTAAAATTAAGTTTTTCCTTAAAAATCGGACATCCTCTTTGTTAGGAAAAAATTAGCATATGCCGGAAGTAGGAGTAGCCTATATAATCGGGGAGAGGACGCGATTTTCATTTTTTGACATAACAGTGCGGAAGGATTATGCAAAGCGAGGCATATCATAGGGTTGGACGGGGCCAGGGTTGAAAAGTCGCGACGCGGCTTTTCAACCGTGGTATCCAATTATATATTTAAAATGAATAAGATCAATAAAAAAATCAAAAAAATTACCTCTTAAAAAATAATATTTCAGAAAAGGGGCACACGTGAACTGTGTGGACATTGACGAGCGGACGCCGATCCTTTGGGCGGCTAGTAACGGTACGATTTTAAAAATTTAGTTTTAAATTTATTTTAAATTTTAGAGATGTTTAAATTAGCATTTACGCTATCAGTGAAAATTTATTGATCAAGCGAAACAATACGACAAATTAAGGAACCAAAAACAACGTAGCTGTTGAGTTTATATGAAACATTCTTTTTCTTCCGCGAAATTTTTTTTGCCGCTCTGTTAAAACCAAATTTTTAAATTGATTTGATATTACCTTAAAAACCCGGGTACAGTTCCGGTACACTTTGGCGACGTACCAATACAAATGACGCGGTAATAATGTACGTTCCCGCCCTCTCGCTGCAAGAGCTATGTCAGCCAAAAGAAGCGGTTATTAGGAATCCCTATTTCAATTTCTTAAAAAAATTAAACCACTCAAAATACAGGAGTTAGTCGACATGTGAGCGAATCTTCCACCGAAATTGTAAAAATACGTTTCGTGAACGGAATTATTTGCAAGGAAACGAAAAACGATACACACCGATTTACGGTCAGACGATATTACGAACGCTACGTACTTTTCATCCGGAACTATGTATACTCGGGATCTTAGGGTAAATGAAAATGAATACCGCTAAAATTTGGCTATTCATATGGGACAAAAAACACTGGAAAATCAAGATAATCCTACCTTATATTCTGCATAATACGGACTACTTCACGCACACTAACTTGGAACTTTATTGAAACACAAATTTTTTTTTAAAAACTGTTGTTTTTAGGCAACATCGAGGCGCTGATCTCGTTGACGCAAGCCGGTGGGGATATTCAGGTTGGTTACGGTAGTTTATCGATTGTTATAGATTTTATTTTGTTGCAACGTCGCTCTAACACATTTCAAACTACGAAAATACGGTTTTCAAATGCTGATTTAATCCAAAAAATCAGACTATTATTGTCCGCGCAAGGCGGTTTTGAATCGAAATTGCATGATTTTAAGGGATTGTCATCGACTATAATTTTAGGCAGTGGATCGAGATCGACTGGGCGTTTTGCACTGCGCAGCCAGCCATGGATATCACGAGGTAGTTTACTCAGCCTAACCGATTACGACCCCCTATCCGGTCGAAATCGGCGTGCGCGTTGCGTGCCGCGAATTCCGGAAACATCCAACTGTCGCAATTTTTTGATCACGAGCATAAGGCTGACTTTTTATTTTTGAAGTGGATCGCACTCCAGATTAAAGATATCGGTTCTAAAATTACTGCCATTAATTGTGAACCATTTTTTTTTCTATAGCCTGCTGGGAGAGTCAAGGCTGGAGATTTCTGATGGATTGGGTAATCATTTTCTTTCAACTTCTTGCGGTGAAAGATGCGGAAGAATGTTCTACAGGAAATAGCCATGAAAATCCATAGCCGGTCCTTACCTTAATGCATACCTTTAAAAGCTGGGAGAAAGATGTTTTGGGTTTGAGGGGACGAAATTTCATCTTTTCTGATTAATTACGCTCTCGTACTTCAACGCCCCCGTACCTCCTTTTAAAGAGATGATCAAGGCGTGGGTTATGGATTCTGTTTGGTATGGATACCGTAGGGCACCCGCGACACGCGGCGGGAACTCTCATCTTTTCATAGCGTTAGTGATTAGGATACCTTAATCGTGTGAAATCGGCGTCAGACTGATTTCCATAGGTTATGAAGCATTTTTCTATGCATTGTTTGGGCCGGCAAGATTTCGACTCCGAAGTTTTTCGCGCATCCTTCCTTGGCCTCCGCCCAATATGGATATCGGATCTTGAGGTATTGCCATAAATCGTGAAAGATTTTTCTATTAATGGCTTTTTGGGATAGTATGGCTATGGATTTACCGCGGAATAGGAAAAACACCTTTCTGTCCGCCCTATTGCTGGTCGCGAATACTGACCTATCTTCTACAGGAAATAGCCACGAAAATCCATGGCCATGCCTTGACTTTACCGTTAAAACTGGTAAGAGTGGAGAAAAATGTTTCATTGTTATATGGTCTAAATTAGAGCGGCTTCGTCTTTAATCGCCATTGACGATGGGCTGGTCCTCCGATCTCCTTTAGAGCGGTGAAAGGCAACAATTATGACCGCCCAGTCGGCAAGCACGCAACGCGCGCTCCGCCCTGACATTACGTAATGGGTTCTGATGCCTTGATCGCCGTAAATCGGCGGTCGCGTTGCGTGTCGCGGCTCCCGAAAACATTCAAATGTGGTAATTTTGCCTGCTGGGGGATACGGTAATGTTGACATCTCGTTGCACCGCCCCATTAAACATAACGGATCAAGAAATCATGCCCTAAATTGCGACACATTGTTTCCTCTATTCTAAACGCTCGTAAATCGTAAAATAGCACGATCGTAGAAAGATGTTTTCGCTTTAAGGGGACTAAACTTCATCTGCGGCATGATTAATTCGGTTCTGGTACTTCAAACCCTGTTGCCTCCCTTTAAATGGATGGTCAAGGCGTGGGCTATGGATTTGGTTTGGTATGGATACGCATCGGGCGCCCCGCCCTTGATTGTGTAATGGATTATGATGCCTTGATCACGGTAAATTGGCGTACGCGTTGTGTGTCGCGGCCGTCGGAAACTCCAGGTTTCGTAATTTTTTTGGAGCTGGGGATACGATTACATCTCAGCTTCATTCAGGATTAGTAGAGGTATCGGCACAAAACTTACTGCCATAAATCGAAACATTTTCCCAAAATCCTGTTGGGCTCCAGATTTCCTATGGATTGGGAAAATTGGGAAAAAAGAGAAAAAACACCTTCTGTCGTGGCGTCACGCGCTTCCGTGCCGCGGATACGGAACAATCTCAGCGTAACGTAAAGATACGTGCTTAGCCTTAAAAATTGCACGAATTTCGAAAGATGTTTTAGCTTTAAAGGACTCAATTTCGTTTGTTTCATGGTTAACTCTCCACGGGTTTTTAAGCGACGCTGTTTGTTTTTTAAAAATGACCCAAAAATACCGTATGCCATCCACGACACGTAACGCGCACCCCGCTCTTTCCTTGCCTAATGGATTCTGCCGACATGATCAAGATAAATCGGTGTGCGCGTGGCGTGTCGCGGCTTCCGCAAGCAGCCAAATGTCGTAACTTTTCGAGGTGGGGATATGATCATAGTGCTCAGATACTTATGGCGAGTTGCGTAGTCACCAATTAAAGGCATCGGCTCAAGAACTACTGCCCGCAATTGTGAAACGTTTTTTCTATGGCCTGCTGGGACGGACCGTGGATTTCCTGTGGAATTTCCATGTGCCTGCCAACTGATTCTAACGGACTCTAAGGATACTTCCATAGATCGTGAAACATTTTTTCCATGGCTGTTTGGGAGCGGCAAGTCCATAGATTTCTTATGGATTGGGAAAACCTCTTCTAAACTTATTTTGTGACGCGGATACGGATCTGTCTTCTACCGGAAGTATATCCTGAAGTATGCATATCCTGTCCCTAGCTTTAAAAATAACACGATCGTGGAAAGATGTTTCAAGATTGATGGGACCAAAATTCACCTGTTTTGGTACTAATCAACGAATCGCTTTGTCGGTTTCACGACGAATCAATCGGTCAATCGATAAATTTTTGATGGTTTGTTGAGACAAGCAACACTATGTATTTATTCTGGAGTTTTCACTTGGCGAACGCACGCAACGCGTCTCAGATATATGAATTGCTGATTTGCTAAAATAATCGCGAAAGCTCAAAATTTTTATTTCATAATTCGCCATTTTAGAGTGTCGAAATTTCGTCGTGTCGAGATTTCGCATAGTATTTGGGGGGATTTTTCGGGGATTCATGAAATCTTGGCATCATCAATATTTAATTCACATTATCCAGGGAAAAGTGTTTTATTGTTGCGTAGGGAAAATTCGTCAACCGAGAAAATTTCGTTTATGCTTATGTAATGCAATGCAATGCGCAGCTTCGCAAATTTTTTGCTACAAGCTTTTTGCTTTTTGCACAAAACTACAAGCCTCTAATTAGACGAAAAAAACCCTGCGAAAATCCATAACCACGCCTTTAGGCTCCCTTTAACAGTGGGACAATTAAAAAATGTTTCAGGGTAAAATGGAGTAATTTTCAGCCGGTGAGGGTGAATCCGTGACTCGTTGCGATCCAAACGAAAATTCAATAAACTTTTCAGATCATCGAACGATGTCTCCAATCGATGCCCCGTAAATTGGTGGACGCGAGGGATCGACAGGGGAATACACCGCTCTTCTATGCGGTCTCACATGGACATTACGATGCTGCAAGGCTACTACTCGCTGCCGGATCCAACCCTAATCATCAGGTGAATTATTATGAATGTGGCGGAACGGTACCAAGCAGAATACCTAAAAATAATAGCAAAAAAATGTTTCATAAAGCTGGGGTCAGTTGCAAATGCATGAAAGAATTAATCCGAGTTAGGCTCCAATCGCTTAAAAATTTTACGCTTCATTCCCAAACACAAGGTGTCCCAAAAACGTTCCCTCTAACTCCACACAGAAGTATCCGATCGGGATGATAGTTATACCATTCGAAAGCCCTTGTCACGGAGAGTTTGCAAAAATTTCCAAAACCATATTTTTGTCTAAGCGCTCCATTTTATAACTAATTAAAAAATATTTAGGAGCGGTCTCTGCTTCTAATTAACGGCCACTTCAAGTCATTTTGCTTGCAGAAATAAGCTCTTATGCAACTAGAGTTGGAAAACCCCCCGAAAAACCCCTCCCCCCCCCGGGGGGGTTTCAAAACCCCCCAGGGAGAGCGAAAACCCCCCCAAAAAACCCCCCCGTAGGGGGGTTCTAAAAACCCCCCCGCGGGGGGTTTCGAAAACCCCCCCGAGAAACCCCCCGGGGGGGGTTTGAAAACCCCGGGGGAGAGGAAAATCCCCGGGGAGGTTTTTGAAACACCCCCGCGGGGGGTTTTCAGAACCCCCGGCAAAACCCCCCGAGGCATTTTTTCTCAAAATTCTTTCTAAAAATAATTCATACTTACTTTTACGTCGTAAATAGATGTATTGAATCATCAAATTGTCCTTAGCTACTAATTGTACAAATTGAGTCCGGGCGGACCATCACGAGAAACAATTTAGGAGCAAAATGTTTACAAGCAATTAAGTTCACATGAAATCTAGCTAAAATAACCAAAAAGTGCATGATCGGGTAATTTTGGGGTTCGGGGGGGTTTTTGAAAACCCCCCGCGGGGGTGTTTTAAAACCGCCAAACCGCCAAATTTTGACAAAATGGCTTGAAAAATAGCTGGTTTGAATAGAAACATAATTTCGAACATTGTGGCAAATTCGCCGTTTCAAGGGCTTTCGAATGGTGTAACGGTCATTCAGATGAGATACTTCTGCGTCAAGTTAAAAAAAAGGGAGGGGGTCATCGAGACGCCCTGTTGTCTACCAAAAACACCTTGCGTCTAAATTAAAATTTAAACAGCATTTATACAGTGCAACTTGCGATGTTATGAAAACGTTATCAAAAGGAGAAATATGTTTCAAGAGCCGTATGGATTTGGTTGCCTTACTGACCACCAATCTGGCGCTGCTTGAACGGCCGCAGTAACGTTTTTAATGTTCTCTGACAATACGCGGCTTGGAGGCTAGCAGAGATCCTTTAGGAATATCAAACCTTGAAAACGTATGTACAGTTGTCTTCTCTAAGCAACTCGGCTAGTTTGACTACTTTTAGATGCTTCTAAAGCAAAATTTCTTAAAAGAACAATTTAAAAAGAATGTTTCATGGCCTGGCGCCTATTGCTGATGCTTGGAAGTAATCATAGCAAGCGTTTTGTTCTGCTCAACTTATCAAGTTTCCTCCAGTAATAGTCTACCCAAACGGCTTTGTTTAGTAAAGTACACCCGGTACACCCAGTCACCCACTATTTTTTAGGCGATTATTTCTACGCGCCTTGCCACAGAAGCACGTTTACACAAGGTTACACAAGGCTTAAAAATGTTTCAGATTTGCTTGATTATTTAAATGGTTTCGGTGGCGTCGATAAAATTCACCTTTTCTTTTCGCCGCTTCTTTTATTTCATTTTCTTCCTCATAATTCGTGAACGAAATTTAACGATCCTTCTTTTTGTATAGAAAACTGTTACGCCAGAGAGTTTCATTTCGTAAAAGAAAACGCTGCCAGCTGCGATTAGTGAGATCGAGGCAACACAAAAACGATGTTTCACGTTTGGGCGCTCATTTTAGAGCTCCGGAATATATAATATGTAGTAGTGTAGGATAGAGATTTTTTTATTCAGATACCAGCGCCCAAAACCCGCTTCGCGGGCCTTGGGCGCTGGAATTGGGCCTTTGCATGAAAAATTTGACTTTCCGATAGCTCGGGTCCTTCGGATCCCTTCCCCCACCGATGACACACGCGTGTGCAAATTGCAAGAATGAGGAAATTTGTATTTTTTTGGAATTATGCAAAGTAGCCCTCCCTGGCGCCGAACACACACACACACACAAAGATACGCGACCAAATTATATAAGGTAGGACAATATGCATCCAGATATATCGCATCTGAATAAGCCATCGGAATAGAAAAATCCTAGATGCGATATAGATAATCGTATCTGAATTGGAATCCGAGTCACCGAGATACGATACTATCGGAATAACTTTTGCATATCGGATTAAGGGAAATTGGGGCGCTCAGTAGGCGTTAAAATGGATGCAAATCGAACGATCTTGTCTCGGAAACGCCTAACCTTATGCTTTTTTATGCAGACTGACGGTACGAAGCACGTATTCACGAGAATAACGGATTTTCTGCTTATTCCGATATGCAAATGTTATTCCGATATATCGTATCTGGGATTGAGCCTCGCCGATCCCAGATGCGATAATCGTATCTCGATTGCCCCGCCCTGAATCTAGATACCATATGCAAATTGACTTAAATGCAAAATTTCCCATATCTTATCTGAATAAAAACATCTCTAGGGGCACCTCATTAGCAGCCTTCACGGATTTTCTGACGTTTCAGTATCTTCTTCCCTAATCAGGCAGGCTAGCAGTGATCTTTTGGGAAGCTGATGGTCTTTAAAAAAAACCCTGCTAACCTGCCTCTCAGCATTTCCAGTGCACAAAGTCGAAAAATGTTTCAAATATGCCGGATCCTTCCTAGAGTGTGTAGCCATTAATTTGTTACTGGCTATTGTTATTGCTTGTAATGCTTAGGAATTTCTTTGCTACTCAGGCAGGCCGGCAAAAATATTTCGAAAAACGGCGTGTTTTCAAAAATCTCTGCCAGCTTGCCCTGACCATCTCTTGAAAAAAATTTTGAGGATTCTATTTTTGTTAAATGTAAATTCTATGTTTCAGTTATAACGACCTTTCCTAGACCGTCTAAACATTAATTCGCAAGTCATTCGTTAAATTTTACGCCGCTTACGTCTTTCGAAGGAATAGCTATTAGCCTGGCTCTCACAGTTTCTGAACAATTTCCAGGATTAGATGCTTTTGAAGACATGCAAATTTCTGATGTGCTGCTGATTTCCAAAGCGTGTGACCATTAATTAACCGTTCTGGCATATTTTCTAAATTGGTCCACCTTTTCTTGGTTATTCGGGTATGCTAGCAGAGATCCCTTCGGAAGAATTTCACAACAATCTCTGCCCGCTTGTAGCTGCCCATTTATTGAAAATGTAGAATCAGGACCTTTGTAAAAACACCAAAATGTTTCAGTTATTTGATTTGTACAAAACATGATTTGTAACCTTAATGGGCAGCTTTTTTCAGTGGAAGTTTTTCGCTAATCAGGCAGACTAGCAGAGATCCTTTAGAGAACATTCGGTATTGCAAAAACGCTTTTAGCCTGCCACCATTACTAAAAACCCAGACGCAGCTGCTTTGTGAAAAAGCACGAAAAATGTTTCAGGTATTCGGTACTTTTTCGCTGGGGTGTAAATAGCAATGGCGATCGTCCAGGTTTGCTAACTTTTCACGCCTTTTCTTGACTAATCAGGCAGGCTAGCAGAGCTTTTTTAGGAAGGCGGCGGCTTCTCTAAAAATGTCTGCTAGGCCGCCCCCGCCAGTTTTCAGCAAAATCCAGTCTTAGCTGCTTTCAAAAGAAGAAAAGATCTGTTTCAGTTGTGATGGACCTTTTCCAAGGTACGTAGCCGTCAATTCGCAGTCTTGACAAAGTCGCCTCTTTACTCTTTACGCTTTTTCCTGGCGATTCGGGCAGGCAAGCAGAGGGCTTTTAGGAAGAGTTCCTCAAAAAGTCTCTGCTAGCCCCCGATTGCTTAATAAAATTCATGATTAGATGCTTTTAAAAACATGCAAGCTATGTTTCTGATTTGCGGGACCTAATCTAAAGCGTGTGACCATTAATGAACATTTCTGGCCGATTTTCTAAATTCTACACCTTTTCCTGGCTAGTTGGGCAGACTAGCAGAGATCCTTTAAGAGGCTCGTTTTCTTTCAAAACATATCTCCTAGCCAGGGGCGTAGCCAGAAAATAATTTTGGGGGGGGGGCCAAAAAATTTTTCAAAAATTTTGGAAAAAAAGGCTATATAGCTCCACAAATAGCAGTAAAAACGTGAAAAAATAGCGCCGCAGGCAGCAAAATTTTTGAGAAAATAAAAATCATAAGGGTCCCCCCTTATGAGATTTTCGGGCTCCGGCCGATTTCGGGGGCAGGGCCCAGGGGGCCCACCTTACGCTACGTCCCTGCTCCTAGCCTGCCCCATTTGTCCACCATAAAAACAGAATTATAAGGTTTTTGAAAAACACGAAAAATGTTTCAGATATTCGGGTTTTTTTCGATGGGGTGTAAGCAGCAATAAGCACAGCCGCATCGTTGCTAATTTTTACGTCACTTCCGGGCTAACTGGGCAGGCTAGCAGAGATCTCTTAGGAAGGATTTCTCAAAAATTCCCTGCTAGCCTGCCACTCGCCATTTCGTTAAAAAAATCGAGGATGAAATGATTTTATTGGAAAGCGTATCTTTCAAATATCCTGGCTCTGGCCGTGAGTGTGTGACCATTAATTAACAAATGTCCCAGGCTTTCTAAATTTTTACAGCTCCTCTTGGCTATTTGGGAAACCTAGCAGAGATCTTTTAGGAAGTTTCTCAAAAAATCTCTCCTAGCCTGCTCCATTTGTATCTAGAAAAACAGGATTCAAAGACTTCGAAAAATGTTTCAGATTTTTGGTAACACGTATATGCGTATATGGTAACACGTATATGCGGTCGCAGCAGCAATTCGCAAGATCCGCATATTTGTTAACTTTTCACGCCACTTCCTGGCTAACCGGGCAGGCTAGCAGGGATCTTTTAGGAAGGATTTCACAAAAACTGCCTGCTGTCTACCCATCCTCATTTCGTTAAAAAAATATAGGATTAAACTATTTTTTGAAAACGTATGTTTAAATTATCCTGGCTGTGGCCGTGAGTGTGTGACCATTAATTAACAGTTTCTCAAACAAATTTCTCTAAAAGCCTGTCCCTCACCATTTCTCAATAAAATCCAGGATTAGCTGCTTTTGAATCAACGGAAGATATGTTTCAGAAGTGATAGACCTTTTCTAGGGTGTGCTACTATGAATTAACAGTCCCGACAGACTTCCAAAATTCTATACCCTTTTCACTATTCAGGCAGACTGGCGGAGAGCTTTTAGGAAGCTGGTGGTCATTCAAAAAAATATCTGCTAACCTGCCGCTTCCCGATTTCGTTAAAAAGTCGATTGAAGGATTTTTGAAAATATCCAAGGTATGTTTCAGATACGACTGTCCTTTCCTCGAGTGTCTGACAATTAATTAGCACACCGCACAGATCTTATAACCCCAACCCTCTTCCTTCGGGCAGGCTAGCAAAGATCTTTTTGGGATGACGGCGGCTCCTCAAAAATCCCGGCGGGCCCGCCTCTGCCTTTCTTAATAAAATCCGAGATTAGATGCTTCTGAAAAAACATGCCAAACTTTTAAATAAAAAAAATCGAAGATTAACTATTTTATTTGAAATCGTATGTTTCAAATATCCTGGCTCCTGCCGAGAGTGTGTGACTATTAATTAACATGGGTCACAGATTGCCTAAATTTTTACACCTTTTCTTGGCTGTTTAGGAAGCCTAGCAGAGATCTTTTAGGCACGCTTTCCCAAAAAATCACTGCTAGCCAGCGCTCCGCCCTGCTGCGTAAAATCCAGGATTAACTGCTTTTGAAACAAGTCATTTATGTATGTTTCAGATATGATGGACCCTGCTAGAAGGTGTTACCATTAATTAGCCAGTTGTGCGGAGTTTCTAACATTTTACGCCTTTCCTTGGAGTTTCTAACATTTTTCTCGAATTATGAAACGTTCCTGACTTTTAAAGATCGCCGCTCAAAGGCCGGGGTAAAAAGCCGCGTAGATGTAATGAAAAATAAAATAGTTATGGGAAAAGCAAGCAAAATCCGTATAACCTATAAAACACTATTTTAATTGTAAAAGTTTAATATTTATTTTTTCGCCATTTCCGGTCAAGGGTACTAGCTGGGACCTAGGGCTACTTTGTGCTGGTCTTAAATAATACTTTCTTATACGAGGAATTGCACATAAAAATAAACCACATTTTTAAGAAGTTGATGTTTCAAGGTTAAGGCACTTATTTTCGACTGAGAAACGCTTAATGTACCGCGTTGTGATTGATTTTTCGCTTTTCAAAGATTCGCGGTTTGGTGCGGCAATTTAAAATTTAGGCTTACTGATAAGTAAACAACCTAATTTCAGACAAGAATTTTATCAATTCAATAAAATTTTTTATTCGGAATTGAGTTGCGAATTTTCAGATGTGCGATGCAATTAAAAATCACGAATTATTAAAGGACATAAAAAAATCATTTATAGCAATAACAACAACAATATAAATGAAATGACAATACTATTAAATTCAGGACAACCGGCTGCGCACGTCTTCTCATTGTGCCGCCGCAAAAGGGCAGCTTCGGATGCTGAAGCTACTCAAGCAATTCGGCGCCTCATTCGAGATCCAGAACTACCGTGGGGATTTGCCGTTGCATGAAGCTGTACAGGCCGGTAGCAAAGGTATGTTTTAGTCAAAATACTTACTAATTCTCCTAAATTCGGATTGATTCATCGAGCATTCCTCCGTATAAATATTCTAATTAAAAATAGACGGCTGGGAGCTTTTGTAATCCGTAATGGCTTACGATCGGGTACTCCGGCAAAACGGCGCTTGCGTTGCGTGTCGCGGCAAGGCTAAAATTATCGTTCCACAGCCAAATATACCTATAGTTATAGCTTATCCTTATAAGTTTTTAAATAATACAAGTAAAACTAGCAGTAAAATTGAAGACGCATTAAATGTGAGTGTTTCGTCGAGGAGGCTAGTGTAAGACAAAACATTTGATTTAATCCAAGATTTCCCCGCTGCAAATAAAACTAAATTAAATTTATCGAAATTCAAGTAGCCACTATATTAATGAACGGGGCGAAAATCTACTTTTTTTTATTGAGGGGACTTCGTATTAATTGATTTTCACACGCAATGCGCGCGCTAGCCTATACATTGCGTAAGGGATTACGAGCGCTTAGCCCTGCAGGCTACGTCCGCCTTGCGTGTCGCGACGACTAGGAACAGAGACAATTTATATTGTAACTGTAACTGTAACTGTAACTGTAACTGACAATAAATAAAATTTAGAACCCTGTTTGTATTTTTTATTGTAATAAAAATCTAGAAATAGAAAATTTAGTTGCTGGGAATACATGCCTTTATGCTAAAAGGTTGTGGTTGTGGTGATAATCTTTATGTGTATAAAAATAGTGTGTGTGTGTGTGTGTGTGTGTGTGTGTGTGTGTGTGTGTGTGTGTGTGTGTGTGTGTGTGTGTGTGTGTGTGTGTGTGTGTGTGTGTGTGTGTGTGTGTGTGTGTGTGTGTGTGTGTGTGTGTGTGTGTGTGTGTGTGTGTGTGTGTGTGTGTGTGTGTGTGTGTGTGTGTGTGTGTGTGTGTGTGTGTGTGTGTGTGTGTGTGTGTGTGTGTGTGTGTGTGTGTGTGTGTGTGTGTGTGTGTGTGTGTGTGTGTGTGTGTGTGTGTGTGTGTGTGTGTGTGTGTGTGTGTGTGTGTGTGTGTGTGTGTGTGTGTGTGTGTGTGTGTGTGTGTGTGTGTGTGTGTGTGTGTGTGTGTGTGTGTGTGTGTGTGTGTGTGTGTGTGTGTGTGTGTGTGTGTGTGTGTGTGTGTGTGTGTGTGTGTGTGTGTGTGTGTGTGTGTGTGTGTGTGTGTGTGTGTGTGTGTGTGTGTGTGTGTGTGTGTGTGTGTGTGTGTGTGTGTGTGTGTGTGTGTGTGTGTGTGTGTGTGTGTGTGTGTGTGTGTGTGTGTGTGTGTGTGTGTGTGTGTGTGTGTGTGTGTGTGTGTGTGTGTGTGTGTGTGTGTGTGTGTGTGTGTGTGTGTGTGTGTGTGTGTGTGTGTGTGTGTGTGTGTGTGTGTGTGTGTGTGTGTGTGTGTGTGTGTGTGTGTGTGTGTGTGTGTGTGTGTGTGTGTGTGTGTGTGTGTGTGTGTGTGTGTGTGTGTGTGTGTGTGTGTGTGTGTGTGTGTGTGTGTGTGTGTGTGTGTGTGTGTGTGTGTGGTGTGTGTGTGTGTGTGTGTGTGTGTGTGTGTGTGTGTGTGTGTGTGTGTGTGTGTGTGTGTGTGTGTGTGTGTGTGTGTGTGTGTGTGTGTGTGTGTGTGTGTGTGTGTGTGTGTGTGTGTGTGTGTGTGTGTGTGTGTGTGTGGGGTGGGGGGGGGTGTGGTGTGGGTGTGTGTTGTGTGTGTGTGTGTGTGTGTGTGTGTGTGTGTGTGTGGTGTGTGTGTGTGTGTATATTTTTGCATGCAACTTCCGTAAGTATGTACCGCACCTACAGTCTCAAGGGAAGGTTTTTAAGGTACATATGATACGTCATTAGGTGCGTAAGGATCCCGAGATGAGTGCACACATATAAGATTTAGGAAAATCGGCTGTTTTCGCTATTAAAAATAACTTTTGTAAAGATTTCCAAAAACCTCTTTGTTAGGAGGCAATTTGCATGCGCCGGAAGTAGGGAGGGCCTATATAAAGGCACAGAGGAGCTGTTTTTCACTTTTTTCTTGCTAGAATTTAGGGAGAAGCATGCAAATTGAGGACTTTCGCAGGTCCTGGACGGGGCCAGGGTTGAAAAGCCGCGAAGCGGTTTTTCAACCCTGGTGGGAGTGAAAAAAACGAAAACTTGAACGTTCTAAAGCGATATTTTGAAAAAGGATGTTACCCAATTCCTAGTGGCTATTCCCGTGCTTGAAAGTTTAATTCCATCGTTTTAAGGAAGGCATAGTTCAAAACTGCAAAATTGCATATTTAGGCAATCCAGCTTGTTGTTTGTTGAAAAAGTCTACTTTTTGACCGCCAGTTTTAATACGAATTACGATTATTAGGAATTCCAATTTCCGAAGGTTGCGATTTTTTGCAAATGTTTCCAATTTCTATGAGAAATTCGTGATCCCGAAATGCTTAGTGTAGTAGCGGGTGTATGTTGAGATAGCAATCAATAAAAGTTCGAATCCGGTTCCGTTAAGTTTCGCATCCGTAGTCCATATAGGACCCAGGGCTAGCAGAATCTATATTCATACCTTGGCCACACCTTGAAATACCAATTTGCAAAATTACCAAATTTGCAATTTGAAGTTTGTAAGGGATTTTTTGAAAAAAATGTTACGGATCCGGCAATGGCTTTTTAATGCGGGCAATTTTTTAATGTCTTGAGATATCGGTTGTTTAGATCCATACTCCGATTCATTATTGATCCATAAAAATTCAGAAAAGAACACGATTCAATTTAAAAATGTTGCTTTCCTACATTCCTCTCTTTGAAATTAATTTTAATTAAAAACAAGATAAAAGGTTTTTATTTGTCTGGTTTTTGTCTGCTTTCTGTGTTTCAGTCTTTATTTTTGGGGAATGTTTCAACTTTTTACGAGAGTTTCGTGGGCTGGAAATTCTTAGTCCAGGCTTCGTGACAGGAGTGGAAGAAATACATAACATTAAAAATCATGTTGTGTTGCTTGTCGCGGGAATGTCCAATCCATATTCCAATATATAGTCATGCCTCGCCAATACCTTTAAATAATCGTTATTCTACTACCAAACTGGAAATCTGAAAGTTTAAACTGATTTGAAAACAATGTTTCACTTCTGTCATGGACGCTTCGTTCTGGCAAAGCCTCAATTACAACTGATTCATTATGTCAAAATAATGTTCGAAACATAAAATTGGGTTATCCATTTGAAGGCTGTAGTTGGGGTGCTGCTGTTTGCTACCCACCGCCTATTCACACATTAAAATTATCTGTATGAGTGAACAAACAAAGAAATTTAAAGCTTTTTAATTGTAAGTTACAATCAAGATTTAAGAAATGTTTGACAGGCACTTCCTCTATTAAAACCATGTATAAACGACACGCAACGCACCGCGATCCAAAATTTTGTTTGAAGCTCACTTGCAGCCCACCATGGACGACTGTTGAAATTAATTAGCCCTGCGGCATGAAACATTCGTGAAAATTTGAAACACCTGGAAAACGCTCTCTCGTCTAATACCACGCCTAAAACTTTTTTCCAAGTCGCAAAAGTTAAGCGCAAGCATTGGAAAACGTTTCTGTTGATGATTTTGAGTAGTTGGGAGCAGTTCGAACTGCTAAAAATCGTTGCGTATGCTCAAAATAAAAAAATAAAATAGAACTCCCGGGGTTTTACTAAAGGGAATACGGAAATTTTTTAAGGCTTACAAAACCCGTTAGCTGTTTAAATCTTCACATTCGAGATGTTAGTTAATAGGAGTGTTAGTTTGCGAACTTCAGACACGCTTATCCAGACGGGAAAACAGCTCATTTTCATTAAAATTTTTGAGGCTTTATAATGTTTCAAATATTCGTGAGACTTTGGCAAGCTAGAATTTGAGAATTTCGAAATCGAATCGACGTTTCCATAACTGTCCGAAATTTCGAGTTTCCAAGATTTTTTAGAGCTCTTCAGATAGTTTTATTAAGACGCTTATTATTGGGTTGGAACGTAAGTCTCTGCGCTTTTTTTCGGAGCTCGCTACTTCTCTCCCCAGAGGACTTTGGAGCAAGTGTTATATATCATTCGAAAGAGCTTTCTTTTCTCTAACAGGAGCCGGCATTCGTAGATTTTCTAGGTTTAAATTGCTCCGAATTGATGGGTTAGAATGAAAATCGCCGTTTTCCTTCGAGCTCGATTTTGAGCACGATAGCTCAGTAATTTTCCAGGGACCTATTGCACGTCAAAAGAGTTTTTATTCTTCTTCCTTTTCATGTAATTAGTTTATTTTTGAAGTAGCTTTTGAGTCATTTTTAGCAGATCGAAAAAATGACCGAAACGCGCTCTGCCTACACTTGCTAATTTCTGCGTGAAAAACAATGATTTAAAACATCCCAAGCGTCATGATCGACTTTTCTGCCTATTTAGAAGAACCTACATCGTTCAAAATAAAACAGAGCTATCTCGAAATTTTCATGGTAAGACGTCAACTAACGAGAACTACTGTCTGGTGCAATAATTTGAGCCCGGGTTTAGCGGAAGGGAATCCATAAACTTGTTAATCTATGGCATCAACCTATAGTCCGCTTGGGCGTCCGCGTAATGGATGGGATTGAAATCCGTAATTATGGCAAGGAAAAAATTTCCATGGTGCGGTCGTCGAGCCTTCGAGGGTCATTTCCGCCGACACTTCGTTCCCCGAAATATATGCTAAGTTCACGGTTATAAAATAAGCGGCTATAGCAGCCTTGTAGAGCAAAAAATGCTCTTTCTAATGGTATGTACGACTCAGCAAAAAGTTTCGATTTCGGCGCGAAAATTGAGCTTGAAAATACGCAGAGACTTACGTTCCAGCCCAATACTACGGCACTAGGAGTTTCTGGATTTGTATAAAAAAATAAACATCGAAATAACAGGGTTTTGATTTTCTATCCATTTTAAATTTCTGTTTTTATAGGTTTTACTCACTGCATTTTTAGAAGTAGCTGACTGGCTTCTGCAGTTACATCCGACATCGCTGGATGCCGCATCACATGAGGGCCGAACTGGATTACATTTGGGTATGACAAAATATTTTAAATTTGTCTTAAAAATGAAAATGGAGCTGATGTTGATATCGAAAAATTGTTAAATTCTGCAAAAGATTTATGTTGAAAATCCGGAGCTGGTTGTGATTTTATTTCTTGTTTTGTCTATTATCCTTTTGACGCAACCACCTAGTATGAAGAAACATGAAACAAATTAAATTAACCAAAAAAACATTTTAAGCAATGCAGGTGTTAAAAAATGTGTTGTGTTTAACGTTGGAGTTGTTTTGTTTTTAAGCTATTTTATGATTCAAGCCATCTAACTTTTAAAAATCTAAGGAAATTGGTGCAATCATCGATTAACGATTTCGTAGGCTGGCTGATACTGGTCAATGTTCGAAACATTTTTTATAGTTTAACCTGCTATAATTTTCCTTGGTTAACTTTGAAGGGTCCAACAGGCTAACTAGGGACAGAAAATACAGAATATAATTCACAATCTAAAATTGAAATTTTGGATCTAAGGATTTCTGTTTCAGCCGCCGCCACCGGAAACATCGAAATGGTCGTGTTTCTTTGCAGCCAGGGCGGCCAGATCAACCCGTTGATGTTGTATCGCGTAGGTTTCGCTCAAGGATACGGTATCATAACGCATTTAGGACAATATGTACACACCGCTGGATTTGGCCAAGCGAAAGGACCATCAGGTGATTTCGAGATTTTTCGGGTGAAAATTTTAACGTTACACCACCGAGCTTTGTTAATTAATTTGCAGACCTCTCTACTGCCACCAACGTTAGGAGTATCTAATTTTTATGGGAAACGTATTAGTTGTACCAGGCATTGCAATTCAAAATAAAGGTACCCTTGGTCTAGTTTTTAAGGATTAAAGATTAAGGTTAAGATTAAGAATCAACGAAAAACGTGTTTCGTGATTTAAGTTGAAGAAAAAGCTTGGAAATCCGATATTATCGTAGCTTTGTCGTGCTTTATATTTTTTCGTGATTTCCCGTAGAACAGGCTTCATGTCGTGGGTCTCTTTTCATATTGTCGAAATTTCATAATGCCGAAATCCCAGAAATTAATGATTTCAAATTTCTTGTTTTGAGTTGAGGGTCGATGATTATGAAAGTTGGCTGTTTAAACCTTGGCATAATGAAATGTCGGCATTCTGAAATTTCCACCATATGATGAGAATTGGCGTTCTGAATTTCGAACTTATGAATTTCGCTATTCGAAATATCGAATTCTGGAATTTCGACGATACGAGATATGTGAATTTTTGTGAATTTCGGCGCTATCAAATTCCGAAAATATGTCATTTCGACGCCACGAAGCGTCGGCTTTTAAGGTTTTTACTGTACCAACGAAATTTCGGCATTTTAAATATCGGCGTTATTGAAATTATGAATTGCTCGGTTATGGCCCTTGAAAATGTGCAATTTCGAAAACACGGCATTCTAAAATATCAACATTCTGAACATCGGCGCCATGAAAAGCCGACGTTGTGATTTCGTCACTATGATTTTCGATATTCTGAAATCGCCGCTTCGATAATTACCCACCAAATCCCCCCAAAAAAATGTTGACCGATTTTTAGCCGGGAGAGCAACGAAATTTGCATAACCGGTTTAAAGGTCGGCGCTACGCTCTGGCGGACTGTCATGCCAACAATCTGTACGGTCGATTGGTCGCTTGGTAAGGCCGCGGCGGGGGGTCGAACCCGGGTAGTGGGGGTGAGGGGAATGGCGCCCTAACCAATAGGCCACGCCCACACTCGGACTGGGGGAAGAGAGGGGGTATATGTTTGGGGGCACCCCTCCCGTTTTCGCTCAATTGAACCCGATAAATTAGTATTTAAAATTAAATGAAAATGATGTTGGGATGCCTTTATTATTAGGATTACTATGATAGAAAATACAGACAGAAATTTATTATAGCTTTACTTAAGATTTGTTTAGCATACATTTAGTTAGAATCCTTTTAATTGCCTGCCAAGAATTAGATATTTAAAAACTATTTAAAAAAATTCAAGCTGTTATTATCATTATCAAGATCACTACAAGAAGATGTAATAACGCCAGGAAAATATCACGTACTTGGAAAACCTGCGAAACATACTTTAAGTGAAATAAATTTAGCAATTATCTAGATTTTTTCTCCATTTATTCTAGGTCCGTGCAAACCAGAAATTTATCAAAGTTTAACCAAATCAATAATTTTAAAAAACTCGCTGTGACTTCAATTCATTTCAAACCAATTGTTAGATTGATCCAAAAAAAGGATGAATTAAAATGAAGCAAAATGTTGATGTAGTGGCTGCACTCCGAAACATTACTTTTTTGTCATTTCAGGTTTCTTGGTGGTAATGATCATTTCCTAGGAACATTACGTGACTTGCCACATTTTCACCGCCGCCAAAATAAAAAACAAGACGCCAAAAACAACGGGATTTTGCTGGATTTAATTAGAGTGGCGCTTATTCAAATCAAATCGGCTTCAAATTGATTTGATTTGAATTAGCGAATTTGAGTGCGAAAAAATCAACTTCAAATCAAATCGATTTGATTTGAATTAGGGGCTGGCCAACTCAAATCAAATCGATTTGATTTGGGATTTGAACAACAGGCTTATCAGGGATGCAAATTGAAAATCGGCGGTTTCGGAGGGCTTTTGGTAGCGCCGTTTCTGCACATTTAGGTGTCCTTTGCAATAATTCATGGGGCGTTTTGATGACCTTTATATAAAATTGAGCCAGACGGTTTTATTTGTCAGATTTAGCCTGCGCTATGGTTTTTCTTTGGAAAAGCTAACGGGTAAAACATTTGGAAATGTATAAGGAATCGTTAACTGTGACGCTGGAACAATGCTAAGAGATCATAGGGAAAGAGCGGTGCACAAATTACGAGTTGCGTCGGGTTCATTTCTATGAGGTCTTATTCAAATTATTCAAATCGGCTGGATTTGATTTGAACTGGTGGAACTCAAAACAAATCGGTTTGGTTTGATTTGATCGGCTCCAATTCAAATCAAATCGGCTTGATTTGAACAATTTGAATCTTATTCAAATCTGATTTGAATAAGCGCCACTCTAGATTTAATAGAGCGAAATATCCGATGATTGGCATTTCTTTAAGGCTGCGAAGCAACAGAAAGCATGAAACAGATTTTTAATCACAGCCCCAGCTACCCGAGCCAATCATGAGGGCACTAAACGACGATTTTTGGCTAGTCAGCGACGACGACGACCTCAGATTACTATAACAAAAAATAAATTTTAACGGCTGTAATGCGAAACATTTCATGTTTCAGATCTATTGGTGGTACCGATAATTTTCATAAAAATATTACCAGCATTCGTAGGACCGGTCGAATTTTCGTGAATTCTAGAATGCCCAAAAATTCGCGCCAGATTAGGTAATTGATTAATCCAACAAAATAGATACCAAAATCGTTTCGTCGGGGCAGATTGCCACTGCCACATGCAAAACAAAAACAAAATGCCGAAACGGATTTTCCTGAATATGACTTGCCTAGTCCCTCCAATTGTTATTTCTTAAAGGAAACAGGAAGGAAGCAATCGAAATATGGAAACACATTTTACATAAATCATCTCGACTACTTAAGCCAATGGCACGAAACGACGATTTTTGGGTGGGGGGATTCATTAAACTGTCATAAAAAGTACAAGTTACTCTAATCGCCGTACTCGCAACATTTCATTTTAATGTTTCAGTTTTCATGGTCGTATGGATATTTTTCCATAGAATTATTGCATGGTTTTGTAGTCTCAGCCGAATTTTCGTGCGTTCTAGTAAGCCCAAAAATTCGCGTTAGGTGAGATAGATTAATACAAAAAAAATCTGATACCAGCAGGGATTCGTCTGGACAGCGTTCCAGCACCGCATACAAAATAAAAACAAGGCTCCGAAAACAACGAGATTTTCCTGGATTTAATAGAACGAATGACCTTAAAATGGCCGTTTCTTTACGGCATCGCAACAATAGAAAGAATGAAGCACATTTTTGAATAAGAGCCGCAGCTACCCAAGCCGATGGCCATTAAATGACGGTTTTGGATAGATTGATCTAAATTCATTAAAACCGATGAGAATCCATAAAACGACATAAAAAGTTCTTTTAATAGTTTCACTACAAAAAATTTCATTCAAATCTTTCAGATTAATTAGTGGAACCGATCATTTCCCGATGATTATTACATCTTCTTGGAGAAGTATAGAATCCACATCCATTCCGTAAAACCCAAAAAGTCGCGCTAGATTAAGGTTAATCCAACAAATTCCATCCAAAAACGGTGGCCACCGCCTCATGTAAAATAGAAAAAAAGCCGAAAAACAAGATTTTACCTGATGAACTCATTGCTGGGCGACTTGGCGTTTCGTTAATGGTTTCTAGTAGTCGAAATACCGAAACACATTTTCTTCGTAAATCATCTGAACCACGAAGCCAGTTACGTCGGGACTAGACGACGATTTTTGGTTCATAAGTAACGATGATCCATTAGAATTGCATAAAAGTTAATACCAGCATTGTACGCCAAAACTCGTTGTTTATATGTTTCAGGTCTATTGGTGGAACCCAGCTTTTCCCACGAATTATTGTTGGCTTGAAAACGCTTCTTAAAGGGATGCCCAACCTTTCCGGAGCTCAAAAAGCAAAAAACGTGTCGGGGGCGGGCGTTGAACCCGGGACCACGGTTTTGTAGACCTGGATGCTATCCAGTAGACCGTAGTGGCAGGCCATTGGTTGGGATGGGGACGCCACAAGTGGGAAAGGGTCCGAATTTTGTGCGGCGATGGGTCCCCCCGTTGCCGCACGAAATTCGCTCGTCAGTTGTACTGTCCGGAATACATAACTATATATTTGCCGCCAAAACCTTGGGTATCCCTTTAATCCATTCCACAAAGCCAAAAATTCGCGCCAGTTTAGCGTCAATCCAACAAAATGATACCAAAAGGGTTTCACCTGGGCAGATTGCCACCGCAGGATGCAAAGTAAAAAACATGACGTAAAAAACAACGAGATTTTGCTGGATGTAGCAGACCGAACGATCCTAAAATTGGCATTTCTTTAAGGCTGCGAAGCAATAGAAAGAAAGAAGCAGATTTTAATAAGAGTCCCAGCTACCGAGGCCGATAAAAAATGACAGTAAACGATGAATTTTGGATAAGAAGGAACCAAGAATTCATTGCCTCGGCATAAAAACTTCGTATAATCATTGCACCACGAAACATTTCATTTGAATGTTTCAGATTAATTCGTGGAACCGAGCTGCTGCCAAGAATTATTACGCAGTTTGGAACCCGTCGGGCCTCAAAGTTTAATCTTTTACTATTACTTAAGACCACTGCTGGATTAATCCCCTAGAAATCCATACCAACAGGGGAGCGCCTCGGCAGATTGCCACCGACGAGCAAAACATAACTTAAATTGCCAAAGAAACAAGATTTGGCTAGATTAACTGGACCAAGTTCCGAAAATTAGCTTTTCTTTACGGCTTCGGAAATCCTCGACGTAATGAAGCACATTTTTATAACAAGACCCCCCAGCCATTCAAGCCAATTACGATGGCACTAAACGACGATTTTTGGATAGCCAGCGATAACGACGTGCCATTACCACAACAAAAAAGTAATTGTAACGGCTGCACATTTCATTTTTATGTTTCAGTTTAATGGGTGGAATCGAAAAAATCAAAAATTTGGGATTTCTTTAAGGCTTCAAAGCAATAGAAAGAATGAAGCACATTTTTAATAAGAGACGCAGCTACCGATATTTGGGGCAAAATGACAGCAAACTCCGTTTTTTGATTCATTGAAATTTTCCGGTCGAATTTTCGTGAGTTCTAGAAAGGTCAAAAAGACGTGTTAGATTAGGGTTGATCTATCAAAATCGATGCCAAAAGTGTTTCGTTTTGGCAGATTTCCATCCTGGCCTGCAGAAGAAAAACAAGACGCCAAAAACAACGATATTTTGCTGGATTCAGACAAAAAGACCTTAAAATTAGCATTTCCTAACAAAGCATTAGAAAGAATGAAACACATTTTTAATAACAGCCCCCAGCTACCCAAGCCAATGCCGATTAAAAGAGAATTTATGGATCTATTGATGAGAATTCATTAAAAGTACGTCGAAAATGCTTGCAATGGTCGCAATACGCAACTTTTTATTTTAACGCTTCAGTTTAATTGGTGGAACCGATCATTTCCCAAGAATTATTGCGTGGATCGGTCCCTGTCGAATTTTCGTGCGTCCTAGAAAGCCCAAAAATTCGCGTTAGATTAGGAGTAATACAACAAATCCGATACCAGCAGGGTTTCATCTGGGCATATTGCCACCGCGGGCTTCACAACAAAATAAAAAAGGCGAAACAACAGATTTTCCAGAATCTGACACGTCAAGTAACTCCCATTGGTATTTCTTTACGGCTTCTAAGCAATAGAAATGTCAAAACACATTTTTTCATAAATCATCTTGACTACCAAGCCAATTACACGATTTTTGCATCCGAAGCGAAGACCCATTCCATAACCAACAGAGCCATTTTGGTGGTTGCACCGCGAAACATTTTATTTTAATGTTCCACGTCTATTGGTGGTACCGACATTAGTCTACTAATTACCAGGGTTGAAAAACCGCTTCGCGGCTTTTCAACCCTGGACCCGTCTAGGACTTCTGAAAATTTGACTTTACATAGGGCTTGCCGAATGCCGCTCACCAAAAAATGAAAAGCGCACGCTCCCTCCATTTTTATAGGCTACGGCCACTTCCGGTCAATGCTAATTGCCTCCTAACAAAGAGGTTTTTCGATATATTTACAAAAACTTAATTTTAATAGCGAAAACAGCCGATTTTCTTCAATTTTATATGTGTGCACCCATCTCGAGACCATTACGCACCTAATGACGTATCATACGTACCTTAAAAACCTTCCCCCGAGGCTGTAGGTGCGGTACATACTTACGGAAGTTGCATGCAAATATACACACACACACACACACTATTTTTTTATATATAGTAGGATTATGTGCGTTGCAGCTGCTTCCGTTCTATAAAGCCAAAAACGCACGCTAGATTAGGGTTAATCCACCAAAATCTAGGTGAAAAGTGTTTCGTTCATATAGATTTCCATCCTGGCCCGCAAAACAAAAACAAGTGACCGAACACACCAAGATTTTTCTGTAGATAACATCAACGATGTCTACACTAATTGACTTTTCTTTAAGACTGCGAAGCAATAGAAAGAATGAAACACAGTTTTTAATAACCGCCCCAGCTACGATGACGATTAAAAGACAAGTTTTGGATCATTTGGCACGATGATACATTTAAATTGCGTAAAAGTTCTTGTAATGGTCGTACTACAAAACATTTCATTCTTATCTTTCAGATTAACCGATGGAACCGATCATTTCCCAAGGGTTATTCCCAGTCTTGGAGTAACGCCTGAGTTTTCATCCATTCTCGAGAACCCAAAAAGTCACGCTCCATTAGGGTTAATCCAATAAAATCCATGTAAAAAGGTCGAGATCTTGTGAACGGAATTGACAACTCTTCAAGGCTGCTAGGTAGTAGAAATAGCGAAACAAGTTTTTTCATAAATCATCTCCACTACCAACCCCAACGTTTATCACTCGATTCGCACTGAATAGAACTGGGTAGCCAGCAGGAAATTATAAATTTAAAATTTCAATTTACTGCTTTTGTTCGAAGCCAGATCGTCTCCATTAATGAACTAAAGACTGAACCCCCGCGGAGCGGGGGGTCAGCGCTGGTTTGTCTTTAAATAAGGCACTTTATAGTATAGTGAGCAATATTGACGGAAGGAATAAACTCGTAATAGCAAACAATATTAATTTTAGGCATCTTATGCCGTAAAGCGTGTCCTAGTACCCTATCCTACAAAACTACGTACAAAATTACATACGTTTCCCCTCTTAAAGTACTTAATATATTATTTAGCAAAACCGCTCGACTTTTACAAACCGCTCGACTTTTACAAAACGCTCGAACGCTCGAACGCTCGAACTTTACAAGTTGCCCCCTGAAACATTAAAAAAACGCTTGAGGGTATTCTTAGTATTGCCACTTCGAAACATGCTTTCTTGTTCGTGATCACATCCAAGGTGCGAGCCAAGACAGATCTATTTCAGGTGCAGGATTATCGCCTTTTTGATGGCAACGATAATAAATTAGGACGTAAAAGTACCAAAATAAAGACTTGGATACCCGCGGACTGAACTTAACTTTTTAACTTGACAACGTCTAGGGTTTTACTTCTTATGCATTTAATTGAAGTTTAGAGTGGATTTGATTTGACGCGATCCAGGCATTAGGGAGAGCGCAGCACACATGAAGTTGAAAAACGGCTAAACATATTTTTAAAAAGCCGTTCAACCCGTGAGGCCGATTTTCCCAACCATAAATACTAGCTGACGAAAATGTATAAGCGATGTAGACAGTCTATCGGTGGTTTCTCAGGCAACTTTTGAAGGCGTAATTTTGAAACAACATTTTTTTGAAAAAGTAAAAATTGTAAGCGCGCTGCGATGTATCAATTTAATTACAAATTACAATTATATTTACAATAAATTTTTGTCGAACAATGGAAAAAATAAGAAAATAAATTTAATACTGGTTTTCAGGTGGTGGTGGAGTACCTGACGATGCGCCACTCGGCCAAACTGGCCACCGAAGTGCCCGAAGAGGAACGGCTGAGCAACAAGCTACACTTTGAGGAGCAGATTGTTAATGGTACCGTATACTTTTAAACGATTAGTTAATTCCTATTATGCTTAAATTATAGCCTGAAAACGTAGGTAAGCGTATTGTATCGTTGAACCGTCGACGAATTGTCGGGGCGTAAAACAGCTGCGGTTCTTTCTGAATTAAAACATTTTTCTAAAATTCATAAGTTAACCAATTTTTAATTCACAATCTATGTGTTTAAGCTAAAAATATACCGGAAACTTTACATAATATTTTTAAGGCGAATTTTTGGCAAAAATCGATACTTTTGGGTTTTTAACATGAAAATTTTTATAATCTTTACGTTTGTCAGCACTGCCGCTATTTAGATGCAAAAAATTGGCTATTAAGAAAAGCGTCGGTCCCCACCGATAATGCCAAAGTACCGCTATTCTTTTTAGCCGTTTTCTAGCTACTGCTTTTTCAAATTTCTCAATTTCTCAATTGTTCAATTTTAGAAACTTTAATAGGCCAAAGATCAATTTCTTAAAATTTTGATGGGAATTATTGATTCTTCTACATTCCAGCGAAGCTAAACCGCGGCAAAATTCTGCGCCAGGAGAGCTCATCGGAGTTGTCGGCCAGGAGATTAAGGTAACATTTTCAAAAATGTTTGATTTAAGGAAATGTGATTCAGAAAAGAAAGTGTTACCTGCATTAGCTATTTTAGGCAATCATAGGATTTTTTAAGTATCACTGTCTGAGAAACTTTAATTGGGTTGCATGCCCTACAATTTTAAAATGAAATTCCAGAAGGCGCCGCACGTCATCCGAAATGTTGATAAAAGCCACGCAGACGATGACGCCAGAAGATGATAGTGGGGATAAGCATCATGTACGTTTAGCTTTTCTAATTCATTCTTTTCTTCTATTTAAAAAACATGTTTCGAGAAAGCAATAGGTAATCCTGAAATTCGAGACTAATTAATGAAATCGCTTTATAAAGTTTTCCAAAAAGATTTTACGTACAGCATCAAAATTTTATTTTATCAAAATTTCATTTTATTAGTACCTTTTTTTGCTGTGGAGCCCCGTTAGGATTGACGAAAAGTAGACGTGGAATTTCAAAAGCTCAAAAAAAAAACAGTAGCCAGGCTTGCCGGTCCCTTTAAAAACGCAAAAGCCCTAAGAATTGAACGAGTGTTAAAATCCATTGTCTAGGCGAAGCAACGCAGGCCAGTAACTTCGGATCAGGCGAGATTCCCGAAATCGACGAGCACCACCGATTTGGCGGGTGGTCAGAAGGACAAGGTATTTGATTGGTCAGACCAAATGTTTCAGAAAAAAGGTCGAAGGCAGCAGCATTTTTTCCTGTAATTTGTGTCCGATAGCATCTTGGTAATATTAGATCTGGGAATTAAAAATCGAGTATTACCGTTTCTTTGTTGCTATAGGGATTACAATTTTTTGTGAGAACAAATGTTTCAATAGATAAGCAAATAACTGATGCATACAGTAGCGGCGAAAAGTTTGTACCGACCTTGCCTCGCATTCTAAAATTTGCCCCAGAATCACGGAGAAAGGCTCCAAAATTCTATTCTTTTGGGAATTATATCTTCTAGGGCTGTATTTTAGAATGCCAAAATCCCTATGCAATTTGAAACTGTATTTGGCTTTAAAAGTGGATTCTTAAGGAGCGGGCAAAAAGAGGTTAGGCCAAAAGTTTGTACCGACCATCTTTCAAAATTCGATAAAAGGCTAAATAATGTAGTTTAGGGTTCAATTCTGCTACTGACGGATGTTATTTGCCAGTATCTGCCGTTTTGCATTCAAAGAACAGCCCAAAAAACTCCAGAGAAATTTTTGAAAAATTCGATTTTAATATGGGAAATGTGGTTTTTCGACCATGCCGGCTGAAAACTGCAGTTAATTTGGAATTTCTATATACGATCGGAAACAGCATCCGAAAACACACATTTTCATATACATCTTAACAGGCAATCCCCCGAGGCGGAGGAGTTACGCCTTTAATAAGCCCATCCGCGCGGAAAAGTACCGATTTACTATGAAAACCGCCGCCGGCAAACTTTACCGAAGGGTAACCCAGTGAAACCCCATCTTCTCGAGGGCTTTTTACCATGGAAAGGTGTGTTTTTCTATGCTCTTTCAGTTGGCTTTTAAACTGTCACAATAATATTGCATATTCGAATGTTACGGTCGAAAAACCACATTTCCCATATTAAAATCGAATTTTTCAAAAATTTCTCTGGAGTTTTTTGGGCTGTTCTTTGAATGCAAAACGGCAGATACTGGCAAATAACATCCGTCAGTAGCAGAATTGAACCCTAAACTACATTATTTAGCCTTTTATCGAATTTTGAAAGATGGTCGGTACAAACTTTTGACCTAACCTCTTTTTGCCCGCTCCTTAAGAATCCACTTTTAAAGCCAAATACAGTTTCAAATTGCATAGGGATTTTGGCATTCTAAAATACAGCCCTAGAAGATATAATTCCCAAAAGAATAGAATTTTGGAGCCTTTCTCCGAGATTCTGGGGCAAATTTTAGAATGCGAGGCAAGGTCGGTACAAACTTTTCGCCGCTACTGTAGTTCTATGAATAAAAAGGACGCGAGGGCCAAGTTTTAAAATTTCTGCTTTTGTTTTGGAAATTCTATAGATTGACCAGTTTTTAGTATTATTATTATTCATTAAAAAATTAACAAAAACAAACAAACAAAAATTCCCGCTGAAATCGGGTAAAAGACGCAAAAAGAGCCGCGTGGGGGGTACCTCAAACCAACCACACACCCCGAATAGATCGCTCGTAAAAAGATGGCGTCCTATCAGAATCTCTAAAATCCGAAGATCTAAACACCAGAATCTCTAAATTTTAGGATCTCTGAATGTCAGACTCTCTAAATTTCCTTGTTTAGGAAAACTAACTAGGGAAGTCCAAGATACCCGCAACACGAATCGGGCTGAAAATTTGCACAGTTATAGAACCGACCATGCTGATCGTCGCCTCGTTTTCCGAATTTGCTACCGAGCTTAAATAATTAAGATATTAAACTTTTAAAATGGGCCAGAAACCCGCTACCCTGATCCTGGCTCACTGAGGCGGGTGGGGTTCAAGAGGCCTTTGGGAAGCCCCCTTTCCAGAGCTTCGGTAGTCAACTGGTAAGCGCCTCGCTTCCCAGGTGGGGGGTCCGGGTTCTGACCCGGTCCGCGCATTTTTCTTTAGCTTTTTGCTAATTTTGCGCCGCACATGTGGCGCGTGTCCAGATCGTGTTTTTTACTACACGCGGTTGTTCATCCCGTTTTTATTTTGCCGAAATTATTCTTATCGATTGAAGAGACGTCAGACAATATTTTACAATTTTTTTGCATCCTAGAACTTTACAAATAGCGGGCCTAATTTTTTGGTGAGAGCAGATGTTTCAGAAAAACAGTTGGTTTGCAAGAGAATCCTTTTGCTCATTACACGGTTCCCCGTTACCGTTTTTCTAAAATTAATTCCAAAAAAAGACAAGTGGAAGGAAAGCAATGTTCCTTTTTTGTTTTTTATTTGGTCCGAAAAATTAGAAGTTTTGATGAATTTTACCGTCACGGTTTTTGAAGAATTTTATAGCTTTTAGACCTTTGAAAATCCTGATTTTCATGGCCATAACTTAATTAATTTAATTCACGTTAACACTTTAAACACGTCAAACGTATCAGCTTTTTAACGAAATGGCAAATTGCATCGTTAATAGTTAGGCTCTAAATAGAGAAGGCTTTCGTTCCCAACGAATGTTTCAAGTAAAAGCGCTTACCGAGCATTTTTTAAAATAGCAATGCGTTCTCGAAGGTTCTGCGAAGCCAAATGAAAATCATAAATGAAAAAGGACTGCGACCTTAGATAAATTTCGATAGTCTGATTATTTAGAGAAATGTTTCGTTCCCAACAAATGTTTCAAGAAAAAGCATTTTGCAAACAATTTTCAAAATAGCAATATATCAATCAACATTTTAAAATATCAATATAGTGTGATCGATCCATCGACTAAAAAGTACTGAGAAGTTAGATAAATTTTGTAAATAGCAGCGCGAAAATTGGAATAAAGTTTGCCCGATGTTGAAATAAATATAAATATATTTTAAATTCAATTTTAAACGAGCCGGTGTTTGCGAGTTTGATTATTACATTTTAGTACGAGAATCGCATCGAACGCATCCTGCAAGAAGAAATCCGGAAGGCCATCGAAGAGCAACGAGGGGAAACGGTATTTTAAATGTTTTAAATTCTTATGCGGTTTTAGACCCTGGATTCACCACGTTTGGTTGCCAAGAAAAGCCCGAGAAAAGGTAAAAAAAATATTTTTTGAAATTTTACGTCTTTGGCATCTTGACGTTTTCGGTTTAAACTGGAAGTAAATCCTGTCCAGGCCGAGAATTCGATACCGTAATTCGTTTAATTTTAGATTCGAGCGGCGACTCGTCGGAAGAAGATTTAATTATGAAACGTCGAGTAAGAGCGCAAAGTAAGTGTTTTTGTTTTTTTCGTAACGCTTCTTCGTGCAAAAACCATATTTAGTAGTTGTCAACAAGCCGGTGCTATAATTATCGGTATCTCCGATAATAATATATTAGTTAGCAATGAAACATTGAAACTGTTCGAAAGATGGAAGAAAAATTTTTGGTTCCGTTTAGCAGATGGTAATCGTATAGCATACATAATATTTAAAAAGCTTTTGACGCAAAATTTAATATTGAAATATTGAAATGTGTTTAAAAAATTAATTAGAACACATTTTGACTTAAGTTTAGTGTTCGGAAATCTTGCAATACACAATTGGTTAGGGACTGCCAGAAAACAGATAATTAACCTTCTCATAGACTTGGTTGCTTCTAATGTGTCTGAAACATGAAATATGCTTGAAATGTTTTTCTAAATGCAGAAATAGGTAACCTTATCCAAGGAAGTAAATAAAAAGTACCTATTATACAGCCATAAAATAACTATAGATTAGTTACCAATGAAACATTTTAGAACTCAGAAATTACGTTCATTGATTAGCACGGCAAATTATTGACCATGCGATATCAACGAAACCTTATATTTTCGGACGATCTTGCTCACTGCATTCATAATGCAACAAGCTGCCCACATTTTCGGAACCAGCCGAAAACCTTGACTAGATTAGCTCCGCAACCCTCCATTTTAAAGTCCACTATCATCGTCGCAATAACTAGATATCAGTCAGCTGCGAAACTTGGAAAAGTTGAATACCCGTCATTTTTAATTGTGGTTTATTGACGCCAATGGTAAGGTATTTATGACAACTAGAGGGATTTTCACGACAAAAATTCAGTTTTTCAGCATTAGTATTTAAATTTGACCTAAAAAGTAATTATAACAAGTTTTGGCATGTTTTTAGTGAAAGATACTTTCTCACAAGTCTTTAGGAATTGGAGGGTCTCAAATTAATCTTTTCGTAAAAATACTGGTTCTCTTGTTGCCTAGCCTAAAACATAAAAATTAGCTTTAAGCATTTTTGTAAACGTACAAAACGGTAAACATAACGAAAAGAAAAAGTATTGTTACAAGGATGACGTCGCATTATCCAGACATCAATAGCTAAAATTTGATTATTAAGGAAAAACATTTTTGAGGCGCAGTATTTAACGTCAGAAATTAATGTTGGGCCAGCGAATTATTTACCATTGGCTAGAAATGAAACATACAAAAAAAATTGAATCGTCAGTTTTTGATTCATATAAAGGGGTAAGGGATTAATGTCAGATGATTTTTATTGATATAAGAACATAAAAATTAGAACAAAATGTGTCCTAGAAAGAATTTGCATTTTCTAGGTGCTTTTCGCGGAAAATGAATTTACAAATCATGCGAAGGGAAATCCTAAAATAGTCATATCACGTCACAAATTTGTTTTCTCGTATCTGAAACATCATAGTTAACTTAAAAATAGTCCATGGTGAAAACATAGACAGTTCAAGGTAAAGGAACAAACTAATTAATGTAAAAAGGGGCAGTCGACGCACTATGGAAGTAGCAAAGAACCCAAGTTTACTTTTCATTGAAACATCATTTAATAAATAACAGCATTCAGAATTCAGGAAATTTAAGGTTGGACGCTGATCATCGTTTAGTAACCTAGCAGAAGTTTAGTAATGAAGAACAGAGAATGCGCTGTCGTAGTATTTCTGAAACATCTCAATATCAGCTAAATAAATTTTAGAATCGAATCTGGACACACAAAACATTGAAGGGGATGTGTCGAGTGTTCCGGAAAATGAAATCGATCCCTCATTACTTGGCAAAAGCATTTCTGATTCGTCAGAAGCTGAGGAAGAGGAGGGGAATGATGGCCAGGAAAATGTGAGTTTCACAAAAATGAAGTTACCCATTAAAATCGGGATTAGTAATGGGGTTTGCATCCATATAAACGCATGCTTTTTGAACAATTGACGGCTTGTCAAAAATTAAAAAATCAGGGGAAAATCGAGAATCTCTAAATTTCGAAATTCTGCCTAAATCCTTCAAACCCTAAATTTATTTTTTAAATTTAAAACAATTTAAATTTTTAAAAATTTATTCAAACCCTAAAAGAGACAGATTTTAAAGCCTCCAAAATCAGCTGAAAACGCTAACTTACCTACCGTCAGATTTTTTCAAACGGACTTTTTGCCAAGTATTTATGTTCTCTAATATGAATAGAGTAAATGTTTCTGAATGTTTTTTAGCTATTCTTAAACGTAAAAACTTTAGACATCTTTACGAAAAATTCGAGTAAGACAAATTTTTCGATCAAAAATGTTCGATTTCAGGTAAAAACCCAAGAGTTGGGAGTTTTTTGGTAGTTTTCCATTTCAAAGATATTGAATTTTCCTAACAACACGATTAAACACTGATAGTTACGGTATTAAGAACTTGTAGACTTGTGTCGAAAATCAATTTCAGGTACAAAACAATCGTCTCTGGGGGCAAGAAATAGTTAATCAATAGTTATAAGACACAATTAATTCGCTATATATCGCTATAATCGCTATAATTAAAATCATTCGCTTATTTAATTTATGACCACAAGCGGATCCTCTATCAAAAAATTTTTGGAGGATTGGAGCAATAGCGCCAGCAGAAAAATCTAGATGACTCTAGGGTTCAGGCAATCTAGATGGATGACAAAGCTTGTTTCTTGCAATTTGCTTGTTGAATAGTGGTATAAAAAAGTTCGTCGACACCTATTCAATTCCAGAAGTCGCGCGGAATGCGCCCGAAATCGGCAAAACCACGCGGAGGTCACGAGCGCCCGGCGCATTCAGCCCACAAAAAAGTGAGTTTCAAGAAAATTGCTGCTTCGGCTATTTTGGTTGTTGTTAATCGCGTTCCTGCGGCGTTGCATAGATCCTAATCTTACTAGAGTTACCTCAACCGTGGCAGCGAAAAATGTCCAGTCCAACGGACCTTTAAACGCTTCTAAATTAATATATTCGCCTCTGAAAAACAAAAGCTTCAAGGAAATCAGTGTTTTAGGCATAAAACTGGATCTAATTTACGGCGAACTTGTAGATCCTAAAAAAATATCGTAAAAATATGTGAATTGCTGCGAAATATCGGTCGCTCTGTCGCAAAAATTGTTTTGCATAGATTTTCGAAAAGATCATGTTCATCGAATTTAAGATCATGCTGGTCCCGGCAGAGCAAAAAAAACACCTGAAAAATGGCTGAATTTTAAATAACAACGTGTAGAGATAGTTAAAAACAATACAAATAATTTTATTAAAGGGTTTTCAGGTTTTTTCTAGAATCCAAAATTCATAATCCATCTATATTTAGTCCCCATCGGCCGGCTCGCAAAAATCAAAAGTGGTCCGCCTAAACACCAAGGAAAACGATGATGAGGTAACGTCTCAAACAAAATTATGTTTTATAGAAAAGTGTATACCAGCAAAATTTATATAGTCAATTACTTGTTGTTTCCATGACGCAAAAATCTAATAATAGAAAAAAACTAAACGTGATGACATGGACATTTTCATAGCAGTCCAGAAATGCCCAGGAGAGTAAAATTAAGTATTTTAATAGTCTTTTCCTTAAAATCTAACCAGATTTTAAGTAGAAAAACTATCAAATCACTTAGAAAATGTTCAAATTTTGCTAGAAAATGGTTTTTTTTCGAAGAATTACATTTTTTACTTTTTATCTGATTTGTAAAGTTTTTACGTCTAGAAATAGTAGGGGAAAAGGGAAAAGCGGTTCCCCCGATAATGCCAAAGTACCAAGATAATCCTATCCTATAAGCGAGAAAAGTATGTGTGTTTTCTGTAATGAAGATTTCTCGGCCGTCAGGCCGAATTTCGCGCTGATTTTTGGCATGGAGGCGGAGAAACACATCCTCTTTATACGCATTTTTTTGTTTTTCGAAATTCCTTCATTTAACGATTTCACAAGAAAAATAGTGTAAAACCCTTAACATTGTGGCCAAAAAAAGGTTTGTACAGAGGATATCTCGCGATCCAAATGGAATTGGGCGCTAATTTTTGGAGGGTAGATTGAAAATTGAATTCTCCCGATATATAATTCTGCGTTTTGTCAGATTTTGTAAAATAAAGTTTTTATGAGCATTTTTCTAAAAAGTTCTTAATAAAGTGGGGCAAGAGCCGTGGTGCCTGGGCCATAACTCGAAGCTCAGATGAAATTTCGGGCTGGAATTTGGACCACTTATGTATTCGATGGTGGGGATCATGTGCCGGTAGTTAGTTTTTGAAAATATTGTGATGTCGTTGCATACAATGCGAATTTGTAAAATTGGTTTTTGCCAGCTCCTCGGGCTCAAACGTGAGTAATTGACAGACTGAAAAGATAGAGCCGAACGTGCTAAATCTTTTCCTTTTTAAATTTTTAAATTTGGTTGAATTACCGGGGCGATAGAGCCGTTTTTGTTTCGGAGAGGGCCGCCCTTTTGGGGCGCCTGGGGAGTACCCCTCTGTGTTCCCAGCCCGTCCTGACTCGCCCCCCACCTAACCCACTCCCAGGTGATAACCCCCAAGGTTTCGAAGCGCTGCCGGGTGGCTGGCCGAAAGGTTAACACTGAACAGCCACCTTCCTAGAGCGCCCCAGCAATGGGTGACGAATTTTTGGCCGCTACGCTCAAGGGGGAGTCGTCCTCCGATGGCCATACAAATTTAAACGCTCGCTCCCTTGGGACGCCAAGGGGTTCAGCTAGCCTGTTGCTGGACAAGCCAGACCCGGAAGGGATGGTTCGGCCTGACGGTCGTAATGTCGGTCCTGTTGGCACCAGTACCGATCTGCCGGACCCGGTAAGGGTGTCGGAAACAGCTGAGCCTCAGCAGGGTACGAAGAACAGAGGGCCTGCCGATTGGACCCGAAGAGGTAGCAATACCGAGGTTCAATTGGCTGGGCGAGTAGCGGCACCCTCCAGCTGTTTTCCGGGACAACACCCCGCGGCCTATCATCAAACACCGCGGCATCCCATGCAGATCGTGAAAATGCCTTCGGTGCCGAATACCAGCAGTAACTCGACCGGTACGCTCCATACGGGAAAGAAGCTGTCTGACTCGGGATTTTTCGTTCCGAACCTGCGGCAAACGCTAGGCCCTGATTCTTCGAAGCTTTGGGTGCCTCGACAGCAGATAGAACCCGCGCCTGTTCTAAAACCTGAGCCTGTACAAATACAGAGAAGGAAGGAAAAGATTAGTCGCGCGGAACGTGTACAACTGAGGTTGGAATACGACCAAAGTTTACCGCTGACCCCGGCCGATCCTGTACTTGCTCAAGGTCCTGTCAATGTGCCTGAGGTTTCGTTGAGCCAGACTCCGAGTTCACGCGAGCGACGGAAGCGAAAGTCTGACGCGGAAGGCGAGAGGGAACCGCGAGTCGGAGGAACCCCTGAGGAGCATGAATCCCAACTCGCGACAAGGCGTGCGAAACGCGTGCATAGCTCCCAGGGAACTCCTGATCAATCGCACCTCCCATCGCAGTCCGTCGAAGGCCTAGCCAACGTCACGCCTCTGTCTCGCCTCAATTCCCAGAAAAAGGCTAATGCGGTGCGCTTAAGAGGAATACGTGGCAAGGAAACTCCTGAGGAGCGCGAAAATCGCCTCGCGAAAGTACGTGATGCCAAACGGCTCCGTGAACCTCAATGGAGTGACTGCGACACGCAAGACTCGGCGCGGACCCCGAACCGCCATGCCACGATTTCTGAGGGTTCTAGGGAGTGGTCTCAGCGTAAATCAAATACCGCCCAGGTGAGGATGCTACGTGCAAATGAAAGCCCAGCTGAGCAAGCCGCACGGCGAGCCAAAGACCTCTACGCTAAAAGGTTGCAGGAGTCTCGGTTGAGCACAAGTGAACGTGAGAACCAAAATATCGCACGGGCCGCGCGTGTAGCGGCAAGGCGCTCCAGAGAATCGCCTTCTCGGCGTTCGGAGCGTCTTAGTCGAAATGCGATATCTACAGGCAGTTCACGAAACCGAGAATCCTCATCCCAAAGAGTATTGCGTCTGGGGGCAAATGCTATTCGGACCGCGGCTCGCCGGCAGCAACTACGCCATACGGCTGCTGCGCGTGCAGGTGCTGCCCGGAATCCGGATGCGTTTCCCCCCATCCACTATCTTGGCAAACCGGACATAGCTTGCAGTTGCTGTGGCGCATTGCATTACGCAGTCGAAACAAAATCCTCGAGCGGCAGTTTCCATTCGTGTTGTGGCCATGGCAAGATTGCTATTTCGTTGTTCGACGATTTCCCCGGGAATTGGAAGATCTTTACAAAGGGGATACCCGAGAATCGAAAGATTTTCGGGCGAACATTCGAAATTACAATAGCGGTCTAGCTATGGCTTCAATGACGGCCCAAATGGATGCTCCGCCCGGAAGAGGTCCACGGCCTTATCGGATCCATGGAGCAGTGTACCATTTGGTCGGCCCTATGAGACCACAGCCTGGAGAGCAAGCCCAATATGCCCAGATCTATATTATGGACACCGAGCAAGCGGCCAACGAGCTAGCCGGTCGTGCCATCAATCGGCACTGCGATCAAGGCCTCTTTGCCAACCTCCATCTCCTCTTGCAAAACGTCAATATCTATGTACAATCATTGATGATGATGGCAGAGGTGTCCAAGGAGGAGTCTGATCAAGCAGCTGCCGATGGGCGGGAAGCTCTCTCAGCGCAGTTGGTCTTTCGAACAGATAAAAGGGACGACCAAAGACGGTTCAATGCGCCTACATCCAATGAGATTGCCGTTGTTTACGTTGGTGACGATGAGTCGATACCCGGCGAGCGCGTGTTCTATATTCACGAGCGAGACGGCGGCCTCAGGCAGATCCACTACTTGCAGAAAGAGTGCGAACCACTCTGTTATCCTCTCTTCTTCCCTCGGGGTGGAGAGGGGTGGCACCCTAACATTCCGAAGCAAGTGGGAAATGCTGGCCGTCGTGGTAACTCTGACGATGACGAACCGGCTATTGCCGATGACGGTCCGCCGAACCGGGTATCACAAAGAGAATATTTCGCCTATAATATGTTCGTCAGGCAAGGCTTCAATCCTATCCACCACGGCGGCAAGCTTTGCCAACAATATTACGTGGATGCCTTCGCCAAGACTGAGCAGAATAGGCTTAATTATTATCTGACTCACCAGCGGGAACTTCGGCTGGATACGGTCCGTGGCCTCACCGATCACATGAATTCTCATGGTCAAGGTCCTGCAGGCAGAAAGATTATTTTGGGCGCCGGTCATCAAGGCAGTGGTCGAAATTCGGTTGCACAATATCAGGATTCAGTGGCCATTATGACCAAGTACGGAAAGCCAGATCTCTTTTTGACCATCACTTGCAATCCGAACTGGCGAGAAATTCAGGAAGGTCTTTACCCAGGCCAGACTGCAATTGATCGTCCAGATTTGGTTGCAAGAGTGTTCGAATTGAAAATGAGAGCACTCGATGAGGAACTTTTCAAAAAGCACATCCTCGGAGAAATGGCTGCCTACGTTTCGGTGATTGAATTCCAGAAACGAGGGCTTCCGCACCGTCATATGGTCCTATTTTTGAAGGAGGATTCAAAGCTCAGAACATCTGACGAGGTTGATAGTATCATCTCAGCTGAGCTCCCTGATTCCGACACTAATCCTGAATTGTTTCAATTGGTTTCGACCAATATGATCCATCGACCTTGCGGTGCCCATAATCCTTCGTCGCCCTGCATGCAAGACAATACCTGTTCTAAAGGATTCCCGAAAGAATTGAGAGACACCACTCTGATTTCAGACGGTTATCCCAAGTACAGACGCCGAGACCAGGGAAGGACTGTTCGGTATACGGTGAACCGGGTGGATGTCGTACTTGACAACCGTCACGTCGTGCCGTACAACCCTTATCTCCTGCTTCGGTTTGGTGCTCACATCAATCTCGAATGCTGCTTCTCCTTCGACTCGGTCAAATACCTCTTCAAATACGTATATAAGGGTACGGACAGAGCTCGCTTCCAACTTCGGGATGCAAACAATGATGACCTTGGACCGGTCAATGAGATCGAACGGTACATACAAGGTCGTTATTTGTGCGCTCCCGAAGCTTGCCATCGTCTTTTCGCATTTCCCATGCAAAAGAAGAGCGACAAAGTCATCCGACTCCAAGTACATCTTGACGGATTTGAAAATGTGGTGTTTGACCCAGAAGATGCACAGGCGGCACTGAATAGAGCTCGCACTCATAAGACAACGCTGAGCGCATTCTTTGCCATCAACACGCATATGCAGCATTTGGAGGATACCGGAGCAAGGACGGTTATGGTTAACGGTCAAAAGTGTCTGCAGATCGGGAGAAGGAGAGACGCAGAGAAGGTCTTAGATTCCAGAGAATTTTTCTATGGCCAAATGCCAGAAAAATATCGTATCGTTCAAGGCAAATGGGTGCAACGAAAGAATGCGTCGCGGGTGATTGGCCGCATGTACCATGTCTCTCCACGAGACACGGAACGTTTTGCCATGAGACTGCTTCTGCTCTATACGAAAGGCCCCAGGAGCTTCGAACAACTGCGCACCATCAACGGCACTCAATTCAACACCTATTTTGAGGCCGCCAAAGCAGCAGGATACATGAACGATGACTCTGTGAACCTAGCTACGATGCAGGAAGCCGCCGATGTGCGGATGCCTGGAGAACTTCGCAGCTTCTTCGCTTCCTGATCTGCTTCGCTGACGTGCAGGACCCTATAGCGCTATGGGACCGCTTCAAGAACGACCTAATGCAGGACTTCCTTGCTCGCGGACTTTCCATCCAAGTCTCGGAGTCAAAGGCCTACTGGGAAATTGTCGAAGATCTGACAGTTCTCGGGGTCAGAGACAGCCCGTTGTTCCAACTCAATTTGCCAAAGTACGACATTGACATCGTCGTTGTTGATCCCGCTGAGCATGCTCGACTCGGGAACGACAAATACTTGCAATTGAACCCGGAACAACTGAGAGCAACGGATGAAGTCTTGGCCGAGGTCGCAGACCCAACTGGGCAGTGCTTCTTCATTGACGGTCCAGGGGGAAGCGGCAAAACCTTTGTCTACCAAACCATCTACCACATTCTATCCGGTATGGGCAAGAAGATTCTCTCGGTAGCGTGGACAGGTATTGCCGCCAACCTTTTGGAAGAAGGACGAACAGTCAGCACTGCCTTCCGGCTGTTGATCAAGGCCAACAACAAGGAATCCAGCATGAAAAGGCAAAGCATTGAAGCACGAGCACTCGCTGAGATCGACCTGATCATCTGGGACGAAGCACCAATGGCACCGAAAGAAGCACTCGAAGCAGCTGATGCTCTTCTTAAAGACATTATGCAAAACGATGTGCCATTCGGTGGAAAGGTCATGGTACTTGGAGGAGATTTCCGACAGGTACTTCCCGTGGTCGATGGCGGTGGTCGTGCTGAAATGGTGTCAGCCTGCTTGAAGACATCCCGACTCTGGCCTCTCTTTCGAAAGTTTGAGCTCACGACCAACATGAGAGTTCGGGATGCAGGCAACGATTGGAAGGACTATCTTCTCGCTCTGGGTAATGATCTACTCGACAAAGACGAAGAGGGATACCTCGAAGTACCCGAAGATCTCAGATGCGAGCAAGATTTGGCCGAAGCAGTCTTCCGACCAGCCTTCGATGAAGGAGTTGAACTTTCTGAAGTAGCTATCCTTACACCCAAGAACGAACAATCTCTCGAGCTCAACAACCGAATCTTGGATATGCTACCCGGAGAAGTCAAAACCTTCAGAAGTGCTGACTCGGCCGAGACTACTGATCCAACCGATGCTGCCAACTTCAACGCAGAGCTTCTGAACAAGATGACACCATCTGGAATGCCTCCCCACCTGCTCCATCTAAAGGTGGGTTGCATCGTGATGCTTCTGCGAAATCTCAGCGTCAAAAAGGGTCTCTGCAACGGTACCAGGCTGATTGTCGAGCAAATCGGAGCCAGAATTCTCCTCTGCACAATTGCCACGGGTAGCAGGAAAGGCAAAAAAGTGTTAATCCCCCGAATTGATTGCCTTTATGACAAAGCCACACTACCATTCGTGCTGAAGCGACGCCAATTCCCGGTTCGGCTGAGCTTCGCAATGACCATCAACAAAAGTCAAGGGCAATCATTCGAAAAGGTCGGCATTGCGATGTTACACGAAGAAATCTTTGCACACGGCCAGCTTTATGTTGCTCTCTCGAGAGCACGGAGCCGCAAAGGTGTCTCGATAATGGCCAAGGACAACAAGATGAAGAACGTCGTTTACGAAGAAGTCCTCGAATAAAAATCTTTTGTCATTGTTGATTTTTTTTGTTGTTATTGTTATTGTTGTTGCTTTCTATTATCTGTTGTTTCCATTGCTCTTTCTTCACCATATTTCGCAGAATAAATATTTTTAACCCTAATCTGTGTCCCTATTTTGAAAATTGGTTCTTTGCCATAAGTATCTGTAACCTTTTTAGAAACGTATTTTTTAATCTATTTTTCAGCTTAATGTGACCGGCCTACGGCCGGCACATAAATTGCCGATAGGCTTTTGGGGAGGTCAGAGTCATGTGGTCCTAGAAGTGGCCAGTGGAAAATGCCGCGAAGCGGCTTTTTTCCACTGGTATGGTATGTAAAGGTATAATAAGGGTGATTAATAAATATTTTTCGAGGTTTAACAAAGAAATAATAATAATAGATATAGATGTAGAAAGAATAATAGATAATCAAATTATCCTGACCGTTTTCGTCCGAAGGGTGATTATAATTGTCATCTTCTTGTAAACTATTGTTTTTCACGAAACACTAATTTTTCAGGAAAACGTCGATCGCGTGGGTGGTGGGGACAAAGTGCTGCTCAGGTATGTAAATTCCAAAAGTCCTGTTAAATTAAACCTCCGTAAATAGATCCAAACGCTCAAAGTCCGCCTCAACAACAAAACTTTCCAAAAAACGGGCCGTAAAAACGGCAATTTCCGAGTACGAGGCAATACAGCGGCATTTCTTGACGCTGTCTCCCGGATGGCGAATGCCCGGGATACGGTAATTGCCGCACTCGGGTGCCAAATAGTGGATCACGAGGGTTTTGGTTGCTTTTCTGATTTTTGGTGAATTCTCAATCCTTTGCTTTTTGTTTACGGAGGTCCTAATGACTAGAGCCACCAAAATCTTTTTGGGTTTGTAGATTTTGAAACCATCATTTTTTGGAGAGAATCGAGAGGATTAGCTTTATTTCACAAGTTGAGATTTTGAAACATGCCAATTCTGGCTAAAAAATGAATGTACTTTTATAATTTTTTATATTTTGAGCTTCGTATATTTTACTCGTTTCAACCAGGAATTTAGCTCGAATGTCTCTTTAGTAGACAAAGTAGCTTTTATTTCACAGGTACAAATGATGAAACATGCCTTTTGCTGGCAAAAAAGTGTTGGATTCTTTCGGTTGTTTTATTTTTAGTTTGCTTAATTTCCTGCTCAGAGCTCCAGCGAGAATGTTTGTTAAGTTTCAGAACATTTGATCCAGAAATTCAGACTGATCACGTTCTCCTCATAAACAAATTGCCCAAAGCTTTTTTTGATTAGAATTTTAAATAGTAAGGTGTCAAGGTCTTTCCTAAAGCGCGTAACGTAAAGAAACCCAAACTATCCCTAGATTTTTTCCAAACCTTAGTTTTCAAAATTTTCGGTGCCGAAATCGTCAGTGATCTTTATAATGCGACGTGGGTTTCGCGGCCGAAAATTCAGGAGTAGGCTGCTAAAAACTAGATGACTTTTGTATTAAATTTCATGTTTGAAAAACATGTTTCAAAATTTCATTTCCGTAATCGAAGTGTATCTAGTGAAAAAGCTCTAGTGAATACTCCGTCAAAAAGTTCATTTCCATTTATCTAGTTTGGGGCGCTTTCGCATTAACGCGGGGGGAGGCAAAGGGCATCTACAAGTTCTGGCATAAACAATTCTAGGGTTAAAACGTCATTATATAATCGGTTTAAATGAATTTAGGTTTGGCGTCGTACTATTTTTACGAAATCTGTGTTTCGCTCTTTGGGTGCCTCGGAGCTACACCAAGTCAAAGTAATTCCGTGTGTTAATGCCCTTTTAACTCATCTTTAAACTATGGGTTTTCATGCTAGAATCATAAAGAACGGCCGCTTGCCGGCGGCGGCGAACGAACCAGGCAAGCGGTCGTTCTTTATGATTCTAGCATGCAGATAAAGGGCATTAACACACGGAATTACTTTGACTTGGTGTAGCTCCGAGGCACCCAAAGAGCGAAACACAGATTTCGTAAAAATAGTACGACGCCAAACCTAAATTCATTTAAACCGATTATATAATGACGTTTTAACCCTAGAGTTGTTTATGCCATAACTTGTAGATTTTTTGCCAAAAACATGATTGTAGATGCCCTTTGCCTCCCACCCCCAAAAATGCGAAAGAGCCCCGAACTAGATAAATGGAAATGAAATTTTTGACGGAGTATTCTCTAGAGCGTTTTCCTAGATACACTTCGATTACGGAAATGAAATTTTGAAACATGTTTTTTAAACATGAAATTTGATACAAAAATTCATCTAGTTTTTAGCAGCCTACTCCTGAATTTTCGGCCGCGAAACCTACTCGCATTATAAAGCTCACTGACGATTTCGGCACCGAAAATTTTGAAACATAACGTTTCGAGAAAATCTAGGGATCGTTTGGGTTGCTTTGTGACGTCCATACGTTACGAGCTTTAGGAGTAAGACCTTGCTACCTTACTATTAAAAATGCTAAGAAAAAGAAGCTTTGGGCAATTTGTTTATGAGGAAAACGTGATCAGTCTGAATTTCTGGATCAAAGGTTTTGAAACTTAACAAACTAAAATTCGGGACATGGGATGTCACGCAGGCTGAATCGCTTGATTAAATTGGTTAAATATTATGCCAGATATAAATCTTTTAATGAGCCCCAAGTAAGTCAGTGTGGAAAAGGGGATGAGGTTCAGAAATTATTCAGGCTTTTGGTTCTCGCAGGCACCCAAAGAGTGAAACATCGATTTCAAAACATAGCTTGGCCTCAAAAAATCGTTGATTCAATTTAAATTAAGTTAAAACTGATTAAAACAATGTATGTATCTAGAGCTGTTAATTTTATGAGTTTTAGGTTATAGCCTTCCCTACCCGAAACCCCGTATCAGCCAAAAGCCACCTACCACCCCGGCACCTTTCCCCCTCCGGCACGCTTTTCCAAAAAAAAATGTTTCACACAAAATACTAGACAAAAATTGTTGAAACGTAGTATTAAAATGAGTCTAGGATCAAGCGCGAACCGGAATTCGGGGACGACGAGGGCGATTTTGCGATTTATGAGGACGACTGGGAGGAGCTGGACACCACGAAGCCTACAGGTTGGTTTAAAAGAGCTAGCCAAATTGGATTCCGGTTAGGGTTTGGATTTGAACTTCAGTATGGATTTTACCGCGCTCAAAAAAAACAAGTCCCAAATCTCTTAAGAGCAAACAAAAAAAAATGTTATATCAAATCGCTGCGACTGCGAATTTTCGCATACTGTAATCCACGTGGATTATGGTGGACACTGAAAGAAATACAAGCGTTAATGGTTAAAATTTGCCTGGTTAATGAGTTTGTTACAACTATGCCGCGCAGCTCTGTGGTTTAATCAACGCAAAAAAAAATAAAATAAAACTAAAATCCCAAAAAAATACACGGAAAAAACCAGTTTCACCACGTAATCAAGATGACCAATTTTTCTTCACTGGTAATCGGCACCCGATGTTGAAGCTTTTTCACCGAACCCAATCATAGCTTCAAGCATAAGCGCGCGATCACTTTTGGGCTTGTTCCATTAATCATGCTTTAGTGCCTTGATGGTATACTTAGGCAATGTTCGCTTTATTGCTTTATTCGTACTGAACCGTTAGCAGGGGCGTGTGTCTAAAAACTCTACAAAATGCTATAAAATGGTTCATAGGACAGCGCAGGCTTGCCGGGAAAAATGAGTTCTCCTCTGCTAAAATCCCGCCTGAGTTCCAAGTCCAGTCCCGTTTTATCCGCAAAAATTCCCTAATTAAGGATTTTCTTACACCCCATGCCGCGCGTCTGCGTGGCTTAAAAATGCGTAAAATAAAACGCAAATCCCAAAAATACTCACGGAGCATCAAAAAAATCTTTGAACTCATAGCCGGGATCGCGAATTTTTCTTTTGCCGTAATGGTCCGCCTTCCTTTCTTTGATAGTCCTGCATTAACTTTGTAGTAACCCCGCTTTATTGTCTGAATGGCATACTAGCGACTACTGGGATACTAGATACTAAATTGTCTAAATGGGATAAAAGCAAAGGAAACCTCGAAAATTTTATTACCGGCCGTGGTTTTAATAAATCAAAGTTTAAAGCCCAAATAAAAGTTTTCAACCAAAAAAATCTAGTGATCAGTTGATTGCATGCAAAATTCCCAAACTTGTTTCCTCTCGCAAAAGTGTTTCAAAAAAGTCTTTCATCAAATTTTTCTAAATAAAGCCAATGTCTATCAGAAATTGCAGACTAAAATTGGAAAACACATAGTATTAGAACGAACAGGCTAAAAATGATTGATTTATAGATAATTTTTCGTTTAGCTTCGATTTTTTTCAGGAAAAGAGGCCCGCCGACGGTACATCCACGAGAAGGCCATTTTCCAGGAGTTGACCCATTTGAAGCGGATGCAGATACAGTACGGCAAGGTGGGCAGGGAAATAAGACAAGCTATTTTAAAAATCTTAATTAATTAAAAATTAATCTAAAATTAAATAAAAAAATTAAAAATTAATTTAAATAAAATTAAAAAAATTAATTTAAAATTTTTCGGAACCTTCGAATACGAGCGGCATTCGAAAAGCCTAAAAATGTATGATTCATGGCTATGTATCGGTACAACCCGAAGAGAAACAAGTATTCATTGAATTTGCTTTCTTCAATACTGCGAAAAATGAAACACTTTTTCTTTTCTAAAGGTTTTAATAATTTTAGATTTCTTTCTAGGTGCAAGAAAAACTCCTGGTCCGGTCGTTGGTCGGCAATTTCTGCAAGATGCACGGCCTCAGCCCGGCCGACTTCAAGTTCTACACGTTCTACGCATGGGAAAAGTTCCTCTATGGTACGTTTTACACATTTTTTGATAGAACCGACTAACAAAATAATAATAACCATTTCCCGATTTATTTTAAACACTAATAATCGGTTTCTGAAGTAATGACAAAATCGTTGTGTAAAATGATTAAACGGCTTAAAATAATTGATAAGTTTCACGAAATATGTAGTTCGCATCATTTCTGCGTCCAGTGGTGCTGCGTCGGGATATTGTGAGGTTATTGGAAATGCGTTTCAGATAAAAAGTAAACAAAAAGCAGATGTTACTCGATAGTGTTGAACGCGATGGTACTCAACTATCACCATTACTATAGTAGATTCACCATAATTATGGTGAATCGCTATTGGAATTTGTCATATTTGAGAACTATAAATTGCCTGGATTCAGCTTTGCTATTTTTAGGGGCCTTTCAAAATCTCGAAAATCATAATGTCGAAATTCATAACGTCGAGATTCTATAATGTCGAAATTTACATAAGCAAATCTCTCGAAAAACCTCCAAATTCTTTAGAAAAATTTTTGACATCTTCGACATGCTCAAATTTCGCCATTCTCAAATTTAGAATTATAGAAATTTCGGCATGCTGGTAGCAAATCTACTATATATAAATTTCTAATGTCCGTACGCCCGTCCGTTCAGGAATTCAACCCCGCACTAATGGGAGGTTGGGGGAGAGGGGGGAGGGGCCCGAGGTCACAGGGGCCGTTCGCGCATTAATGGTATCAGAAATCCCCAAACAAGAGAATAATTGTTTCGCAACGGTTTTTATTGTTTTTTTAGTATTAAAGAAAGGGAAACAACTTTCTTTCAAGGGTATTGTTTTTTAGTATCAAAGAAGGGAGATAACTTTGTTTCAAAGGGTATTCTAGCCATTGCAAGTGGAAGGCTCTTTTGGTTTTGGAGGAGGGGCGTAGGTAGATCACGGAAGGTATTCGCGCCAAGCCGGAAACATACTAAAGAGAATGGGAAGCACCCTGTATTGCCTTGCCCCCCGGGAGGGCCAGTCGATAGCAGCCGCGAAGCGGCTGATATCGACTGGTCCCATTTATAGCTTAAACTTGCAAAAACGTGTTTCAGGGCAAATTTACGTATAGTTTAAACTTCACGGTCAATTTGGGATTGAGGCCTTGAAAAATAATAAGTTTCTCGAAATCATCAATAACGCTATTTAATTTTGCTACTAATAGACCTTCCGCCAACCCTGAGGCACTTTTTCAAGCTTTTAAAAGTCAGAAAACAATAAGCTTTAATGTGTGTAATGCTATGTAAAATCAATAAAAGAAATTCGAAAACTGAGATAGTAATTTGGTCACGGTAATTTAGAAAATTTTCAGGGCAAAGAAAAAATTAGTGTTTGAGTGTAAAGAATGAGAACAATAAGTACGACAATTTAATTCGTTCGAATGTTTGTAATTTCGGAAAAGCACGCTGTGATTAGCGGGACTTTCAGACCAGCTGAAGCTCATTTATCTCGAGGAAAGGGAGAGGATCGCCGGACAAGCCGGATTTTCCAAGAACGGAGCTGCACAGCGGTTTTCGCGATTCGAAAATCGTCTCCGCCAAGCCAGAGCCGTGCCGATTAAGTGAGTTTTTGGATATCTTTAATAGCGTCGTTTAATATACTTAAAAGGCCATTCGCGAGTCACTCGAACAGTCCTCAGCTATAGCTTGGCACAGTTTTTTTCGACCCTGTTTTTTTGACGGCATCGGATAGAGCATAGTCGAATTAGTAGGGCTGCATAGTTTTAAAAGTTTAAAAAGTTAGTTTTTAGTGTTTAAATGGGCCTCAAAGTTGCCGACCGCGAAAAACTATCTCGAAAGCTACTGCACCGAATTTGCTGAAACCTTGTGACAATACCTAATTTGGGATGGGGATCATTTCTCTAATACATCGCAAAGCGCGAAAATCACTGCAACATGGCTAAATCGAAAAGTAAAACCAGTTTTTTGAGATTTTCGAATTTTTAGTATTCCGAGCGCAACTTGAAACTATCATAGAAAGATGCGCGAGATTTTTCTGTATCGATTGGTGTATCATTTAGCTTGCGCTAGGAATACTAACATTGAAAAAAATCGCGATTTGTAGGGGAAAAACGCCGGAAAAATGTGCCATAAAAATACAAAGTAGTTAATTTTGTTAATCTGAGGTATCAAAACGCATCTAGAAGCCGAGCTGAAGCGATTGCAAAAAAGAGCAAAAAGAAATTTCGTTTCTTTCGATGTCGTGGAATCGAACCCGGACCCTCCGCCTAGGAGCCCTGTGGCGCAATGAGTAGAGCGTCGGCGTACCAATCCAGAGCCGCCGCTAGTTCAATCCCGGCCCCCTCTTAGAAGCCGAATTTCTTTTTGCTCTTTTTTGCAATCGCTTCAGCTCGGTTTCTAGATGCGTTTTGATACCTCAGATTAACAAAATTAACTACTTTGTATTTTTATGGCACATTTTTCCGGCGTTTTTCCCCTACAAATCGCGATTTTTTTTCAATGTTAGTATTCCTAGCGCAAGCTAAATGATACACCAATCGATACAGAAAAATCTCGCGCATCTTTCTATGATAGTTTCAAGTTGCGCTCGGAATACTAAAAATTCGAAAATCTCAAAAAACTGGTTTTACTTTTGGATTTAGCCATGTTACAGTGATTTTCGCGCTTGCGATGTATTAGAGAAATGATCCCCATCCCAAATTAGGTATTGTCACAAGGTTTCAGCAAATTCGGTGCAGTAGCTTTCGAGATAGTTTTTCGCGGTCGGCAACTTTGAGGCCCATTTAAACACTAAAAACTAACTTTTTAAACTTTTAAAACTATGCAGCCCTACTAATTCGACTATGCTCTATCCGATGCCGTCAAAAAAACAGGGTCGAAAAAAACTGTGCCAAGCCTATTTCGGTCCACCCGCAAACGGCCTTTTAAAATCGTGTTAAATGCTTTAATATGCCGCCAAGTAAAATTCTACATTTTTTCGAGACCGAAGAAGCCTTAAATTAAAATATCAATTTCGAAAAATTGACGCAACATACGAATTTTTACGGAAGGAAGCCCATCGGAACCATTTTTTTCGTTTTTTGAAATTATTTTTGAGCTTTCTATTTGTGCATTAACGCAGCTAGTCATTTAAAAACTTAAACTATTTCAGCCAATTTTTAAAAAATTTGTGCTTGAGACAAAACCACGTGGAATTAATCTCAGAGCGTTTGTCGAAGGTTTACTAAAACATGAAACTTAAAAATCGATTTAGAACGAATTGCGAAAATTGATACTCTGTTAATATGACCATAAAACCTTCACTTGGCCTGCCTTTTTGCCGCAAGTCGTTCCTCGGCCTGGATTCGGCCTCGGCTTCGGCTTTTAAGGCTTCGACCTTAAAATAATTTAGATGTTTCAGAAAATCACGACTCCGCCAAAAGTTAATCGTAGTCAATCGGAACCCGTGGAGGTGTTTGCTATCACGAGCGGGAAATACAAATACGAGAACTTATAGCAACTTTTGTAATTGATTTTACATGAATCGTTTTTGAGATGTTTTAGAGTCACATATCACGTGGAGGCTTATTCCCGAAATTTTCATCAAAATTATTAAAAACCTTAAACATAGATCTCTTTTTGGGCAGCCTAAGGCAACTTATATAATCTAAATTTGTTAAATATAACCCTAAAATTGTGTTCGATTTGTGGTTGACTCACATTAAAAAAAATCGTGCTTTAGAACGACGCAACACCGTAATAAAAAAAGTTGTTTCCATTTGAAGTATATACGAAAAAAAGATCATTGAGGATTACGGATAGCAACTTTAAGGCCTATAATTTATTCGAGTGATTTTGAAGCTCGGGATTTTTGTAAATTTTCGAAATTTTATATTGAGGACTAAACATACTCTAAAGTTAGTTCTTTAGGGTGGCTAAATGATTTTAAGACATAAAAATCAATATAAAACAGAAATAAAATAAATATAATTTTAGATCCCCCGGGTTGGCTGGGCTGGGATCCTACTATATATAAAAAAAATAGTGTTTGTGTGTGTGCGCATTTGCATGTAACTTCCGTGAGGTTGTCTCCCACCTACAGCCTCAGGGGAAAGTTTATCGGGTACGTACGATACGTCATTAGCAGGGCTGGTCATTTCGGACGCGGGTCGGACCCGCACCCGTACCCGGACCCGGACCCACCCGGACCCGCATAAATTTGCATGGGTCCGGGTGGGTCCGGGTGGGTCCGGGTAGGTCCGGGTCCGGAAATGCAGCAAGATGCAAATGTAACAGCATCCTCTTCTTCTTCATCGGATCTCTCATCATCGGACGAATAGTTGTCCATCTGTTTTTTCTCGTGATTTGGGTCTTACTTACCAACCCACAAAACCCAAACCAATAGGAAAGCAAGTCCTTGAAAAATGACTAAGAACGGATCAAAACTATACATCGGAAATCATGCAAATGACCCGGACCCACCCGGACCCACCCGGACCCACCCGGACCCGGACCCGGTCGGACCCATGCAAATTAGGGTAGGTCCGGGTCCGGACCCGGTCCGATCGGACCCGGACCGGGTCCGGGTCCGGGTCCGAAATGACCAGCCCTGGTCATTAGGTGCGTATCGGTGCCGAGATGAGTGCACACACATCAAAGTTTTGAAAAATTACTGTTTTCGCGATTAAAATGGAGTTTTTTGGTAGATGTCGGCTACGCGGGGGGGGGGGGGAAATTTTACGCGGGGGGACGGACTGTTGGGGCCGAGCTAACTATTTTTCTTTTATTTTCTTTTTGCTACAAACAAAACTCTTCGTATATATTTTGACGCTCTGTCAAACGGCACTAAAGAAATTTTGTAAAAATGTCGAAAATGTCGAAAACTTGATTTCCTTCTATGTTCTCCATCGAAACAACGTTTGATACTTGTTTTTGTTATAACTATTTTATATTAAATTATTTTCAGCTAAAAAGAAAACTCTTAGTATATTTTTGGATGCTCTATGGAATGGCATCTTTAAAATGTCGAAAAAATAGCGCGAACGTCAAAAAACAGCCGCTCAAACCGATTTTCAAAGCTTATTTATGTATTTGCCATAACTTTTTTATATTACACTAATTTGAGCTAAAACAAAAACTCTTAGTATATTTTTCGGTGCTCTATCGAATGCCGTTGAAAAAATTCCGAGTAAATAACGAGAACATCCAAAAAGGCCTGCCTGTCCCGTCCCCCCCGCGTAAAATCCCCCCCCCGCGTAGCCGACATATACCGAGTTTTTTGTAAAGCTATCCAAAAATCTCTTTGTTAGGAGGCAATTTGCATGCGCCGGAAGTGGGGAAAGCCTATATAAGGGGGTAGAGGGGCCTTTTCCCATTTTTTTTGTGATCGGTTCGGGAAGAAATATGCACATTTTTGACTCTGATGTGCGTTAGGCGGGGCCAGGGTTGAAAAGTCGCGAAGCGGCCGTTCAACTCTGGTTTGTGTTTAAAATATAATACACAGCAAAATTCGTCGGTCTTCGAACCTCGCATGGCTTAGTTGACTTGAAACATGGTTTTTCAACCAAAAATGTCTTAAAAACGGTTTTTAACAAGGTTTAATCGAAAGTGTATTTCCAATATTTTCAGTGATAAAGTACGAGAGCTGACGCGGATCTACGGCAACGGGACGATGACGGCCGGGGCGAGGTCACCGAATAGGAAACAACGCCAACAACAGCCGCAGCCACCGTCCAACTCCAGTGAGCCATCAAAGGTTTCTTGTAGTGGGAGGAAACGGTAGAATACGGCAGATACCATAGCGTAACGTAGCATACAGCAGTATGACGTAGCATACCGTCGTATAACGTAGCATACCGTAGCGTATCGTAGTATACCAAGTATAACGTAGCATATCGCATCTTGTTTTAACGCAACGTACGGGTTGATACGATATGTTTCAACCATTTCGGGTCTTCGAGAGAAATTGTGTTGCTCAATTCAGTTCTTCCCCGATGCCGAATCTTCATTTAATTGGCGGTCAACATCCAGCTGCATGCAAGATGTTTTCAGAAAATTTGTTAAACGATTGCGATATTTTTAATATTTTAAATATAATATTTTATATAATATTTTTTGTAGTTCTAATGAAAAATTGCATAATTGTACGGTTAACGTTCTAAATTGTTTGTTTTTAACTCGCTTCTTTTCGGATCGTCAAAATAAATGCAAAATTCTCGTTGTCTCTCATTACGAGATCATTCGACTTGCAGGTATACATGAAATGTTTCAAAAAATTTGGTTGAGCGAGAAAAGCCTATTTTCTTATTGATGAGCTGTTTTTCTTAATAGACAAATATATACGGGCATTTCGCAAAAATTTGCAATTTTCCTTAAAGATGAATTGTTTCAGAAATAAACGTTGTTTAAGAAATTATTGCATGCTTAATGAGCGGTCTGCACTGAGTCGAAAAATAGATGTCCATTATTTCGTCTTTTCATTACTGAGGACAGCTACATTGATAATAAATGTTTCAAAAATTTTGGTTAATGCTAAAACAATTTTTTGAATAATAATGTATCAAACAAGCATTTAATCAAATTATTTGTTTCATAATAAACAGGTTAACTTTGAGATTTAGCTTGATGCAATTTTTCTTGATTTCATAAACCCAAACTCGTTTTTACAGAATAACGGCAAACGCTGCGAATGCCTGGGCCGACAATCGATTACGACTGATTAACCCAAAAATATACTCAACCGTTTTTCGATTTTTAATTGATTACGATAGTTTATAAGAAACTTCTTGAATTACGTTTTAGAGCTCGTTTAGTGTCTATATTTGATGTGATAATGCATATCCCGATGATTTTTATGCACAGCGACGATTCAATAAATTTTATGTTTTAATTTTAAGCCAACTACAGCGAATTTAATTTCGACATTATGAATGAGATGGAATTGATTAACGTATTTTTTGCAGATCTACTCATTTCATTCCAATATTACAAAATAAAAAAATTGTCCGAATGCCGCTTTTAATGAAACATTAAATTTGATGTTAACCACTTTGCGCCTTTTTATGTAATTTGTTATTTATTTTCTTTTTTACTATTGGTTGCTATTGTCATTTCATATGCAAGAATCCCGAGTTGAAATGGTAAATTTTGCAAAAACCTTTTACTACCTAATTATCATGTCTAAGCCACGCATTCAATAAGTCTTTTTTCTTGGTCTGCCATAGGTGATGTAAATAAGTATATCGCCAAGTAATCCTTTATTAATATTATTATGCCTAAATTGCTAAATTTAGCAATACTTTTGCTTTATTTTAATAGGTAGAATTTTTTGTGGACCAGTTAAAGGCGGGTAATATAATCAAAGCGCCATTTTAAATGAATTTGTTTGAATAAAATTATGAGGCTAGATTTTTCGTGCCAATGCCATATGAAAAAAAATCACACAAATACTATTTTTAATGAAACATCAAATTTTATTTTGTTTTTAACCATTTAGAATTTTATTCTATAAGTAGCTTGTTGCTCCAAACTGATATACAGGGTGTCCCAATAAAAAAGGTCACGCTGGCATTTCGCCATTTCAAATCTGTTCGTTCTGAATTTTGGAACAGAGCTGCGGAAGGGAATTTAAAATGTTCACAGAAACTTTCAGCCCGATCGGTACAGTAGTTTTCGAGTTATAACAAAAATACTGTTTTTTCAACACTTTTGCTTCATTTTTTCGGCTATCTTTTTGGACTTTGCATCAATTACCATCAATTTCGGCCCTAAATCCCTCATTCTTCTGAACATCGGGGATGATAACACCTTGTTAAAATGATTTAAACAACTTATTTCCAAAACGAATTTTACGAAATAAAAAATTTTCTGGGGTAAAAAAGGGTCGGCGCTTCATTTTTGCCATACATTCCAAGGCTCATTTCCGGCGGAATCCAGGTTAAAAACGTAAAATAAAGTTTATTTTTGCTATAACTCGAAAACTACCGTACCTATCGGGCTGAAAGTTTCTGTGAACATTTTAAATTGCCTTCCGCAGCTCTGTTCTAAATTTCAAGTCGATCGGATTTGAAATGACGAAATGCCAGCGTGACCTTTTTTATTGGGACACCCTGTAGTCATTTAACATGGCCGAACCACCAATTGTAAAAGTAAATGTTTCAAATGTAAGTTGAATGCCATTCCAGATAATTGCATCAATAGAGCAGCAATAAGAGTTACGTTTAACAAGTTTAAGTAGCTGTTTCTGGTTTGTCTACTCATCGTATTTTTTTATTAATTGGTCAGTTTATTTTTCAATTTGCACATAATATGATTTGAACACATTTATTGCAAGTGGATAACAACCTTTAAAATTCGCAATAGAAATAATATGTGCACAAGATAAAATGATTTAATTGCTAGTAGTAAGAATTGATAAACCTACCAATTTTGATGAAACATAAAATTTCAAAAAATTAGGCTACTTACAAACAAAAATCAAAATCGAAGTATTTCGCATTATCGGGCGGAACTAATTTTTTAAACCGCCGCCCCGATACCCCCCCCCCCCCGATATTGCAAAAACACCGGAACACCAAGGCATCGGTACATAAAAATTTTGTAAAAATGCATACATCAATAATTATGGCTAGTTTTTAATTGAATTGAGCAAAAATTGATACACGGTTAATCGTCGTTAAAATAAAAAAAAACATTGGAACATTTTAATTAAAAATTAAACAATTAAATTACAAGAATTTAAGCGACCTCAAATCTCTCTTCATCAAATACTAAAAATTTAATGAAATAGAATTACAAAACTCGAAACATATCACCGCAACGCCGACAGATTGGAGAGCGCTGAAAAGGTGCGCTGGATGAGTGGCAATGGGTGTAGCTCGTTTTCCTCGAACCTGGAAATGTTGTAACAATAGTTTTCGAGAATTCTTTTATTAAATTAGGGTGATTTAATAGGCAATGAATTATAAGCGCATTAAAATTTTGCAAAAAAAAACAAGCATTAGAAAGGTATGATGATCACCGAACGATCTGGAAAAATCTCCCAAAAAGATTTGGTCCGGGCCGGTTTGATATTAATAGTTTTATTTAAGTTTTGTAAAAATTGCCTATATAGTTTTACTTTTACTTTTCTTTTTCTTACCTTTACTTTTTGTTAATTCGTCTTAATTTATTAACGGCACAAAACTGAATTGCGATCAAGCTAAATTAAAGATTTTTCTCAATACCAGAAAACTTGGCCACGTCAACCGACCGCGGATTAAAAAGCAGATCTGTCGAAGACCGTCCGCCCGAATTCGAAACATTTTTATATCTTGTTGAAATCAGTGACCTGCATATATCTGCCGTCCCGGTCCCTTTAAATGCCAATACCTACCAGGTTTTGGTCGTAAACCGAACGCTCTTCGACATGGCGGCCAGGCCAAAGTTGTGGGTGGCCGTCACGCACACGATATATCTGAAATGAAATTATTGGTATTTTTTTTGTTGTTTTTTGCAGTATAAAAATAATTTGCATTAACTCTAAATTTTTCTTTTGGAATGGTGGAGGTATGAGATTTTTTAAATGTTTCAACTCATTTGGTTTCTGAGTGAAATAGAGGGTGGGCGGTCCCTTGAGTTTGTTGCTATCCCAGTAATTGACCCGCAAAAATCAAAAGCACCGCGTTGAATTTGTAGCTTGATTTTTTGATTCGGTTGATTTTTTGTTAATATCCAATCCTACTATACCAGATGGTTACAGTCGCTTCGCGACTGCAACCATCTGGCCTTCGGGCTACCCTACATGTCGCACTCCACCACATCCTTTCCCACCTCCATCAATACCCCCCATGGCTGAAATCCCCTTCAAAAACTACCTAAATACCTTCCTAATGGCTTCAGATACCCCCCATGGCTGAAATCCCCTTCAAAAACTACCTAAATACTTTCCCGATGGTTTAAGATACCTCCCCTAGCCGAAATCCCCTTAAAAAACAAAAATAACGGCCGACCGGATGGAATGAGAGAAAAAAAAAGAAATGAAACCCCCGTGAAAATTTTCATCCACGAAACGCGCGCCACCTGGCTCACTATGTCCAAAATCGCCACAACCTCCCTCCCCCACCCCTTTTACTAAGGAAAAACTTTCAAAGTTAATTTTAATAATTTAAATTAAAACTTTTTGATAATTTTTTAATCAGTTTGGAGGTTTCTGACCACGCTCTATCCGAATCCGAAGAGACCTAAGCTCTAGCTCCTTTCCCCTTCGAGTTGAATCCGGGACCGGACACACACACACACAGACACCTCAAGAAAATTATTATAGTAGATATAAAAAAATAGTGTCTGTGTGTGTGTCTGTGTGTGCCACTTTGCATCCACTTCCGGATGTCTGTCCGGAGGATATCTCGATAGGGGATGAATTTTAAGGTATGTATGATACGTCATTAGATGCGTAATGGCCTGGAGATGACTGCACGCATATCAGGTTTAACAAAATCACCTATTTTCGACATTAAATTTAAGTTTTTGTGAAAAGCTTTTTGTTAGGAACAATTAGCGTAGACCGGAAGTGGGGATTCGACTATATAAAGGGGCTAAACAGGTACTTTTTCATTTTTTGTTATCTGAATTCAGGAAAATTATGCAAAGTGAAGGATAAAACGGGGTCAGACGGGGCCAGGGTTGAAAAGTCGCGAAGCGGCTTTTCAACCCTGGTTTTTTAATAAGATAAATGGTAGATGGTATGCCAATTTTTTGGCTCAGAATTGAGTAATATTACAGAAAATCCCCTGACGCGAAACCTATTGTTGTCATGAAACATGAAAAATTTTCTGAGGTTCGGATGTCTTTCAATCGACTGTCAAGTTGTCAATACGGAGTTCTTTCAAAATCATTTAAATCATAATGTTGAAATTGACATAAGCTAATTTCCCGGAAATGCCGAGCAAAAGAAACTCGGCATTAAAATTTCGACACGGAGAATTTCGACATTGGGAATTTCGGCATTATGATTTTTAAATTAATTTTTTAATTCGTAATCCAAAGGAAACTTTGGACCACTTGAAGCTTTAGTCTCGGAAACTTAAGACATGAAACTAAATTTTGCACTATTTTTAGGGACCCTTTTCGGGGGCCTTCAGATTAAATCCAAATTCACCAAAACGGAAAAGCGCGATGCAATAAACCTAAAATTCCTTGAAGTTCTTGCCTTCTTCCTGAAGCCTAATAATGTTCGAAAGCATCAAAACTTTCTGTTCGCACTTTACGAAAATTGTGTTTTACCCTTCCAGGACGTAGATTCGTGCTTTTGACGGTTTAATAGGCCTCCGGTGCTTCAATGAAAAGCCTCTTTAAACTTAAGCATATGGAAAACCGTATCGTTAGCGTATTCCTTTTTTCCTTATTTTATTCAGAACTTCGAAATAGGTCAGCGTAAAACAGATGTTTCATTTAACGAAAAAAATCTGTCCCCGGAAACCGGAATTAGCTTCAACGCCATAAAAATTCAGGGCTGGTACCCAGATGACATTTACACGCGTGTAAACAGCCCAAAATTTACACGCGTGTAAAATATTTACACCTCGGATTTACACGTGTGTAAATAGTTTACACGCGTGTTTTTGGGATTTACACTCGTGATTTTGCACTTTTAGAGGGTTTTGGTGCCGGAAAATGCGTTTACACGCGTGTAAAAAGATTTACACGCGTGTATTTTGGATTCAAGCCCCATTTTTTGAAAAAACATCTATATGAAGGAAAGAAGACATAAAATAAGACGTTGTCACTGGAAAATTTGCCGTTTCGTGGGCTTGCGAAGGATGTAAAAATTATTCCGATCCGATTCTCTTATGCGAAAACACAAAGGGATTGATTTTTTCGCATCCGGACTGTTCGAGAAAAATCCCGTTGATTTGATGAAGTATATTTAGTTAAGGTTTAGTCGATTGATTAAAAATCAAATTTGGGAGTGCAAAAATCATTGGTTCAAAATATGGGCTCGCGTGTAAATTTTACCCCATAAGTTTACACCTGGGAGAGTAGTGTAAATCGGTCAAAAAACGACCTCCACAAGAACGATCATAGAAAAATTTCTAGGGTACCTAGCAAGCCACAATTTTTTTCACTAATAGTTGGGACCTGTCGCTACCCCCTCTCGTTTTCATGTTCACAAAAAGTTGGCTCTACACTTTTCTCGAGCTCTTCAAAGTTGGAGTGTAAATTTAGGCCGCTCGCGTGTAAATTTTTTGCTTTTTTCGTCATTTCGGCAAAAAACCCGTTTTTTTACACGCGTGTAAACTTTTTTACACGCGTGTAAATATTTTTACACTCGTGTAAACTTTTTTACACGCGTGTTTTTGATTCCTTAATAAATTTATTAAGGAAATTCGCCAAATTACACGCGTGTAAATATTTTTACACGCGTGTGAATGTTTTTACACGCGTGTAAAATTTTTTACACGCGTGTATAAATTTCACGGGTGTAAATTTGATCTGGGTACCAGCCCAGCTGTTATTTTGCGAGGTAGTTCCTGTTTTGCGAATATTGCCCTTGAATAAAATCCCAATAGAATGGAAACTGGATGCAACAAAGTCAGCAGAATACCGAAAGTTCATGACGCACAGCCCTTTAATGCGATGAAACATCGAAAAGTACGTCCTATTAACCCCAAAAGATGTTTGACATTTTCAGGAAATCCATTTGTGTTTTCAAACCCTAGTGATTGTTGCACTTGTATCGACAGCCGTAAAGGATGGAAAGGGTTTCTAAATAAACCCATTTTAGTTGAATTTTATCCATAACACACAAATTACGTTAAATCAGGTCTTCCGGTACGATGCGGAGGCTCAGGAAAAACGGAATTGGCTTCTAAAACGCCAATTTCGGCATCCCTTTTTCAGAAATACCTCCCTTCTGTAATATTCCAGCGGAACCAGAAATGGAGATAGGATCAAATGGAAACTGTGAGGCACGAGCGAACGGAATTGCAAAAAGCAAATACCACAAAGCCTAACAATCCTATGAAACATCAAACATTCAAGCGCTTTTGACCCAAAATATGTTTTACGATTTCGGGACACCATTTCATTTTTTGCATCTTAATTCACCCTTTGTTTTGCGCTGCCCAATGTTGAATGGCTCGTAGGAAAATTTCCAAAAAACTTTTCAATAACTTCTACATGAGATGTTGGTTACAAATTAGCCCTAACGCGCAAATTGCGATAATAAAGGCATGAGCTCCGAAAAGTCAGAATTAGTCGCCCGAACGTAAAATAGGCATATCTTTTTCGAAGAACATTTTTTCGAATATTTCGATCAAGCCGGAACTAGAGCTAGGATCAAATGACGAATCCGTGTCGAGAAGATAGCGCATTGCAAATGGTTCTTAACGCGGTGTCTAACAATGCTATGAAACATCAAAAAATTGTCTCTTGTTTTGTTTAGTTTTGCTGTTGTTCCACGAAAATATGTTTTTTTTTGGAATATCTGAATCAAACCGGAACCTGGGATCAAATGGAAACTGTGTGGTCCCGAATTGCAAATTACTCTTACCGCCGAGTCTAGCAATGATATGGAACATCAAAAAAACTGCTGGTTTGTTTTTCTCCCAAGTGTTTGACAATTTCAGGACATCTATTGGTCTTTTGCACGTTAATCGCACACGTTGATACTCGCGTAAATCAAAAGTCATTTTCAAAATTGAGCGCTTGGAATACCGTAATCCCAAACCGGCTTGCGACCGCTTGAAACTTTGCTGTAAGGCGTGCCTTGCCTAATGCTCAGTGGTTCGTATCAATAACCGTAAAAATTCACCTAACCAAACATATTCTGAATTAGTTACGCCTTAAACTTAAATCGGGAATTAGCGTTCATATGATACGAAGGCTCCGAAAAATCAGAATCAGCCACCAAAACTTAAAATGGGCATGTGGTCCGCAGTGCGCCTTTTCGGGAATATTTGGGTCACCAACTAAAATGGAAACTGGAGCAAAAGCAATTTCCGGGGGCCTATCAATCTTTGAAACATCAATACATTTTGGCCTGATTTTACCCAAAAGAGGTTTTACGATTTTGGATCAAATTTTCATGTTTTTTCCACATTTGGCACTGCTTAATTCTGAATACCCAATTCCATCAAAAACCATGCTTATCAAACTTGCGCGCCTCGAATACCGTACTTCAAGGCAGCTTTCAACAATTTGCCCTGGCCAATGCGCAAGGCGCTTTGCCACGGCGGCTATGAAGGCTATGGAACGTCATGAAAAATCGTAGACATATGCCACCGATTATATGTTTTACGATTCCCGGCCCACTTTTTATTTTTTGACCATTTAATGAATGCAGAAAAAATTTCGTTTAAAATAGAACGTTGCGAATCCGGTAATCTTGGACAATTTTTAGCGTTTAAATATCGGTTTAACTTCAGGGCGGTGCGTAATGACAGCCGATTAAAGCAATACCTGAAGAAAAGGCAAGTAAAGAGAAATCACGCCAATTGGAAAATGACATGTTTTATTTTATCCATAGCCCCCTGGGGAGTCGCTATTTACAATGCCAGAACCTCTCGCCTGACAAAATATTTTGTACCGTAAACCTGTGAAATCTAAGTTGCTCAAAAGTCCATGCTATTTTTAGTTTTAATGCGGAGTCACTTATAAAATAAAAAGAAAACCCAAAAGATAGAACAATTTGCAAAAAAATAATGTGGTGTTTCATCACTATCCTAAATCCGAATTCTCATAAGCTAGTAATTCTTGACGCCAGTTAAACTTCTATAATTCTTTTTTTTCCACGCCCGCCTGTCACCATCCCTTTAAATAAAATACGGTATAACATGTAACGGTATAAAATAAAATCAGAATTACCTGGTTCCAGGGGTGAGGTTGACTACGGTAAACCGCTTCTGGGGCCCCACTTTGAACCGTTCCCAATATCGGAATTGCGGCGCTGGTTCTTGTGAGTACTGCACCACGTATTCCTGAAAAACAAAATTCACTTTTGCTTTTCATGAATTGCCGCTGTTTTTTAGTTATTTTTATGAAGTTTAGAATGAAGGCAAAACGAACTCAGAATTTTCTTTTTGATCTTTAGGCATCACCAAATTTTTTTTAAACATCAAACAGATCGATAGTATTTTAGACATGATTCCAATAGGTATAATCCCGAAAGAAAATACCGACAGTAAGAATACCGAAAAGTCGAAATTTCGACAGAATAAAACACAGCAAGAATCCTGAACAGCAAAAATCTCGCGAGGGGAAAATCGGCAAACGACCGCGAAAATCCTGATAGAACGGAATCCCGACGGGTGATATCCCGAAAACGAAAATCCCGACAGCAAACAGTTTTACAGGCTAAAATACCGACAGCCAAAATGCCGACAACTCAAATCCCCGACAGCTAAAAGCTTGTGAGCCAAGTACCGACTGCCATAATCCCGACAAGCCAAATCGCAATAGACCAAACCCCGACAACGAAAATCCCGACAATCGAAATGCCGACAACCGGAATTCCGACAGATAAGCCCGACAGTCTGAATCGTGACACGCCAAAATCCCAGTACATCCTTGACGCTAATTTGAATGCGCCTTGCTTTTAAAGAGACTATTTTACATGTCGGTATTTTGCATGTCTGGATTCTGGTCGTCGGGATTTTCGTTGGCTGTCGGGATTTTGGGCTGCCGCGCTTTTTTAGGCTGTCGGGATTCTGGCCGGTCGGGATTTTGCTCCTTTTTCCGGAAGGACTAGCTTTTTTGAAAAAGATGTGTTTTGTTTTAAAATTAATTCCAACTTTTTGATTTATGTTTACTATATCTGGCTCAAAGCTTTGATTTTCGGATTTTCCCGGTCTTCAAAAACGTACCTCTATCGCGTTGTTTTTAATTGGGGCTCGCCAGGAGACGGTGGCCGTCTCTGGGCTAATCGCTTCGACTCGTAACAGCGTAGGTACCGTGCACGGCTCTGCAAATTTTGGTCATTCCATTGATACTTCGATTCTCGAGATACATCGGCCGAAATGGTAAAGTTTTGTTGAAACATTTTGCTTTAAACCAGATCTTCGAAACGTATTGTCAAGATCGCCGATTAAAGGCATGGGCACGGCACGCCTATGGATTTCTCTCAATCAATTTCTAATAGATTTTGCAGCTCGCGAAGCACAACGCGCGTTGATTTCACGATTATAATCGCATTGTGTCGATTACCAATAAGCAAAAAAGATGTTTTTAGAGTTTGGAATGTTTGAAACAGTTTTAAAAAATCTAATTAACCATCGCCATTAGTGTCGTTTTTTTACAGCTTTCGACAGTCTTTTCACGGCTCATAAAAAATTATAAATATTTTGAAGAATTTTGAATTTTTGGTCGATATGTGTCAAAAAATAGGAAAAACAGGCTTAAAATGTTGAAGACCCAGCCGAAAAATAGAAATTAGAACCGGACGATTCATAGGAAACAGCGAAAAAAAGAGGACCATTTTCTTGACTTCCCCGTGCCTTTAAAATTTGAACTCAAAATAACCGGTTGTTTAGGCAATGCGTGGCCAACCACATTTGCTACCTATTTAAATGCATTCACAAAATTCTAGTCATATGCCGCGAAATGGTGAAACATTTGATTGCAAAAAAAAATAGTTTTTCGCCAAGTTTTCACGAATATCGCTTTGTGGGTGTAATTTAAATTTTTTCGTTTTATGCCGCGCCCTTGCCCGCTTTCCATTGCGTACTGAATGATGGCAACGTGCGCGTTGCGTGTCGCTACAGCCGGAAAATCCGCGGAAAATTTATAGCCAAAAATTGTGGTGTTTTCTTGCCTTCCCGGTCCCTTTAAAATGCCAACCCCCGTACTAACCAGTGTATTCCTGCGCCCGGGCCGGCATCGAGTGCCCGTATCGGGTAGTAGTTCGTAGTGAAAATTCGTAGAGTGTAAACGATTTCAGCCCAGAGACTACGTAGCTGGTCGTGTTGATGAAATCGACCATCTCGACGTTGGTGCGCCGTTGGGGGGTTCTGAAATTAATTTAAAGGGATGGTGATATTCAGTGCGATTCCGCAGGGATCTTTGCTAGCTTGCCCGAACTCGAGGGATTTCCTCAATGTTCTCGGCTAACTTGCCTTGATTCCAAGATTGTTTTTAGTTTATTTTAAGTTATTTAGATATATTTTAGTTTAGGTTTATTATCACCTGCTGTATGCTGCTCTCTGCTAGTTTGCTCAAAACTTGACGCTGAATTCTGGTTGTCTCTCTGTATTCTGTCTCTCAGTCCGTGCTAGCTTACCACGGTAACTTCGAAGTTTCAAAATTTTCAAAAAGACAATGAGAAAATAACTTTGGATGTACTTGACAAATTAAATTGTTATTTTCGAACCGTTGAAGGACCATACCGGACCTGAAACATTAATTCGTAAAGTAGCGTGTCCACATAAAGCCCACAAAAAATACTCAAAGAATCCCTGCTAGCCTGCCCTAGCTTGTCGATATAAGGCTTTTCCACAAAAAACTCCGCTAGCTGGGGCCGATTTGAGAGGCTAAATGTAGGAAAAAAACATATCTTTCACTCTCTTTCTGTCTCTCGCTGTCTCTGCGTCTCTCCCTTCTCCCTGTTTCGTGGGACCACTATTGAACCAGTTATTGACCCTATCAGATTTTTTTAATTTAGGTAAGTTTCTGAAACATTGAAAATTTCATATATTGAAGCGGCTAACATCTTGTTTCATAAGCGGTCGGTTCTATTCAATTAATCGACCTAGCTTATCTTCAGCATATTACATGTTTTTGATGTATTAAATTAATGATATTTTTTGAAACATTTTTTGAAACATGAACTTTTTTATTTGCACGAGCGACATCACCACAAAACAAATCCAAATCCCCCCGGTCTTTCCCATCCCTTTAACCTTCCCTACCTGGGTTTATATGTGAGCGTATACCAATAGCGGCGCCCTTCTTCCAATTTGATCGGCTGTGTCCACCGGAGCGTCACCTATAGCGTTTCAATAGATTCTTACGGAAAATTGAGGAGTCAGAAAAATATATCACTGCTTTACAAAGGTATAATCGGGTTTAATGACTGAAATTGCGACGCTGATAGGCGGTTTTAGTTCAGGGGATCGGAATTTTTCTGCGTTGTAGGGCTGAATTTTAACCGGGCTGGAGGAAAAGCCAAAAAAAGTTACTAAGAAATGTGCCATGCTGCCAAGCAATGACTTTTTCGAAACATTTTTTTGCATTGGTTTTTGCAGAATACCTTTGTGAAGAATACCTTTTTAAGGCTACCGCATCATTTCTTCTAAAATAATCACTTTTAATCGTCGCTACCTCTCAAGGTTACTACTTCTAAAACCATCACTTTTAAAATTATTAGCGTCGGTTTGCGAATAAATGGGACCAAATTCGTGGAAAAACTGAAAGTCCGACGTACGAACTTTTAGAAGCTACGATTTTTAGACGTAATGATTTTAGATGGGATGATCTTTAGAAATAAAGTGTTCCAACCAACGCCCGACTACTCAAGACGACATGCTGCGAAGCAATAACTTTTTCGAAACATTTATTCTTTGACTTGTTCTTACACGCTACCTTTGTGAAGAATGCATTTTTAAGACTTGAAGAATTTTCGTCTTGTGGCGCCCTAAAATACCCAGTCCCACTCGGTTCTAATTTAATACTTTTTGTGTTTTCCTTCGTTTTGTAGGCTCGGATTGGTCAAGCCTAAATTCTTCGCGAAACCCTCCAATTAAGACGCCACATTCCGGAAACATTTTTTTTTTTGATGAAAATCTCAGTTTAAATAAGAACCATACGGATGCTTTAATGTTTTGGAGGATCGACACATTACGAATTGCACCTTTTTGAAACGGAATAATTTTGTAGCGCAGGTTTTAAGAGAAAAATTACGAAATATTATTGCCAAAATCGGGTAAAAAAAATCCGGTGCAGTGAACTAGGCCTTTTATCCTTTACTTCCCAAAATTCAATTCAGCCAGGCATCAAATTTCTCGAAACATCTCGCAAAAATCGTCCAAAAATTTTTGAAGCTGACTTTTCACTGCTTTAGGTTTCTTTACTTACAGTTCGAATTTTTTTAAAAATTGAGCTATCTAAATGGATAATTAACGCCTTAAAAATATTCAAAAATCAATTTCACTAGTTATTTGACTAAGCAGCTTTAAACTATTGTTCTAGTCCATGTCTAAGTCTCTTAGAATAATTAAACCATCAAAAAATCTTACCGAATTCGCCGTGGCATTAAAAGCGATCAAATCTCTGGGTGGTAATGGTGGTTCGTGGACTTGTTGAGCTTCTTTTGCGGCCAGCGCCAATTTTTGGACGGCTAGAAAGGGATATTTCATGATTCCGTAATTAACTTACTTTCCAATCTGATGTAATTCAGAGCAGAAACCGTTTCGAAAAGCTTTCGCATGGCTTCCCGCTTCATCGCGAGAATTCGCCGCCGTTGGACCGCTTTCAGCCAGGCGAGTGGATCCTGGAAAGTGGAAGAAGAAATGTGGCTCAATATCATCGGGGGTTTTTTTTAATCATCTTCAATGGATTTCTTACTGGGTCATTATTATTATCATTGCGCCAGACGGTTGGGGGATTTTCGGGCCCATAAACCCTTCTTCAAACGTTAAAATTCCAAAACCGAGCCGCTTCCCGCAAGCTTACGGCAAGCCAAATGTTTCAACTTTTCCGGCTTTTTCGACCAATGTCAAAACTCTAGTTAAAAAGGTGCTCTGGGTTTGCCAAAAAAGACTCCCCTCTAGCGGGAAGGTTTCATTTATAAGATTTAACCATGTCGATGGATTGTTTTGATTTTGCTGAAAATTAAAAAGCTAAATTCATTTGGTCGAGAGTGCAATGCCTCGAATAACACCGAATTTTGAAGGCTTTGTTCAATCGAGCAGCCAAAATGAATTTGGAAATTCTATCTTTCGAAAAATGAAAAGGACCCGCAAAAACATATTTGCAAAAAGCGGAATTTATTGCGATCACTAATTTTTTATGTTTTATTACATTTTGTTTTCATTCAGTTTTAATTAAACTTAGCAGATATCAAGCAGCGAACCGAAAATTGGTCAGAAAAAACTGGCCCAATGAAAAATCGTCGAAAACAATATCCACCCATATCCAGGCCAAAATTTTTATGTTTCGGATCGTGACCATTGAAAGATGGTTGCAAAGTGGGTAATTCTTGCATCGTGGTGATGTTTTTGGGAGCTGGAGAACCTTGAGCTTTTGCAAGTCTTTTTTAAGGGTGATGCTCAAATTTGCTAAAATTTCGATTGTTGTATCCTTGCTATCGGGCAAAATGCAATTTCGCAAAAAATACTGGGACTGATTGATAACAAATCTGCTCCTCGATTTTATTATCTCTGCCAGATCAATCAGCTACATAAAAAGCTACCTAATAAAAATGCATAATTTGAGGTTAAGATAAATCATCTCGAGGTCAAAAATTTTATGTTTCGTTTCGGCACCAGCATAAAGTTGTTGAAAAATAGGTAATGGAGGAAGAGAAGCTATGTATTTACTGAACTAGCCGTTGCCTGAAGCAGGTTGGGCTATTTTCTTGGCGCTGAAGAACCCTGAGCTTTTACAAGTCTGTTTTTACGGGTGGTGCTCGATTTGTCAAAGTGAGAATGTCGGCATTTAAGTTCACAAAAATTTCGATTGTCCCGTGTTTGAGATCATCAACCCGAAAAACAAAATATTCTATTTTTGTTTCAAAATTAGCATGCATAAACAGCAATCGGTGGAATAAAAATCAGTTAGATAAAAAACAGCGAAACGAAATTTGGCCAGGAAAACTGGCGGAATGAAAAATTGGTGAAGTCAACGCTCACCCATTTCTAAGAATTTTTATGTTGCGTATCATATCCAGCAAGAGATGGTTGGAAAATATATAATACACGTCCTCTGACCTCCTGATCTAGCCGTCGCCCGAAGAAGTGCAATCGATCGATGTAGTACGCGCCGACAATATCGACACAAGTCGTCGTCAGCACGAGACCCAGTAGAATAACGGCCAACACCACCACGATCCAGCCCTCGTTTACTGGAACCAGATCTGGAATCTCTTGATTAAATGACTCCACGGGAGCTTCAGTCTTTTATTTTTTGAAACCTTTTTTTCAAACAGGGTTTGAAAAACGTTTTGTTTATCGTAGGTCTCCAATAAGTTTCCGTAAAAAACCTTTGCTAGGACCAGTTCTGCAATTATTCGAAGGGACCACTCATTAAAACACTCTCCGCAAGATTTAACCATTTATTTTCTGAAACTTTTTATTTTTTTCGCTAATCAACTTTTAAATAATTCAATTAAATAAATGTTGGATTTTGCACTGTTCACGCATACCAGAAAGATACGGAAGAGTGTCAGTTTCACTAAATTAGTCCCTGAAAGTTCATTAATTATTGAGTGACAACTTTACTCATTTATTTTTTGACACTTTATTTCCCAAAAATACCTTAAATTATGGTTTAAGAGAATATAGTTTAATTAAGATGAGTATGGAAAAGGCTCACACCAGTATTCAATCAGTTTTGGGCGCTGGTATTGAATTATTCGGTGACAGCTTTACTCATTTCTTTTTTTGAAACTTTTATTTTTCAAGCAGTTTTAGAAAATTTTTTGATAGGTATGTTTCAATATTCTCTAAATACGTTCTCAGGTGATCGCTTCTCTAATATAGCAGTGGAGGTACAATCAATAATTTTTTTCAAAACGCGTTACTTTAGATTCTGAAAGATATATTTTCAAAAAATATTTTCAATAAAGTTTTTTACGATAGATTTTAATTAAAATCGGGCCCCGGAAATTCATTCACCGGTATAAGGTCTGAAACAGATTTCGCAAATTATTCACCGGTGGACCCGTAGCTCTGTTCTTTTATTTTTTCAAACTTGAATTTTTCAGGCAATACTGAAATAATCACATCCCAAATTTATTTTATTTTTATTCATTTAATTTTGAAATTTCATTTTTCACATAGTGTTACATAACATGTTGCTAGGCATGTTTCAATTGGTATGCCTTTTACGAGGCTTAATTGGGTTATAATGAGACGTTTTTGCAATGGAGAGCATATGAGAAAAGGGGGAAAGCATGTTTCTGACGACGTAGCTTTCCGTTTTAGGGCTTTCCAACAATTTCCTCCCATGGGAAAAATTTTCGATGCAAATCAAGAGGCCAATCGTGTGTTTAAAGCGCACGTTCAGGGAGGGGCCGTGTACACGTCCCAACGTGTACACCCTATGGACGTAGGGACCGCTCGCACTGCCTGCCCGTGCTGTGACAGGCAATTCCCCTCCTTTCCTGGGTGGGGCGCCCCCCGCCCCCTTGCCAGGTTGTAGCTGTGGCTGACTGGTATCCATCCGCGCCTCCCAAGCGGGGGGGTCCGGGTTCGACCCCGAGCCGCGGCCAAAATCTTTGCTTTTTCCAAAAAACGGAACGTGCCCTTTAAACGCAAAAGAAGTTTTGAGCAGCCGATATCGTTTTGAAAAAGTGTTTCAAAAAAAAGGACATACGGTTAGGCACGAAATTTGCACATTGGTGCGACACATTGTTATCGACAGAATAGAACTTTATCAGGGGAACCCAATTATTCCCATTCGGATTTATTTTCCCAGTCCAGAAAAGGCTAGTAATAATGTTAACTAATAATGTTTTCATAGAGTTTTTGTAATATTTGTGCCAATTTGAACTCGAAAAAATATCTCAAACCCATTTAAAAATGTTAAAATTTCAAGGTTTCGTCGAAAATCCGCCTCTTTGATCGGAAAATCGATGTTTCACCCTCTTTTTTAATTAAAATTTGTAAAGTTTTTACGCATAGGAATAGCAAAAAAGGTTTAGGAATTCCTGCGCTCTTTGTATCAGTATCGCCATTTTGTGTTTCGGAGTTCGACTTCTTTATGAAACCCTTAAATTGAAACTGCAAAGCGCACCTCCAAATCCGATGGTCAGCACGCTCATTATGATAAAGTAGAGCGCATCGGCAAATGTCCAGCCCTCGATTCGAGCCACCAACCACGAGGCCAACCCTAAATTAAGGTAAAACACCGTCATTTTTATGCGGCTTTTTGGGCGTATTTTGCATCAATGTGATACGTGTTAAACCATTAGCTCCTGAATCTTAGAGAGCACATAGAACTTTTGTGAAACATTAACTTCTTCTTTTTTAAATATTTAAATCAGCGACTTCAATTATCAACTAAATGTACGGGCCTTCTTCAAGTTGTGGTAAAACATTACTTTTGTAAAACTGAGGGTTATACTGTTTTAGTATGATAGCCCTTAAAGGCTGACGAAAAGCCCCTTGATTAAAACCAGATTCTGTCTTTCAACGAAAATTAAGTTTTTCAATCCCATTGTGCCGTCGAAAGTAAAGCTTAACATTGTCAATAAGTCTAGACGATTTTTCTCTAAGCCCTACACTGGATAACCGGTTAATATTTGGCATCACTATGGCATGCAATTTTTTGGGGGCAGTGGGACACGGCATATATTACCACTTAACTTTACTAGCCATCATGGAATTTTGATGCAACATTATTTTTTCCGAAAATTTTTCCAATAGATTTCTCAATTTCAATTTTGAAGTATTCCCCGCGCCACCACGCACCTATATACAGCAACAATATAGCGTAGACGAGCACGAAGGGGATCTCGACGAAGTGTGCCTTCTCGAGATGTGTCCACAGGAATTCGGCGACCTTAAATTGGAAATTACAAGGTTTAAATGCTGCATATCATCCGTAATTTGTACAAAAAGTTACATATAAAGTCATCGAAAAATTTATATGAAAAACTATTCAAAATAAATTAAAAAAATGGGACAAAACACAAAAACGGTGCTGTGCACAAACAAACCGCCGGGTTTTCTTCGAGCTTCTGCAGAAAACAGTGAATTTTTAATGTTTCAAAAAGTTGTATAATGCAAAAGATTTTATATTAATGATTGCTTTATTGGTAAGATCTAAAAACAACTAATTATGACCCATACGAAATTAAATTACATAAAAATACAAAAATAATTCGTGTTTCGATACAATTTGTTTTCCTGTTTCTTTAGTGTTTCAAAAAAATAACTTGTTGTGAATTTTTCGAAATTTTTAATTCGTTCACATATGGAACGCCCTATTTACGTCATAGTGTATATTTTAGTGATATAGAGAATAATATTAAAATTAATAAAATTCGCTAGACGCCAAACTACACCTCTTCGTCCCCGCCGGCGATGATGACATTGTTGATGACGATCGACTCGCGACGACTTCGACCCGTTTGCCGCCACCGGTAGAATCTGGGAAAACGAATGTTTTAATTGTTGTAAAGAGCGTAGTATAAATTAGGTATCTAAGAGTAATGATCAGGGGAACAATCGAAAGCGAAATTGAGATTTGGAATAAATTTCTATATTTTGAAACAGGCAGATTGGTTGAACGGCAAGCAACATACCAAGTTTACGGAATGACGCTACCGATTTTATCCAATTACAAAACATGTATTTTTGCCCCACGAAATTGCTAAGATTCCTTCTTTAATCTAATTCCCGGTGTTATTAAATTTAATGACATGTTTCTAAAGATACGTTTCAATTGTTTAGATTCTTGGAGCAGATTTATTTTTGAAAGTATCCCACAAGAGCTAATCCTGATTACACTAAAACTACGAAACATTGTTTTTAGATGGTTTTAAGTCCTTTTTATGTAATTTGTTACTTTGACCTACTTCCGCTTCAACGAGATATACTTTTTCATGTACTCCATGTAGGCGCGGTTCATCAGCTCCGTGCAGAATTTGGCCTGAAATTGTGGCTGTAAGGATCTCTCGCTCCCGATCTCTCTCTCTCTCTCTCTCTCTCTCTCTCTCTCTCTCTCTCCCTCTCCCTCTCGCTCTCGCTCTCTTTCGCTCTCGTTCTCTCGCTTTCTCTCTCATTAAAATACATACCGCATCGGCTAGCGTGATTAAATACAACGGAATTCCAAACATTAAAAATACTACGCAAAAGAGACGACCAAGCGTTGAGGTCGGCGAATCAGAACCTAGGGAGTCAATTTTGTTATCTGGTGCCCTTTCTACCGTATCCAATTGAAGTGAGCGTTGTGGCTGAGAACAGCATATTCCACCGGAAACGCCGGAACCAAGCGTTTGTCTGGAAATATCTATTTAGGAACTAACTGCGATCTATTCACGCTATTTTCTAACGTTTTTATTGACGTTTTCCTGAAACACATTTTTTCCGAACATTGGGGGGGTTGACCGAGGTTTTGTCGTGTCCAGATCCGTTTCTGAGGGTCAATTTCGACTCATATAAAAAGCAGAAGTTCATTTCTACATTGTTTTTTACTATACGAAAAGTTGCGCTGGAAATATGCTGAAATGTTACCAAAAACGTTAACAAATTTTTAAATTTGCATGGATTTGACTTCGACATTAATCACCAAAGAATTTCCGAAAGGCGTAAAGTATCTTTGGAATGTGGCCAATTGGGAATGTCTTTGATAGCTCTGGAATCGTGGAACAAAAGATTTGCCGAATCGTGCAAAACTGTGAAACATTAGCACGGACCCAGAAACTATTTTCTGGCGTTCGGACGCAAATTTGAGAGTCAAGACATTTTTTAAAATTAGGAATGCCGGAATTAAGAACTTTCTTATGGTCTACAAATTTTAACGCAACAAAATGGAATGGAACAGATAACGGCACGAAATAAAAACAATGTTTGATGACTGACATGGATTACCCATTTTGGCAGATTTTTTGTTTTGTAAATACCTCAGAAAAAACGGGATAAAAATGGCAAATGAGTGAAACATTAATATGAAACCCAAAAATTTCTTTCTCGATTAGGTGCCTGGAAAAATCTAGCTTTGAACATTTTTATAGTCAAATTGATTGTTGAATTTGGTTGAATTAATTTGAGATTTTCTGAGTAGCTAGAAAATTATTAAGCACGATAAAGCAGACGTTCAACAATTGTAACCCACAGCATTCTCGTGCGAAAACTCCTGGCTCATCGCGTCGGTGGCTAGGGGCAGCCGACGATAAATCTAGAAACTGTAATTTTTCTTTTTCGAATAATTTCCCTACTTCATGAGCTTTATTCACAAACGTGCCAAACTCTCTGCCGCCATGGCCGGAAACCAGCAAGGATGAGTAGTGACGTTTCAGCCTGAAAAGGCGATTATATAAATCTGACCTGGTCAAGTCGATCCAAATTATTAAAATAAAAGTAATTATTGAAATCATATCAATAACTATGATATAGAAAATATCCACCATACTTTTTGATTTTGTCTAGAACTGTCGAGGGAGCTAGTTTATTTTTGGTTCTCGTTGTTGCCGTCCGCCTCCTAGTGAAAGTTAACCACCTGGCCCACTGTCCTGCCTGATGGACCTCTTCCCAGGCTCTTCTCTGGACTTGATCCAACAAGTTTGAGGTTTCTATCAAACCCGAGCTCTTCCTTCCCGGAAGGTTCATAAATTTTGGAACGCGGCTCCTCGGGAGCCGCAGAAATTGACTTCCCTCATCGGAACTAATTGTAAGAAAAAGGGATTATCAAACACGAATGTTTACAAATAGCACCCGAACATTCCGCTACGACTCCCATTAGTGAAAGTTGCTCATCTGGCCCACTGGTTTGCCGGAAAGTTCACACGCTCACCGCAGCTGTGGATACGTCCAACACATTTGAGGTTGGTATTAAAACCGAGTTTTCCCTAGGGGGATCTCGTAATTTTGGAACGCGGCGCTTCTGGGCCGCACTATTACCCTAAAATCCCGAGAATAGTTCCCCTCCGAGTATAGTTCCGGATGTAACGTACCTATCGTTCGTAATTCCGTATGATCGTAAATCGGCGTGTTTCGTTTTTTTTCGGTTTCTTGCAAATAACTCCATTCACGTAAGGTTGCGCAGGTTTCGACTATTTCCGGAATTTTGAGTGGTTGAATCAAAGAAATGAATCCAGGAAATTCTAAGAGTTTAGTCCCAGGTAGTTTTTGCGGCGAGAGGGCGAGAACGCACCTTATTAGAACGTCATTTGCATTGGTACTCTGCCAAAGTGTACCGGAACTATACTTCGGGTTTTAGGGTAGTTCTATTTATCTGTATGGAGGCTCTTGATAATAACACTGATCAACGGGTGCCCCCGCCCCCCCCCCCCCCCCACGAATTCTCGACTCCCGTACGGGCCTGCGTGTACCCGACATCTGTCCTGCGTTCACCGTTGGCGAAAGTCGCTCACCTGGCCCACTGCCCGACCAGATATACCCCTTCACATCAAGGACGTCGGATTCGTCCAACAAGCTTGAGGTTTGTATCAAACCCGAGTTTTCCGCACGGAAACTCGTAAATTTTGGAAAGCGGCTTTTCGGAGCCGCACTAATTCGGTGTGTGGTTGTTAGTGATTTACCTTTCCAACCCCGCATAATCTTCTTGTGGGTTTTCTTGAGAATACTTGAGTATCGTAATAATCCATGATCCGACGATGGCGTAGAGTAAGGAGACCAGCAGTAGCGTCACGTGCGGAAGCGCGACGCGTAGGATCTGGAATTTAGAAGTTAGGGCCGATAAAATTTTGCCTTTGTGCTTGCCACGAGCGATTAGACTTGCATATTTTGGGACCACCACCTAAATCCTTGGAACATTTTAATCTAGAATTTTTGTTTGACCCGAAAAGTTTAACGAGATGTTCACTGCATTTTTTGGATTTCCGAGTTTATTCGATCAGTGGCGCACTTTTAATAGCTCCGTAATAATAAACGCAGTAAATATAGGAAATCTTGGACAGTTTGTAGCGGGAATCGACGAATTATCCATTGGGATTTCCAAGCAACGGTGTACTTTCTTAAAACATTTTTATTTTAACTTTTTTTATTGCGACTACTTTGTTAAGAGAGAAAATTTTCCTGGTCTTTTATGCGTTTCTTAGATCTGCTTAACCAATGTAACCCAAGCGTTCCGCTTCAAACTCTTGACGCCGGGGTGATCATTTTCCTCTCATCGTTTTTGGCCTTTTGCGGGCCCTAAGGGCCACTATACACCGCGATTGATGGCCCCCGAGGGAAATAAGGAACGGCTCCCGAAATCTGGGTATGGGCTCCAGATTTCTGGAGCGGTTATTCAAGCGCATGGTTACTTTGCAGCAAAGGAAAAGTAAAATTCAGATCGTCGGAACAAGAAAATGGTTGTAGAAATTCAGACGAGTCTAAAAACCCTATTCTTGCTGCGATGCAGCGAAAAGCTAAGATTCATGCCATTTTCTAGGATATCAATGTAAAATAAACTAAGTAGATTAATTATTTAAAAAAAGAATAAGAAAATGAAAGTCCGGGTCGAGAGGTAGGAAAGAAAATACAGCAGCCAAAGGGTATAAAATAACCGGTTCTTGCATGCTGCAATGAAATAACGTAAAGCTAAAAAAATTTTTCATTGTGAAGTTAATTCTTTTGAAGGTTCTTGATACGCTGGATTACCCACCACCTTCTTCGGGTCGTACGGTATCGTGAAATCGTCGATCGGCTGCCGACGGTTTTCCATTTGTTGTAACAGCACGGCGCGCGGATTTCGCACATAGCTCGAAATTTTGCGCACCGCTTGCATGGCTGGCAAACGTGATTTTGAAAAGGAAGGGAGAAAAGCGGAAGCTCAGTTAAAAAGAGGATGATGTAGATAAAAAAAGGTGCTAAGAAGCTGGAAAACACTATTGAACGAATAATTGCGTAATTGAGCCCAGTTTTGTTCATTTAAATAGATGAAACATTATGACGGGTTTAGAAACATCATCGATAAATCAATGACTGGAGAGCCGCACTGCCTCACTCTCGTAGCGAAAGTTTCCTACCTGGCCCATTGTCCCGCCAGATAGGCTGAGTCTCACGACATTGCTTAGGACTTGTCCTACAAGCTTGAGGTTTGTATCAAACCCGAACTCCTCCTTACCGGAAGGTTCGTAAATTTTGGAAAGCGACTCCCTCGGGGCGCAAAAATTATGTTGCAAGAATTTACTTTGGTGTATGTCGCAAGGATCGATCTACTGGGACCCGGCTTGTCAAAGTCCAGTCAATCGCCATTTTCGGTGTAAAAATCTTTTTTAAGATTTGCGGGCGACCGAGCGCCGCATAGTTGGCAAGTCGTCCGACGCAGAAAATGTCACGCATCTTTCCCTGCCATGCGTGAGTGGCGCTCAACCGCCCGCATAGTCAAAAATCCCGAAGAACTGTTTCCAGTGTGCTATTTAACAATGTCCCGCTCATTTTCAGGCTTTGCAATGTATTAGAGAAATGATCCCCGTCTTAAAATAGGTCTATTCCCAAACCAGAACTGTGCCAAGCCCTTTTCGGGTCCTTCGCGAACGGCCTTTTAACATTTCTCATTTGGATAAAATTAGTCTAAACGGAATGTTTCGATTCTTTAGCATGTCAAAGGCTGGCTTGCTAAAGGCAAAGGACTAGCCAAAAACCACGTACATTCATGTGCCTGCTAAAACTTTCAAAACGCCTCTTTAGACCTGAAAAAGCGTGTTTCATAATTAAAACACACATCGTGCGTTCTGCAGCTTTTACTAGTTCCACAAGATATGTTGGGTGAAAATGCATGAAAAATTACCAAGTATGACCAAGTATTCAAATTTTTTTTATAACTTCCTGGCTATCAAGAACTAATAAAATGTAAAAATATAAAGTTTTAATCGCAGTAATATGGGCAGGCACTAAAATCTAGGTTACTACGCGCCGAAAATCTACCCATACCAAATTTATACAGGGTTTTTAAATTGATAAATAGTAGTAAAAAGGATCGGGATTCCAAAGGTCAAAATGCCGACTTTTGAAGGCCGCAGGGGGATGCGGAAAAATGGGGCGCTGGAAGCGATGGCGGGAACTTTTATGGAGCCGAATATTGGACCCTTGGGAGTTTCCGGGAAGCTGCAAAAAGGAGGCAGGAGGAGGAGGGGAGCAGCAGCAAAGGGCACACCAAATCCCGTTCCACCAGAAAGTTGCTGCGGGTCAGGGGTGGCATTAGTTTAAGGGTCGTTATCTACAAAATACTAAGCTAGTTAAAGACCAAAGCAAAAATAAAACCTAGACATTTGATTTTGAGAATTGGCTCCTTAACGCAAGGTCAAACTTTGTCGAAAAATTGCAAATTTCAGTTTTTTCATGACGCGAGAATCAAAGCTCTCAATAATCAAGAGCCAGCGTTTGCAAAAAAAATTTAAAACGTCATGAATTGGAAAGTAAAGTAATTAAATACTTGTAAGTACCAAGCCATAGTGTAAAAGACATTGTTTGACTTTTCAGGTAGAGATCCCTGAGGCGAAATTCTCCGGACTAAATGCACGTTTTGAAACTTTTGCATGGCACCAGAGTCGTCGCTTTAAAAAATTCACGGACCAACTCATTTTGAATACTTATTGGCAGAAAGTTAAGGTAATCCAATGCAAGGGAAATAAAAAGAGAGAAAATAGTTTGTATTTTCCGTGAATGCCATTTTGTAATCCGACATTCCCCCGATAAATTACAAGTTTCAACCTTTTGCAATGCACGACAAAGACCGCTTGCCATAATCGACCGCGCAGCTTCGCGATAACAAACTTGGACACAACATTAAAAGAAGGCTAAATCATTTAACTGTTAGTGTTTAGTAAGTAACAGTGAAAAGAAAATGGTTTGGATTGCCAGTGAATCCATCCAGCTTACATGTCCGAATTTCGTAGAAAAAAGCCAGTTTCAAACATTTGCATGGCACGAGAGATGGCTTTCAATATTTTATACTGCGGCACATTTGAATACTTCAGTTGCGAAAAATTAAGTTAATTAAATGTTCGTTAGCAGTTAGCAATAGTGGTAAGAAAATCGTCTGGATTTTCGGTTAATAAATTCATTTGCTAAGCCGAAATCCCCCCTCGATAAATTACAAGTTTCAACCTTTTGCAGGATCTCGGAATCCCGGATTTTCAATAATTCCCCGGTGCTATGTGGTAAAAATGAATATGAACGCGGGTACAAAATCGTTAATCCGTACAATGCGATCAATAATCCTTGACTCGATTATCGCCACTATCCCCTCCCCTCTTACTCCTATATGAATCCCTCCTGGACGAAACGAGAGAAATAGAAGCATTGAGCTTATAATAATAATCGGTCTTTCAGGCATTTAGCAATAAAGTTTAGAGCACCATAAAATAAAATAACTAGAATTGCGATAATCACGTCAATTTTGCTTGACGCAATCCTCGCCGACAAATTCAAGGTTCCACGCGTTCACCGGATCGCTGAATCCTGGCTTTTAATAATTCAGTGTAATGCTTTGCTCAAAAAATTCAAAGGATGGTTGCAAAATCGTGGTTTTTTTAGAGTTAAAAATAATTAAAGTTGTTGGGAATTCGAGGTTATTCATAAAAATAAGCACCGGCTTGAAGCTTCAGATTAAATTAAATTTGTATGCCGAATTTCGGTGATAAATTGTAAGTTTCAGCCCTTTTCCTGATCACTGGGGTTGGGCATTCAGTAATGCACGGCTGGCTGTTGGGAAAATTGTCTGAATATGGCTGCAAAATTGCCGCTTTTTCGGCTTTCAGCTGGCATGATCAGTCCAGTCGTTTTGCGCAAGGTCTGGCATCTAATATAAACACTTAAAGATGAAACTTCATATTCTGCTAGCCTTAAAATAATTTAAATGCGCCTAGCAAGTCAAAATTCGTAGATTCGGGTATCGAACTTTTGCTTCAAAAACGGTAGGGGAATTTTCTAAGAGTCTCAGAAAATTACTAGCTGATCAAAATGCCAATATTTGAAAAAGCGAAAGGTTTAGAACAAAATCGGCCTATTGGGCGTCCGGGAATCGTATTGGCCTCGTTAGCCTTCAGTTGCTAAAGCTCGGTGATTGCATGGTCCATTATAATAATTAGAATAGATAGAAGGATCAAAACTGCTACACGATTCCAGAATCGGAGCTCGAATTTTGAAATTCAGACGTTGCCGTGCCCAAACAGGCAGAAAAAGAGCGCGCTAGGGGGTCGCGGTGCGGCGGTATCTGCCTATTTGCGAGAAATCAACGCTGCGGGGCGTGGGTTAGACTTCGCTGTCCCTTTAAAGATCGGGTGTTACATAATTTAAAAATCGCAAGCCCGGCATTCAGTAAACAGAAAAATCTTTTTCGGAAATGAATTGTAATACAAAACATATTTTTTCAAAAAGGGATCCTTTTCGGTTTTTGGGGTGCCATCCGGAACTAAAGAACACGGCGCACCGTAGCGTTCCGGCGGTGATCAGCTAGTTTCCAGGAACAGCGGGGAAGGGCCGCTCAGATTTTCGGGTCCTTTTTATATGCTTTTAATTTCCAAAATCTGCGCTATACGATTAAAAAAACATGTTTTAGAAATTTACAAACTCGCGGCATATCGGTTTGTAATAATTGACCAAGGTTCTATGATTTTCCAAAAATTCCTGCATTTTTTGGAAAAGGACTGACCAACTGCTTGGTGAGCGCGAATTGCCCTGTTGTCAGCTCGCCGAAACGCCAGAAGCCACTCTGCAGGATGCCGCTGACCACCTGAAAATACGGTTAAAAATTATAAAAATTTTGTATTAAATTGCAATCTTTTTTTATTTTAGAAATCTTAATGAAGTAATAAAGAATTCAAAGTTCGAATTAAATCACAGTAATAATCATATATTTGGCATCAAGCTTTTAAGAAATTGATAATATTTAGCTGGTCCTGGGAAAATTTCAAGTTTCATATTTTTTTCAGAAGGCGGATAATCTAGACAGATACAATGAGGGGTCAATCTCTAAGTCCCTGGAGCCAAACTTACCTTCGACATTTTGTTTCATAAAATTACATTAATCACATTAAAAGATTATGCAATGTTACTAACCGTTTTCCGAGACTTTCTATATTATCATGTTCTAATTTTAGTCAGAGCTTGACCCTTAAAAACTAAAACCTAAAAAATCAAGTTTTAACCCTTTATCGAAAACATTCGACCTAGGCCTACGCATTTTACTAAATAAATATGTTAATAGATTGCATATAATCGGTTGAAACACCTGTTCGTGTTTTTTAGATTTACAGATATTTTATGCTGCGTTTAAAACATCTTTCTATATCTTTCGCTATTTTATTTTCGACGGCCCTTGAAAACGTGTAATAATACAAGACAACCAAAAACGATTTAAAAAGTAAGTTTTACATCCTTATGGCAAGTAAAAAGTTTTTAAGAATACAGTTCGATGAATCCCAAGGTTTCTTATAAATTTTTACAAACCATGCATTTTATGAATTTTACATATGCTAAATAGCGTTAAATGAAAATAGCTATATATTATCAGCGGGTCTAATTTTATATTGCTATGCTAAAGGCGCATTAACGCAAGGAAAACGAAAACAACTTTAAAAATCCAAGTTTCATGGGAAGCAAAAAAATTTAGTATAAGGATACAGTGAGCGGAGCTGATGCATCCATTACCAAACTATCCAAAATCAGTTTTATATTTTTTTAATAGCGTGTTGCCTGGCTTTAGATTTTTTATATAGCGTTTAATTACTATAACGTACATGTTACAAAAATTGTGATGCAAAATCCCCTTCGAAAATTGCCATGATTTTCAAGTTACCAGAAAGATGAAAAAATTGTTAGGTTTCAACTTCTGCAGAACAAAAAAAAAATTTTTTTTTGAGGATGGTGGATTCGCGAGACTAGTTACCCAGAAAATATATCTATTTTATATAATTTCAATACTAAGCATTACCTGTCCAGGCGTCATCGCTCGGTTCCGCATCGAGGCCGTTTCTAAAAAATTGGATTTATAAGTGTATATTAAACTTAATTTAAGTTAATTAAATTTATTTTGCTTTACCAGGATTGTGTGGCGGCTGTAACAACATTTTCGGCCTGAAAAAAATAGTTAAAAGAGATTTCAGCTCCACCAACAAGGAAGGAAACGGTCAGGCATTGTCAACGGACGTCACAAGCAGAAATGTCAGAAAGAATATTTTGCCCTTATTTGGTAAAATTTTGAAACATGTTTTTCCAAGTAAGCCAGTCAAATCAATAATTCCGGTACGCGCAAAAGAATTAAGCTAACGGGAGGTTTTCTGTAATAAACTCACACACTCTCTGTAATAAAAATTATAAATCCCATTTAATTTGGCGCTGGGCGGCGCTTCCTATATTTAAAATCAACTTGCCGGGCTTTAAATAAGTGGTTACTATATTTTGCTGCCTATCGAATGACAGCTTCTAATATCGAAAATATTGAAGATGCCGACAATGAAAAAACCGGAAAATATACCAACCTTGTTAAGTGATAAAACCTTTTCATTACATTTTCGGAGCTGAAAATTTGAAAGTAACTAGAATTTGTTCTTAATTCTTAGTTAAATCGGTGAATCATACTAATCTTTATTTTGCCACTATGCATACGTGTTGATAATATCTAATGTTTGTAATAGTGTTTCTAATAACTTTTGATTGCCAGAAACTAAAAAAATATTGCAAAAGTCAAAGTTCAACACTACAATGGGCTCGAAGTCCGGAGATAATAAAAAAATTCGAAACATTTTTTTGCAAGCAAAAATTTGTATTTTTAGAATTTAAGGCTTTCTAAAAGCTGATTCTCAGAGTATTTTATATTCAGTAGGGAATAAGAAAGACGAATTGCGATAAATTACATACTAAAAAGTCGTTTTAGAAAAAGGGTTTTCCGAAAATCATGGTCTGCCGGTAGGGCTGATCCTGATCAAGGCCATTATTCTAATTCCTGATAAATCGAACTAGGAAATTTTAAAATCAAATTTTAACGATTTGGAGACGGAGCAGTGTAGACTAAGGACTTCCTAGACCGCAATCCAGACACAAGAAACACATTTCCGGAAAATTTGTTCGTGAAGCCTTCGCCCAATAGGGCTCGCCAAGGGATGGGCCCTAAAAAGGAAAAGAGGCCCGGGATAGATTTGGGGGCCCAATTTTCGGGTGCTGAGTTTCAGCGGAGAGGATTTGGATGGGTACGGCTACGGGAGGGGGGAGGAGTAGATAGACCCCCCCCACCACCCCAAGAACAGGGCCCGAAAAAGACCGGGCAATGGCAAAGAGGGAGAGGGCTAAAAGGGCCCAAAACAAGGCCAAAGGGCCCCCCAAACACACAACTGATTGAATTCCCCTTTGGGCCGCACAGATGTAAAGGAGATAGGGGGGAGCCCCCAGCCAAATTCAGATACCCCGGTTTTAGGAATGGCCAGGTGGATGGGTATCTTTGGCATGAAGAGCATCACTGCGGCTTGAGCTGGAAGCCTCGAAAAATTACGGACGGACGTCGCGCGATCAACAACAGACATGCGTGTGTTTGAAAACTTTCATTGGCAAAAGAGAATTCAATAAGCGAAAGGGTGCAGCCCCGAAAAGCCGCGTTCCAAAATTTACGAGAACTCAAAACGAGAACCCGGGTTTGATACAAACCTCAAACCTGGTGGAAGTAATTTCCATAGATTGGCGCTTGATGGTGATGATACGCGGCACTAGTGGACCAGGTGTGCGTCTTTCGCTAGCACAGCTTTCGCTGGCTAGTTCAAGCGCGTCTCGTCTAGTTTGCCGATTTGCCGTGTCTTTGTAATGGAATATTTGGTAGATTGAGAGACGGGGCCCGATGCTTCGCGGATTTTCAATTCTCTTTTATTTACAAAGATACATTTCGTTCTTGTAAAGAAAACCATAATCAACGGGCTGAAATAGTGCAGCCTATAAAAGCCGCGTTCCAAAATTTGCGAGACCTCAAAAATGAAGAACTCGTGTTTGATACAAACCTCAAACTTGCGTTGGAAGTAAATTCCGATTAACTAAGTGCTATGGCGATTATGTGTTGGGTTAGTGGGCCAGGTGGGCGACTATCGCCATTCTGGACTCGGATGGCCGTGCCAAAGGGTGCAGTTTGGTGACGGCAGGTCGATTAAAAACGTGTTTAATGGGAGAGCCTTAAATAGCAAATGCTGAGATCAGTTTATTTCATCTTTTCTATTCGAATAGTTTCCTTAACATCAGATTCCTGGATGAATAGCCGGGTTTCTGTCCGCCCAGACCAGCTGCTTCAAGACCAAAGCTAATAAGGTTTATATAATCGAAGGCTGTCAAAGTTTTTCTACAAAACAGGCGATTTCTAAAATATTAATAGAAGGATTTTTCAAAGAAACCGGCACAACGACAGAAGCTGTCTGAGATTAGAGTTTACCTACGCTGCATTGTGCAGCCATAATCATGAAACATTTTGATGTATTTGCCGCCGAGATTTACCATATTGAAGCGATACGGGTACCCGACTGTTAGCCGGGGCGGATTTTCCCAAGTAATCCTCTAGCGCATCCTATAGCGCAAGATAAAGCATTTTAAAGTAGCTTAGACATATTTCTGATATACAAATTTATAAAAAATACAACAATCTTCGAATTTATTGATTTTTTGGTTTTTAAAAACGCTTTATAATTTTCTTGAACTCAAAAACTTCTAAAAGACGATAGAAATACGTTTATTATCCAGCGCAAAAGCAGAAAATTATTTTCCCCCTGCTAACAGTTCAGTACCGAAATATATGCGGGTATAATTAATCTCGAAATTTATTCAGTGTACGCAGGAATACTCGTGAGTGTATTGTGGTAGTTGAGCAAATCCAGCCAATCGCAATGTATTCATCACTTCCCAATTCCCATCCAGCCCCTAAAAAATGTGAGTTTTAACATGAGTACAATATGAGTTACCGAAATAAACACTAATGCTGGTCACGAGGTATAGCGTACCTAAATTTGTCTTCAATCCTTGCTTTTCTGGCTTTTCCTGACTGGCTGGTCATCAGCTCGTATCGGCGTTACGTATCCGCCACTTCCCACCATCTCGGAAACGTGCTGAAATGCGGAAAGCGTGCACTAATGAAAGACCTTAATTACATTTGTCAGGAAGCAGCACGTATACCTTTATTATAATGGCATTCTAGGACGAAAGAGCAGAGATAATCACACACATTCATGCACGCATTTCATCCACAGCTTACTGGGTCTGATGGGAACGGCTTGTGCATTGGAAATTGTGAAACATATTGAGCCCAGGTTGTTGAGCCTATTTGGCATTTGTCAAACTTCAAATAATGCTAATTACGATCGGTTTGTTCAATATAATTTTTCCAAAATTAGCTTTTTCCCGCGAATCAAGTTTTACGTAACCAGATTCGGGCGGAAAAACTTAAAGACAGGAGGATCGGCTTACAACCCGGAGGCCAGAAAAAAAACGAAACGGGAGTTTCAGAAAAATATGAGGCTAAACGAGAATTTGTCAATGTAATGTTGAATCGGTAGTCACCTAATCTGTGCGCGTAGAATTAATCTCGAGATTTATTCAGTGTACGCCGGGTCCTCGTGAACGTATTGTTGTAGTTGAGCAAATTCAGCCAATTGCAAGGTGTTTGCGATTTCCGAATTCCCATCCAGCGCCTAAAAATACGTGTTTTATCATTATTACAAGGCGAGTTTATCGAAATTAAACACTAATAGTATTAGAATGCTGTAGAACGATTAATCTTCAATCCGCCGCATCGGGCTTTTCCTGACTGGCTGTCCATCAGCTGCCCGCGGCGTTACGTAGCCGCCACTACCCACCCTCGGAGACGTTCTGAAAACAAAAGAATGAAATGTTACCGGGAATTAGTAAAGATAGAGATATTATAATGGCATTATATAACGACAGTAGAGATAATGGCTCAACTGACCTTGGATTAGGTTTGATGTGGACGGCTCCTGTATTGGAAGTTCTGGAACATTTTTTTTGCTCAGCCAGGTCTTTGGGCCTTTGTGCGGTTTGCCATACTTTTATTATGCTGATTACGATCATTTTGCTAAAGATAGTTCTTCCAAATCCCTTTTCTTCCACGAATCAAGTTTTACGTAACCATATTGGTGTCGAAAAACGAGGATACGAGAACCGGCTTACAATCCGGAGGCCAGAAAAAAGCCGAAAAGGGAGTTTCAGAAAAAAATCGGGCTAAACGATATTTCGCCTCCGTATTGTTGTGTTGGTGGAGCATATCGGTGTAGTTGAACAAATCCAGCCAGTCGTAATGTGCTCGCTATTTCCGAATTCCCATCCAATGCCTGGAAAAATGTGTGTTTTAGCATAGGTACAAAACAAGTTTATCGAAATTAAAAATTAATGTTTGTCAGGAGGTGGAGTGACCTAAATTTGTCTTCAATCCGGCTCTTTCTGAAATGACGCCCGGGGACATGGCTGCCCTCGGCGTTACGTCTGCGCCACTTCCCACCATCTCGGAGACGTTCTGAAAAGAACATTAATGACTTAATTTATTAGAAAGCAGTGGACCATTATTGCAATGGGATTATACGTCGAAACAGTAGAATGGCACATATGAATCGACCACAATTTCGCGACACATTCAGTATGATGTGGACGGCTGATGCATCAGAAATTTTGGAACATATTTTTTGCTCAACCAGGTCTTTGAGTCTGCCTGGTCTCTGTCAAACTTCAAATGATGCCGATGACGATTATTTTCCACAAAATAATTCTTCCAGAATTCATTTCTGCCGCAAACCAATTTCAACTCAACAATATTGATACCGAAAAGCAAAAATGTGTTCGGAACCCAAGTGAAAGAGGAAAAGAGTTTCGGAAAAATATGAGGCTAAACCAGAATTTGCTCGTGTAATCTTGAGTCGATGTCACTGCGCAGGTATAATTAATCTCGAGATTTATTCAGTGTACGCAGTAATACTCGTGAACGTATCGTTGTAGTTGCACAAATTCAGCCAGGCGTAATGGATTCGCTACTTCCGAATTCCCATCCAGCGCCTAAAAATGTGAGTTTTAGCATTAGTGCAATACGGGTTTAACGACAGTAAACACTAATGGTCTTGGAATTTTGTACATCCTTACCGGAATTTATCTTCAATTCGGCGCATCGGGCTTTTCCTGACTGGCTGGCCATCAGCTGCCCTCGGCGTCACGTATCCGCCACTTCCCACCATTTCGGAGACGTTCTGAAAAGCCATAAATGGAGCAATTTATCGGGAATCAATAGAGATATCATTATTATAGTGGGATTATACGACGAAACAGTAGAGATAATCACACAAATCAATGAAATGCCAACTGGTACGGAATTAGGCTTGTTGTGTACAGCATGTGCATTGGAAATTATGGAACATGTTTTTTGTCTGGGCTGGTCTGAATTTTTCTGCCGTTTTTCCGGTACAACCATAAATAATTCAGCAACCCACAAACTCATCCTCGCTATCGCTTTTCTCACAACGTGCATAGTCTGCAGAAAATGGGTCCGTTAGGTCGACGGCAATTTCTGGAATTTTTTAAACATTTATTTTCGATTTTTAGGCTTAAAGATAGCTAAGATTACGATAAACTAAGCTAACTTTAATTAAATAACTCACGTTCCATTTTCGCCGAAGCTTTCAGCGGGTCCATAAAAGCTGCGTGCAGATCTAAATATTGTTTTTTTTTAATGAAACCCCAGTATAATTAAATATTACAGCCCAATCCGTGAAATCTCTGCGTTAAAAAGCGTCCTTTAATAGGGTAAGGGTATCAGAAAATGTAGAAAAATCGCTTTGAAAGACATTAACAACTATCCTACCTCGCTGCGTGTTGAGCATGAAAAAGTGTACATTAATGTAAACAAAAATACACGCGGGCCCAGCCGGGCGATTGGCACCGGTGCGGAGGATGATGTGGCGATAGCCTAAAGGATTTCCCGATCAGAAAAATCACAGCGTGATCCCTTTAGATTAGCTATTTTCGAAAGTCTTTTCGAAACGCGGCCAAGACAGAATTATTCAAAAATTCCAAAAACTGGTCTCGAAAAAATTGAAACATGAGCCTTTTGCTGTTTGTCAAACGAGTACTGCTCTGTTAGCGGGGGGGGGATTAGCTGTGGAAGCCTGTTTTTATTTTCGTTATGCACCTGTTAATGAAAACTAATATATCTTTATAGTTTTGTTAGTAGTTATTGATGCCAAGGAAGTGTTTCAAAAACTGATATTGACCCGTTCAAGCTGAAAACTATACTTAATTGCTTTTTCCCGGTTTTCGTTCAAAAATACAAAATGATCGCACGGTTTCTATAATTTTTTTATGCGATTTAAACATCCAAAAACTGTTTAAAGCGATGTAAAGTCGTCTATAATTTCTATTTGATAATTGGCCCGTACGAAAGGACTGCGGAAAAATGCGTTCCCCCGCTCAATCCCACCCCCCTCCCCCGATAACAGTCTAGTCCCTGAGAAAGTTGAGGTTACATGAAGGCTGCAAGGCTTCTTTAGATAAGGTGTTTTCGGAGTCGCATTACAAAGTGGAGACTCTCAACGATGAAACTATTAATTGGACAATTTCAAATCAGTCTTTGGAAAAATTTGAAACATTCAAATTTCCGAAGCTATTTAACGCAACAGATTCCAATCAGCAATTTCTTGCCGGCCACATGAACTCGAAACCGACCTCGTTTCAGCTTATTTATCGGCAAAATGCGTTGGCCCAGCTCGGAGTCGTTGTCCGCGTCGATTAGGCGTAGGTGGAGGAACGCGCATTCCGGCTTTATAATCTAAAAAATACACATGAATTTACATTATTTTTAATTTACCATTGCTAATTTTACCTAAAAAATAATTTAATGATAATTTATTTATACCTTTTCAAATCGAAACGGCTGATCAGTGGCTTTATCAAAATACACCGGATTCCAGCCATTTTTCTTCACCGTCCTGGTCCGGCAATGACCGCTAAATACACCAATTAATTAATTAGAGACGGATTTGCTTAGAAAGTGAGATAAAACCTGAACATGAAAAATCAACGTAAAGGTCCTTGTTCGGTAATAGAAAATTTTTGCAACTTTGAAATTTTTAGCTAAATCGCAAGAGACCAGAAGCGTGCTTTAGCTAGAAATGACTGGGCTTATTTACATTAAGATTAAGTATTAAAGCTTACCGATCCGTATCCCTAATCAAATCATACAAATCCACAGTAACATAGGTGGAAAGACATTTGTGTGGATTTAATGAGGAGAGCATCTGTCCGGAAAGCACCTGAAAAAAATGCCCTAGAATTGAAATAGCCTTCACTCGCTTCTGAGACTACACTAGCGATTCATTAGTCGAAAAGAGTCCTTTTACTCTTGAAACATTTTTGGTAATGCATCAAAAACCTACCGTAATCTGTAGCGTGTCCGGCATTACACCAGGTAAATTCGTGGCCCGTGGATCGAAACGCTGCGATAAATCGATGAGGCAGCGTGGCTTTGGGACGTAACTAAGATCACTTTATAATCTTCGGACCGAAATTGGGTAGTATTGCAAACGAGAACGCCTGCTTTCCAAAATTTACGAGCCTTCCGACAGAAAGAGATCGGGTTTGATACAAACCTCAAGCTTGTAGGATTAAATCCTAAACAGGGGGTTTCTGTAGGGGTATATCTGTTAGGCTAGTGGGCCAGATAGAGGACTTTTGGACTGGTTGCACCGAGAGTTCACGCGCATAGGATACTACGGTGCTTCATCAAGCCAGCTATGGCAACCAGCGGTGGAGTGGTGTAACATACAAATCGTCATAAATAGCATGTTGCTGAGTATCCCTACCTAATCTTTTTCGCAGCGGTTAATAAAGGAGCATCAAAAGGGTAGGATGAGCTAGGTAAACCGTTCGCATAAAGTGCTATATGATTACACGAGGCATTCAGTTTTTAAATTAGTGCAGCCCTTACGAGCCGCGTTCCAAAATTTACGAGACTTCCTGAGGAAGATCTCGGGTTTGATACAAACCTCAAGCTTGTAGGTAGGATCAAGTCCTGAGAAGCCAGAACAGACTCCTTCTATTTGGGGAGGCAGTGGGCCAGGTGCGCAACTTTCACTAACGCTTGCCGCATATACAGATTATCCCACCTACCCCGTTCTTCCATTGTATTCGAACATTGTCTCGTGTAGTTGCATCTGAAGTCCATTTGTCTGATAGTTCATCGCCGTCATCTGGCAGCCCACCATCCAGCATACCTAAGGAATTACGGTTGAATAGGCCTTTTGCCTTCAAAAACCGAATTTCTTGGCGTCCTCATGGCCCAGGGTCTAATTTTAAGCGACGCGTGTTATAAATTTTAAATAATAATTTTTAACAAGGTTACAAACCTTTTTAAAAACAAAAAATCGAAAATTGGGGCTGCTTTCCGTTCAGTTTTACAAAAAAATTCAACTTTTTTCGAAATTTTAGATCTGAAAACTGCGAAAAATGCTCTGGAAATTACTTATTTTTCAGTCTTCCGTGCTGACGGGAACATAGGAAACATATATAGTTTTCTACTGCTAAAAATCCTCCCCCAGTAATCAACCAGAACCAAGAATGATAGATGACCTAATTTTTCGCCTTTAAACGCTGGATTATAAGATTATAATTTATAACAAACTAACATTTATTAATCATTTATTGCATTTGGTATACTTAAAAAAACCAACAACAGGGTTAAAGTTGGTGCTGGCATATCGCATTCCGGACGGGTAGACACGGGCAAATTGCCGCACCGTATGTCTAGCGAGCTGGCTGGCTGTTTTATGCTGAAATAATAATGTTTTAAAAATCCCTGCGCTAAAAACTCACGAAATCAAGCGAAGAATTAGGGTTCGAATACAATGCTAAAATTCGGTGGCCTTGGTCCCCCTAGCAAGAGGCCGGGGAGCGAAAGACGCACACCTGGCCCACTAGTGTCAGATATTATGCCCCTCACCGGGCTTTGATCGGACAAGTTCCAACAAGCTTGAGGTTTGTATCAAACCCGAGATCTTCCGAAAGGGAGTCCCGTAAATTTTGGAAAGCGGCTTTTCGGAGCTGCACTAATGGATAGCATTTGGGTTTTGCAAAAGATACCGACGATGGTCTCGAATGGCCGCGTGTATGTAATTTACCAGTGGAAAAAGACCGCTTCGCGGCCATTTTCCACTGGACCCCGTCCAGGAACCATGAATTTGAATACCTTCTTTTCTTAGCCTGCGGCGCCAGAACCTGAGCCAAGGAGCTATTCTTTGGCCTGCGGCGCCAGAGCCAGCGTTGCGCTAGAATCTTTGAGCCTGCGGCGCTAGCTACTGGTTTCTCTCCAGGATCTGGTCTGCGGCGCGAGTGCCCGGGCCAAGAACCTTTTGTTTGGCCTGCGGCGCGAGAGCCCGAGCCAGGGGCCTTTTCTTAAGCCTGCGGCGCTAGAGCGAGAGCCAGACCTAAATCTTGCACACCTAGATCCTACAAAAATTTTTTGTTGCCGAAGTACCAAAAAGCAAAAAACGACATGTTCCCAGGATCCGAACTCACGACCCTGCGCGTGGTAGGCCAAGCGCTAATCCACTAGACCAAGGGGTACATGGGAGGAGGCGGCGGGAAAGGCCTCTTCTGTCCTGGGGAGGCCGGTGATCAATGATCCCGGAGGGAGGCCTTCTGGTCACTTTACAAATTCTATTTTTTTTAGTTTTAATCTGTGGAAATTTTGCAAAGATAATAATACGTGCATGATACCCGCCCTTGATTGCATAATCGGCCCAAATTTCAGCCCGGAATTCCATCAGGGCGTCGAGTTATGGCCTGGACACCACGGCCCGTCCCGCGATTTATTAAGGACCTTTCAGAAAAATTGATATAAAAACATTATTTTAAAGAATTTTGCAAAATCCGAAAAAATGTATCTGGGGAATTACTTTTCCCATCTACCCTCCAAAAATGAGCCCCCAATTCCCTCTAGGGGCCGAGAAAAGTTCCGGACAACGTGCGTACCCAAAAATGTTAAGGATTTTTCACATTTTTGTTTGTAAAATCGTTAAATCAAAGAATTTCAAAAAATCCAAAAAACCGTTTTTTATGAGTGGCATTTCCCACCTCCATGCCAAAAATCAGCTCGAAACGCGGCCTGACGGCCGAGAAAACGGCCGTACAGAAAACAAACATACTTTTCTCGCTTATAGGATAGGATGTTTCACGGCTTCCTGTTGGTCTACCGATGCGTATGACATACCAAAGCGTTCCTCATGTTATGGCGAGTATTTTGGTGTACCATACAGGCCAGTCTTAACACGGGAAGCCGTGATAATGTGTATAAACTGTTCATATGTCACGCCTTCCTGGCTGTTTTACGTATTAAAATTGGCCCTAGGAGTGCTGAGATCGTTAAATGGAGTGCTCAATTCTCCATCAAAAATATTTCGTTTTTTTTAAAATTTTTGGGTTTTCGCAATTGTACTAGCAAATCCGGGAAGTACCAACAAATCACAATTTTCTGTTACTTTCAAGTGAATGCGAATTTGGCTTTTCTACCAATAAAAAGATGCGAATTGTCATTTTTACGTTTTACGTATTCCTCTAAAACCCCTACTCCTCGCATCACATATCGATGGATGGCGTCCTCGGAAAACGAATGCATGATGTAGTAGCGTTTGTCAACTAAAATTTGTATGTTTCATAAAATTATCAACCCGGGTGACATTTTGGTAGCTTTAATAAGCCCACCAACCAACCTTCATCAAAAATGTCGAATTTGGCGCTGGACTTGCTTTCGAGGTAATTGACAAGTGCGGCCAGTTCTGCGGCCACAGTTTCGACTTCTTGCACAGGTTTTAATTGCTAGAAATTAATATTCAAATGGAAAAATCACGACATTAAAAAAGTATGACAAAAATTAAAAAGTTGTCGTGGGCTACATTATCATTTTTTTGTAGAATCTATAGCATGTCCCGAATTTAGAGTTACTGACGGTTGTAGACGGTTTAAAGTACCTTTTTGAACTGTTCATTCGTAATCTCGAGTGATATTTTCCGGTCCAACGCTCCGGCAGCCACTTTCCGGACTGCTGCCGGCATGGCCAGTGGTGATTTCCCGTTCATTTCGGCGGATTGCTTTTCCTAAAAATTCGGCCTAAATTCTCTCTCTCCCTCTCTCTCTCTCCCTCTCTCTCTCGCTCTCTCTCTATCTCTCCCTCTCTCTCTTTTTCTCTCTCTCTCTCTCTTTCTCTCTCTCTGGCTCTAACAAAAAGCCATATCGCAGATTGTAAAAGCACTGAAAATTCTAAAAAATCATTAATTTCGGACAATGCCTAACCTCACTATCGGAATATCTAGCATTTTGAACAAAAATTTTTGAATCATCAGTTTTGGAAAGCAGTTCATTTTTCCGGGATGGAAAATTGCTTTATAAATTTTAAACGCTATACTTGCCTTATTGGACCGTTCCAGCACCCATTTGCACCGTTTCCGGTCTTCGTCATCTCTGCAAAAGATCGGAATTTGAAATATCAAAATTAAGCGCCTCGAGATGGTCTGGGAATTACGGGCTTAAATATCGAAAGAGTACCCATCATCGACGAGACATTTTATTCCTTCGCCCTCTTCGAGTGAATCCGTATCAGAATCGGGCAGTGAACTCTGGGGTGGACTGCCTAAAAAAAACAAATTTTTTAAATTACCGATGTATTTTAAGGGGTAGTGCCAAATTCAAAAAAATTAAATATGAAGAAAGCTTAAAATAGATTTACCTTCTAATGATACATTTAATAAGTTTAATTTAAAATTAAGTTAAACGGTCCTAAGCCATTTTTTACTTTGTATGTTTCGGTCCCTGTATTAATAAAATTAAGCTTAGTTTCACCTAATCTTCTTATGGATTGGGACAACCATGACTTTATTTCCTGTCGAGTTTTACGCCTTGCCCTTCCCTTTAAATGGCAGCCCTTGTCTTTAAAAATCGAAAAATAAATATGTTGAATGTTGCTGTATCATCGTCCCTTGAAGTAGCAAAGAAGTCTGGTCCACCCCGTCAGCGTTGATTTCTGGCAATTACCCAGATGCGAGGCAATGCGACCGCGCCGCACCGCAGGTTTTCTAGCTACGGGTTCGGCTCGGAAATGCGTCAGTTTGAAAGTTCTGGAATTCCTGGAATCTGTAGGCTATTTTAATCTTTTTAACCTATTCCATTTTCAAAATCGACCCAGCATTCACGAAAATAGAGGAATCGAGCGACTTGATTACGACAATTGATTACGCGTGTACGTGTTACTTTTACGCATTATTGACAAATTACGTGACCCAAAAAGTCAACTTTTCTGCCAAACATTTCATGTTTCTAAAATAATTTGCTTTTTTAACAACCAAATTAATTTTTCGGTATCTTAGGCAGTTTAGTTTTTTACAAAAGCTTCGATTCTCGAACACTCAAATTTTGCCTTCATAGCCCCTTTAATTCTGATTTCTCACCGGCTATCGTCGAATCAGATGGCGAAAACTCCAATTTTCGTCGCTGTCGAGCCGGCATTTTCAGCGCCAAGTTTGGGTTGAATAGGTTGGCCACTGAAATTGTGAGTTTCAAGGCAGACTAGCAGTGATTATTGGAGAGTTCCTGGAATTTTCCGACTTTTGTAGTGTTGAATTTTGCCGAAATAGCCAGACAATTATCATGGTTTCGAAGCTGATACTAACGTAGATAAAAAATGCAACCAGTACAATCAGTATGGAAAGTTTTTTGTAGTGCTGGCCATGAAACATGTTTTCAGGTTATCAAAAAGGTCTAGTAATGCAATAGCAATTAATTTAATAGTATTTTTTAGCAGAATTTAACTATGTTTCAAATGTGAAAGACAATCTTAAGCCTATGAAATCTTTACCAAATTTTGTTCGAGATTTTTAATCAAAAAGCATTTTTATTTAAAAAAGTTTAAACAATTTGGTCGAGAAATTGATTCGGTGATCATTTTCATTTTTTATGAATTTTTCTACAGTGTGTGACGTTTATGTATCTTAAGAATCATCTTAGAAACCCATTATTTAAAACCCCCCTTCAATATTGGCAAAATTCGATCCTGAGGAAAAAATTGGTTTCGCCTCTAAAGCGCAAGCATCGCTTTAAAATCGTGTTGATCGACATCTCTTCCAAAAGCAAAGGGTAAAAGATTCCATTGCAACCGTTGCCTGTCAACCGCGCAATTTGTTAAAGGAGCCGGTAAGAAGCGAACGCAAATTATGAGCGCATTACGAGTTCGAATTAAATTTATGAGGAGATTTTATGAAACTAATTTTTTCAACCCACCTCCGAGAAATACTTTCAGGCTTGTTATATTTTTCGATCATTGATTGATTGATTGTGAATTATAAATCGCTTTTTAGCTATACTGGGTGTCCCAAAAAAAAGCACCCCCCTCTAGCGGTCCGGGGGAAGCTCAGATCGGGATAATTTTTTATACCATTCGAAAGCTCTCGGAAAGGCGAGAAAACAAGCGGGATTCCTTTTATGAGATTTATTTTTATACGCTGGATATTCAACGTTTTTCTAAAAAAAACAGGTAGATTTTCAATAGGAATTTCGCGATTAGCATGCAGATCTCGCGTAAATCGGCCGTTTTCATGGTTTTTGGACGTAAAATTTGCTAATAAAAATACATAATAAAGAAAATGAACCCTCCTTGTTTTCTCGCCTTTTCAAGAGCCTTCGATAGATACCTAAACGGTGGAAATCGGACACGTCTGCGCGCCGCTAGAGGGGGGTGCTTTTTTTGGGACACCCTGTAAATCAGGGGTTAACGGGCTTAGCCCGCCATTTTTATTGAGTTTTACTGTAAACTGTAAATTTTCCCCCAAGAATTGCGATAATCAAGAACAATGCGATCACAACATTAAATTAAAGAGCCCCGGAACTTTTTTTTTTGCCCGATCTCAATAAAACATTTCTTTGGAAGGCGCAATCCCCGTGTAATTTCGGGTGCTTTCACCATATCGGGGGAGGGGGACACCTTTCTCACATGACTTCAGGTTTTGTAAGATTTTTTAAAACTTCGTTTTCCTAGCCCATACGTAACAACTTTAAAAATGTTCACGAAAATATAAAAATTGTCGATTTTTCGACAAAATGTCCAAGTGTCAGCCAAAAATTTAAAAAGTTAGACGCTTAAGGATAGTGTTTTTATTTGAAATACAAGTTATAATTTGAAAAAATAATGATATCATAACAAGGCCGATCGCATCGTCTCATTAAAATTAAACCACAAGCTTTGTAGTACTCCTTTGATGAAACATCTTTTAAAACTGGCCCTCAATTCATATTTTTTTGTAATTCCTTACCACTACTTTTGCTGCCGATGCTGCTGCCCAGCAGTGCTTCGTCGACATGCCGACGTGGATGCGGTTTCTTCGCTTTTATTAGAATTTTATTTCGCAGCTTCCAGGGAGACGGAAGCATCACGCCCTCGTCTAGCTAAAAATCGATAGATAAAATCAGGGAAAATTTCTTCGACACCTTAATCTTGATTTAAATTTAATTAGTTCTTGATAGATGATATAAAATTAGGACAGGGTCTTAAAAATAAAAAAATGATCATATCCAAAGGGCGGAAGCTATAAGTCCAAAAACAATAATTAAAATTAAGGAAATGTTTCAGAGCTTAAAAGTAAAATGTTTTTATTTAATTTCCGTAAATAGCTCCATTTTCTAGTTGGAATCGGTGTGTTACATGAGCAAAATGACCTGAAATTTAACGAACCCTAATCAAACACTTTACTGACTACTACGATAGGTAAAAAGTATAAAATCTAAAAATTTAAACTTTTCATGATCCTTTATAGATACCGGATAGTCATCCAGCGGCTCATCCAGCAGAAGATCCCCAAAAATTGTCCGGAAATAGAATGCCATTTTTCTGGAAAAGAAATGTTTTATCCAAAATTTAGCAAAGAGTCCATTAAGGAAGAATAATAAGGTCTACATAGGTCCTGAACTGCACAATAATTGAAGGAATTGCATACCTTTGCTGCTGCACATTACAGTGATTTTCAATTGACAGTAATACGGGCAGAGGTGACGTTTTAAAGGCGCACTCCGCGATCGCCTCAACCACGTCCTAAATTCGGGTTTAAAGGGACGGGCAAGGCATTGATAAGAATTTTCTTGGCATCTCGTACTCTATAAAGCGCCTAAAACCGATCTTTTTATCTATAAGGTGTGTAAATACTGTAACAGATCATGCTTAAATTAATAATTAAGGTAACAACTCGTACTTAAAATACTTAGATCCGACATAACAATCCGACTACCGATTCACCTTTATTTTGCATTTTTTATTGATTTAGGTGATGCAGAGTTTAACCTAATGTTTATTACTATACAAAAATTCGCGCCGCAAACGATATGGCGCCAGCCGTGCGAACATTGCTAGATTTCGAGATAATTGATGGTCAAGAAGTCAAAATTTTCTGAAACATTCATTCTTTGCAGCTTGCTAAAACCGTTCTTCTATGCGTTTAACCGCTCTAACGGTCTTTTAACAGGCTTGCTGACCCATTCCTTAAAAGTAGACAACAAAATATACCTACCCGAAAAGGTACAGAATTCAAAAAGGTGACTTCCATCGGCCCATGTGTGATTATCGGCTCGCCATCAGCTCCATCCCAACAATCCAACTCAATGCAACGACATCCGGAGAGAAGTGTCTGAATATAATTTAATGATGCATTAAAGGGATGCCGACGGCACAGTCAATCGGTTACGCGCTGGAAAGGAAAATGTCTCTGTGCCTCTCCCCAGTGCGCCCTCTCTTCCCTGTTGGCTACTTCCCAATTAGTTGATGGGGGGGGGGGGGTCCAAACAGACCCTCGGCATCCCTTTACACAGCAAAAGTGCAACTCGGCGAGCTGCGTTCCAAAATTTACGAGTCCTCAGTATGGAAGACCTCGAGTTTCATACAAACCTCAGGCTTGTAGGATCAAGTCCTGGGAAGAAGAAGAGAAGGGGTATATATGGTGGTGCAGTGGGCCAGGTGGGGAACTTTTGCTAGTGCAGATCCGGGAGTACGGAGGGAGGATCCACCGTGCGAGAATGCATGGTTTTGCTTTGCGATGCATAAGGTTTCGAAACCACAAAACCAGATGGTCGTGACTTGAAGATTAACCGATTTGGTATGAAAATACCGATTATAGCCGTAACTAAAATAGTTTACCCTAATCTGGCTATTTCACTTTAAGAATCTGCTCAGTAATGGACTAGTGCGGATCCGAAGAACCGCTTCCAAAATTTTTTATGTTTCCTAAGAGGAAAACTAGGGTATAGCTACTACTAGCCACACCCCCAAAATGTTGGATTTCACACCGCCGAAAGACAGCCTGCACAGCCTATTTGGTCGGACAGTGGGCCAGGTGAGCGCCTCTTGCTGCGGGGGGTTGGTTAGGGCTGCCCAGGAAAATTCCGTGACCTTTTTTAGGCTCTTATTGTGCCTTTAGCTTTCAACGGTTTTTAATAAAACTTAGCTAACGTTATTATTAATTAAAAATCAATATTTAAGTTAGCTTTAGAAAGGCTTAGACCAACCTGCCGATAGATCTCGACATCACTGGCCGTCAGATCGTGCTTGATGTTTGAGATGTGTTTGGCCTATATAAGTTTTTTAGTTTAATTACTACTTTTAAATTTGCTGGAAGAAATATACAGTTTAACAAAAAAAAATATACTAAAATATACCTGTACAATTTGCGCGCCAACCAAATATGTATTATGGCTGCAAGAAATGTAATAATGAGTCAGTGGCTCGTGGGCTTTGTCTTCATCAAAAGCCATGTCCTGAAAAACGAAAAATTGCTGGAATTACTGTAATTAATCACAGTGGTTGATATAATGTTTTAATTGCATTATTGTTTAATGAATTTAATTATTATTAATTTTTTTTAATTGTGTGCCATGATAGCGCTAGAGTATTCGACTATTATTGGATCGCTCGCGTGAAGTTATCGTGACATTAATCCAGCAAGAATTCAGCCCAGCTGTTTTTTTTTGTGAAACATGTATTCTTGAAAAAAATTATATCGGAGCTGGAGAAAACTTACTGGAAAAGAAAAAATGGCTCAACATTTTTTTGCAAAACATACATTTTTCAACAAATCCTAGCGAATGTTGAAAAATGTATGTTTTGCAAAAAATGCAAAAAATGCAATGCAAACATTTTGAGCCATAAAACTGAATTCAAATATCCGACATTTGTTAAATTGGGTATTCTAGTTTTTAAATGGTTTGATTTCAATTAAGATACCTTTGCATCAATATCCGGGCACGCGTCGCTTAACAAAAAACGAGTAAATCCATTGAAAGTGAGGTAGGTGCCTGAAAATTTGAAGTTTCGTGTTATAGATGAACTCGGAAGGCAAGATACCACAACAATCACGTTAGACATGCGCTCACATAATCATATTGTTTAAGTAAAAAAAGATTAAGACTCACTTCCAGTTCAATTTACCTCTTAAAATGGAATTTTGTAAATTCCTGGTTTTTAAGGAGCCAGCAAGGCAAAATTCAACCTCAGATTTTTCGAACAAAAGATTAGTTTTCATAATAAACATATTTAATACCTGAGTTTTACAGAAACTTATGAAATATATTACCATTTTTCGCATACTTTTCCATCAACTGTTCAATTTGTCGATTTGTGGGTGGTGGATGCAGTACCTCATTTAATCTCGGGTCTCGTTGTCGCGAGATCAGGAAATTGCCTAAATGTTTTCGAAATTCCGAAATCCCCAAGACTCTCCGCAAGGGTACCAGCTTGAAAAATTTAGAGAGACGACGAGCGTAGCTTATTGATCATAATTCTTAATAGCTTGGCTTCGGGATAATTTGAAACATAGCCCTGCTAGGGGCCATTTTCATCTTTTCGAAACTTATGATGCCGACACTTCTTTCCTTGAAAATGACCTTGTCGAAGTTCATTTTATCGAAATTTCTTAGATTGCTTCTCTCAAACCCGTAGAAATTTTACATTTCGGTGAAATAAAATTTAGTCAAAATATAATTTCGGTTAAATGCATGTTACACAAATTGTAACGGTTCTAATGGATGATTGCATCGAATTGTGTTGAATTATGTGACAATACTAAAATAAAAAAATGAAACATTTAAAACAACACCCTAGCGCCTTACAATTACGGTCAATTTGAATCAATTTGTCTATGACCTACCAAATTTCCGCTTGCTGATACATGGCTCACCACCGAGCCCTTTTACATCGGCCCTAAATTTGATTAAATATTTGCGTTCTTATGTGCTTTTTTTCTGGGAAACCGCCAAAATCCCGACAGCCAAAATCCCAACGGCCATAATCCCGACAGCCAAAATTCCGACAGCCAAAATCCCGACCCCCTGATTTTAAAACCATTCATGAGTAAAATGGCCCAGAACATTTGGAACAGAACAGAACTTTTGGCTGTCGGGATAATGGCTGGGATGCTTTTTTCTACATCATCAATGATTGCTGTTATGGCCCTTTACTCTAAAATTAAAAAACTTCGTGGAAAAGCAAACACAATACCAAATCAAGAAAAGCTAGAAACATAGTTTAAAGCAAAAACGTACAATTTTAAAAAGACCTCCGACAGCTCGGGCCGCTGATTCACGTAGACGAACATTTCCAGGATCAGATCGTCGGTTAATCGATTCTAAAAAATATATGATCTCAGAACTGTTTACGGAACTTTTCTTGGGAGAATAAATGCTTCATAAAATTTTATTGTTAGGGGGGTGGTACAACGAACAATGGTGCAGGGTGTCCGATATATTATTTATTGTTGAATAAAAAGCCGCTTATATAATTTTTCGTGTCGCTTACACAATTGAATAATAATAATTATTGATATTATTATTATAGTGAATTTGTAATTTATAAATCATGGATCTTTTGCTTGATGAAATGTTTCGCCAAATTTGAGTCTTCGTTTAAAAATTCAGCCCACAATTCCTCCACTCTCTTCTGCAGAACGATATAAAAACATTTTCTATCAATTAAAAAAATTATATTGTTTTTTTGAGCACCCTAATAAAGTGAATAGCAATAATCGTGTTTATAATTGTAGGTTTATAATTGGACAATGCCTAACTTTTTTTAGGCTTGTTTCGCTACAACCGACGCTATTATTTCTTGCAATTTCCCTTTTAGCAAAATATTGAAATACACAGCTATGTTGTATAAAAGATAGAATGAAATGATGGCTGTTCTAACAAAGACCTCAAAAAGAACTCCCTGATTAAAAAATTCTGCTAAAAAAGATGTTTGAAGAAATTGTTGTTACAAGGAGCGTTGCTTGAATGTAATTTTTCCGTAGGTTGCGTGTATGTAATGGTTCCTAAGTCCGATATTTCAAGGAAAAAATCCAAACTATATAAACTAAAGAAGTGAATTAAAAACTAATGAACTAAACATTAACTAATAAAAATCATAACTCATAAATCCTACCATTTTACAATATTAATTTAACACCTTTGAATCAAATTAATAGCAATAACTTCACGTAGCTCTAAAAACTCACCCTAGAAATCTCTTCTCTTTTGTTGAAAAACGGGGAGTTGAGGAGAACTTTTGTGAGTTGAGCCACAGCATGCGCTGGCTCGGCTGGCATCATGGCTCGAACAAGGCTGAAAACGGTTCTGGTGCGTTAGCGGGGGGGTGAAACGACGCCCACTTACCTTTCCGGGCACCTTCAGCCAGTCCCCGCCTCCTCCCCCCCCCCGCTAGCGAACCAGAACCAAGACATTTTAAAGGCACTGGCAAGGCAGGACTATAGTTTTTTATTATGGATTCTGTGACTTCGCCGCGCCCCGACACGCAACGCGCACGCTCGCCCATTGCGTAATCGGTTACGGTCCCTGCGTAGCGGCCAAGCATTGCGCTCCGTATCGCGGTAACATCTATAGAAATCCACCGCCAATCAAATTTGTAGCGTTGCCTTACCCATCCCTTTATTTATCACGGAGAAAGATGCTTGAATATGCCTTAAAGAAACTCGTAAACCCCGCCAGCGTATGCTACATCTTACTTCAAACGAATTCCTGAATTTTCTCAATGAAACACTCCACAATTTATTAATTATAGTAAAAATTCGCATATTTCTTGATCCCGTGCTTTCGATTTTTTTTCGATCTTTCGATTTTCGAGTTACATCAAATGTTTAAATTTTGCCTGGTATTGTTGATTGATTGCCCGGATCTTTAGAGGCACCAAGGGAAGGATTTGTGAAACATCGAAGCCAGATCAGCACAATTAGACTTCAGTAGTGGCGCTTATTACTGGTTTTTTGGTGAAACTTATTTTTTTAGGTTTGCAAAAAGAGAAACACGCACCTTTCTAGCGTGATGCCATCTGGGATTGGTGGGTATCTGAAACATATAATTTGAAGGGGAGCGACCAAAGCTACAGTCTTTTTCTGTCTATCTATCTCTCTCTCTCTCTCTCTCTCTCTCTCTCTCTCTCTCCCTCTAACTTTCAAAGACCTACCTTAGCGGCGCCAAATGCTTCAAAATGTAGAATTCGACGCCATGATATTCGCGGCGCCTCGTCTGCGACAGTTCAAACAGGAAATCGGCCCATTTTTTCAGGGTTTCCTAAACCAGTTCGAAATCTATGTTTCATGAATTTTTCGAAAAATTCGTCGATACCCTGATTTTAGTTTCACCTGAAATCATTTCCGTCTGTACAAAAAAAATTTTTTCACAAAAGTTTCACAAGTTTCACAAAAACCCCCTCTGCTACTCAAGTTATTGGCAGCAACAATCGTTACTGGGAAAATCAGGGCCAGAGGAATTTCGGGCCATGGATTCCACGCGCGTCGCGGTGAAACGCAACGCAACGCGCATACTCGGCCTTATAGAGAACCGAGTCTTATTCATACCGCACTGTTTTCATGCATGAACGTGAAGAATTCGGGATGTACGAAGTCGCGGTTCGTGACGACCGTCATCAGATGGGGATGCATGTCGGGCTTCGAGGCGATCTGAAGCAAATTTTTGGCGATGGCTGTCGAATGCTAAATCAGAAAGATCCGGTTATGGATTCAAACGGGCCCTCTTAAAATATATGTTTCGCAAATTTATATCGATCAAAAATATGTGCGGGTTTCTAATTCGTGGATGGTCGTAGGTGGCAATTTTACATTTCATTTTATCTCAAAGCAACGATCCAGTAAATCTACTAATTCAAGACTCAGTTAATTAGTATATTCTTAGAACCCAGGATCGGGAAGCTTTACAAACTTCGATTTTCATTATTGTTCACAAAATTTTGCTAATGGATAGATTTAACTTTCAAACGAAACTGCGAAAATACCACTCTCGCACTCAATTATTGGCAGGAAAGCGAAAACGAAACGCTCGAATTTACGGGCCATTCACATGCAAGAGCGAAATTTTATCAAATTGGTGCAGCTCCGAAGAGCTGCTTTCCAAAATTGACGAGAATTCCGGGTGGAATAACTCGGGTTTGCTACAAACCTCAATCTTGTAGGAACAAGTCCTTCCCGAATATCCTAATTCCCGTCTGCCCGGCAAGACAGTGGGCCAGGTGAGCAACTTTTGCGCTGCGGACCGGGACAGGAATCCCAACCCCCCATGGGCCCAAAAAAACGTCTACATTGCACATTCAGATGAATTATGCTATCAGAGGATATATTTTAGTTGAAATAATTTTTTCGGCTTAATGAAATACTTTACTTTATTTGTGACTTCGAAACATACACATTTCGTCTCCGCATACCGCCCAATACGCACGTCAACAATCGCCTCGATGAAGATGTGGTCCCAACTCTGAAAAAAATGTGAAATTTACCGAGTTCGGCTTAGAATTTCCACAATGGTCACGGCTAGGTTGTCATGTGGGGAAATAGTTGGCAAGGGTCCACCAATGTCGAATCCAGGGCTCGCCCGCCCTTTCAATTGGGACATTTTTGAAACATAAAATTTCGATTTTTTTGTGGGGCATTTTCTATCCTATAAGCGAGAAAAGTATGTTTGTTTTCTGTACGGTCGTTTTCCCGGATTTCCGAATTTCGAGCTGATTTTTGGCATGGGGGTGGGAAATGCCATTTATAAAAAACGGTTTTTTGGATTTTTCGAAATTCTTTTATTTAACGATTTTACAAGCAAAAATTTAAAAAATCCTTAACATTTTTGGGTGCTCACGTTGTCCGGAACTTTTCTCGGCCCCTAGAGGGAATTGGACCCTCATTTTTGGAGGGTAGATGGGAAAAGGAATTCCCCAGATACGTTTTTACGGATTTTGCAAAAAAGTTTAAGATAAAGTTTTTATAAGGATTTTTCTGCAAGGTCCTTAATAAATCGCGGAACGGGCCGTTGTGTCCGGGGCATAACTCGAAGCCCTGATGGAATTCCGGGCTAAAATTTCGACCGTTTCTGCAATCAAGGGTGGGGATCATGCGCATCTTATTATCTTTGCAAATTTTCGGCAGATTCATACTCAAAAATCGAATTTTGTAAAGTGACCAGAAGGCCTCCCTCCGGATCATTGGTCACCCTTATCTCTCTCCCCGTCTCCCCAGGACAGAACAGGCCTTTCCCCCCCTTTTCATGTGCCCCTTAGTGTGGTGGATTAGCGCTCGGTCCACCGCGCGTGAGGTCATTAGTTCGGATCCTGGGAGAATTTATTTTTTGCTTTTTGGTAGTTCGGCAACAAAACATATTTCTAGGCTCTCAGTGTCGGAAGCTTAGACCTGGCTCGCGCTCTAGCGCCGCAGGCAATAGAAAAGCGCCGCTTGGCCCAGGCTCTCACGCCGCAGGCAAGATCCTGGAGAAAAACGAGTAACAAGCACCGCAGGCTCAAAGATTCTAGCGCAACGCTGGCTCTGGCGCCGCAGGCCAAAAAATGGCTCCTTGACTCAGGTTCTAGCGCCGCAGGCTAAAAAAGAAGGGATTCAAATTCATGATTCCTGGACAGGGTCCAGTGGAAAAGGGCCGCGAAGCGGTCTTTTTCCACTGGTATGTTAATGATTCCCCTATCAGTTTGTCACTTGCTTTTCCCTATTTTTATTCAATCACGTGAAAACGTGATGATGTGTCGTAGAAGAATTTCAAGTAGACTAAAAGAAGCGCATTTTTTCGGACCACAAAACCTAATATTCGGTTTTACAAGTACAAGCAAGACCGCCGAGAAAACGGCCAAAAACTTCGTTCCCCTATCATTTTGCACACTATATATTCGGAAAAATTCAATGTTCCATCCATGCAATAGCTTAATGACAAGAGTTCAGGTTTTAATCCAGTTTCGGCCATCTAAAAAAATAATTCAAAATAGCCTACAATTTCCTCCTTGTAGCCTCTGCGTCTCCAATATAAAATGTGGCCATTCGGGTCGACGAACAGATTCACCGGGCAGTCATCGTTACGCTGGTCCCAAGCGTGCAGCGCTTTTTTCTAAATATATAGATTAAAGTTAAAAGCTTAAGCGAGAAATGCCTATTAACGTTATTAAATTAAAATAAGGATTTTAATCCAATTTTTATAAAAATTTTTGGTTATCTTCCCGGCGAAAAACTGGCAAAAACGTAGACTTTTTAAATGTGTACTAGCTGTAGGCTACGAAGTATAATATCAGTTTGGTCGAAAAATATTTTTTATGTTTCAGAAAAGTTTCTAAGGTTTTACACGGAAGGAGGGGTAAAAATCAGTGCAAAAACGATTCTGCTGTTTATATTACAAAAAAAAGGATTCGAAGAAAGCTGCCTCCCCCCAATATTGCCAAAGCGCCGCGAAAACGCGCCACCCCAGCAAGCTAAAAGTTAAAAAAGGGTACAAGTGAGCTAATAGCCTTGTTGAGAAACTGCAGGGTTAATCTAAAAAGTTCACAAAAATCCGGTCGCTAAATCTGCCGGCCCATCAAGCTAAAAGCGGAAAACATCCTAGTCTCATAGTTATTCGGGAATCTACCGTCTGAGCGCAATGCTTAGCGATCGTAAAAATTATGTGTTCCGCTGAGAAAAATTATTTACGAGCAGCAATTCTGGCTAATAAATCTAACCCGGGAATGAGCCATGATTACGTTAATTTTACTTTGCGGGTTGTTAGCAAAGATAGCTGAGGAAAAAGATTTATCGTAGAGGAGGACGAATTGGCACTGAGCCTCAGCTAGAGCAGGGCCATCTAGCAGAGATTCTCTAGGAAGATTGGAAATTGGTTAAGGTTAAGAAGGCTAGCAATGATATAAAATGGTGAATCTTACCCTAAGAATCTAAAAGCGGAAATTATCAGAACTGGGCCGGCGGTGGTCCCAAATTATTGAATTTTATAAAAGCTAACTGGTAGCTGATAGTCGAAAAGTTTGTGTTTCGCCGAAAAATGTATTTTCAGGCAAAAATTTAAAGCTATTAGATCGTTTCAGTCTGCTACTCTTGAATTTAATTTGGCTTCGATGTCGGCATGATATTATGATTTTTATTGCAGACAAATTGGTTAATTAAATTGTTTGTGGGAAAACGATCACAATTTTATTGAATGTTTTACCATGCTATCAGTATCCCAAAATTCCTAGCCCTATTCCGCGCACAGAGGCCGCTTTAATTTAAACTAGCATGCTAGCAGAGGTTATTGGGGGAGCGGCATTCAAGGATTGCCGAAGAATTTTAAAAAACTGCCCGGCAAGAATTAAATGTTTCACGATTTTATCGCTATCGGCAAAATGCCTAGTAAGCATTCATCAGTATCCAAAGATGGATAAATTTTCCAAAGCAATCCAGCAGATATTATTGTGGAAATGGTATTCAGCACAGCTTTTGTCGTGATTTTCGGGCACAGGAAACACTATGTTTTACCGTGTTATTGTTATCCGGCGGAAATTTCCGGTCTGATCGATTGATTCGCGGTATCTCGAAATCAGAGGGGTTGGAAAATCGATTGTTTCATTATTTTATCGGTATCGACAGCAAGTCAAGCAATGATTCCCGAGAGCGATGCAATTCTTCTTTGTCTTCTTGCGCGAAGGAGCTTATGGATTTGAGAATGTCAAGGTTAAGGGGGCTCGGAAGTCAAAATTCGTGTGGACGTGGCTTGAACCCACTGGTCAAAAAACGAAACGGTCACTTCCGAGAAGCATCAGAGACGTGATTTCATTGCGAAAAAAAACATAAAATATTTGAGTAAAACCAAAATTTTCTCGGGGCGAAAATGACTTTTTGAGTCGGGGGCCATTATATACCGTAATGCCTTGTAAGGCACCCAAGCTCTCGATCTCCATTTCTTAATCAAAAATTCTAGAAAGATCAACATTCGGTGAGGATTCCGGAAATAGTGTCAGAATTTTTCAAGCGTTTTCACGTCCAGACAGGGGCAAAAGATCATGCGGCGCGGTCGCGTTGCGGTGGCATCTGGCTATTTACCAGGAAACCTTAAATACCAAGCAACTTTAAATTTTTGAGGATAGCCTAGCAGATATTATTGAGGAAAGAAAACCCAAGCCATGTTTTCGATTAAATAGGCCTTTCCATTTTTTAAAAACTGCATGTTTCACCGTTTTCTCGCGATCCGGAAAAATTAGTTACTCGTTATTAACTGGGTGGGCCGTAAAAAATAAATCTGCTAAAAGCAAATAAATCTGTCAAAAATCAACTTTATTCTTAACAAATTTAAAAAACCTAAACTTAAGAATAATAAAGAAAGGCAAATTAAAAGACGAAAAAGTCGCAATTTTTTGCGGTAATTTTAGAACCTAAAATCGTATCCAAGTGTTGAGGTCAAAATTAAGGATGAGCGCAGAAAATGTGTCTTTTATCAATGTATCTCTAGCTAGAATTATTAGGAATTCCAATACTAGGCAAATAGATTTTGAACTCACCGATCCCCACTTGAAAAACTTCTCGCCGCGGACAAAGCAATCGTCGATCGCCTTTTTCGGCGGCATAAAATAACTGAAATTTGCACGGTATTTTTCAAATAGATAATTCTTAAAGAAAGCACAAAAATCTTTAAAATCAGTTCAAATAGGCTTTCACTTCCACTTTTTTAATTTACAGACAAACAAGATTTGCATTTTATTTTTCCAGAGTATAAGTTATTTTTTCAATAGTTTCCACACGGTTGTACTATTTTCTCTCTTCTTTTCTCCGAATTGTTTCCAAATTTTATTCTTATACCTAAGCGTAAAACTTTAGAAATTTTTATGAACAAATTACAAGAAATTTAGGTTTTTCTACCAAAATTTCAACGATTTTGACGGCTGTTAGATGGATTTTCCTCTTGGAGTCGATTTAAATTTGACTAACAGCGCTAGAACACTTAATATTGAGTTACTAGGCTTTTCTGGGCTTATGGGAAAAAACTATCGCCCCCCCCCCCGTTACTGCGAAAGACCCGGAAAGAACGGAATATATGATCGCGACATAGTTTTTGGTTTTGGCGATGAGAAAGGGCAGCCGAATTAACAGAGGTTCTGCTGTTTACCTCCCGTTCAAAACAAAAACATTCTAATTCAATTCCAGAGAACCATACATAATACCTTAAATCTATTTATAGAAAAAAGTAAGTATCCCCCCTGAACCCCCCGTTAATGCCGAAGAACCAAACTATGTAAGCTATCCGATGCACGATATTTTAAAGACTTTGAACTCGTTACAGAGTTTTTAGGTTTTAAATGCCCGGCCCTACGATAGAAAAATGTTTCCAAAATCTATAACATAAACTTATTCGAATTATAAGTTCAACAAATTGTGATACAATAAACACTTAAGCTCGCGCCATCTTGTCAAAATTTATAAAAAACGCGACAAAATCGATTTTGCGGGCGACGAGCCATTTTGTGTGGGGGGCTCCAATTCAAACATCCGGGTCTTTGGGCGCTTATCATTTGGCTTTTTTAGAGGAAGGGAAAAGCCGATTTGTGGGCGCGGCCCATTGAAGACGGAATTTTGGACTCGTTCCAATCCCAATGGCGAAAAACCTAAAATTAGCCATGCAGGTTAACAAATAACCTTGAAAAGATCCGTATCATTATTTTTTTCAAACTCAATTGTTTCGTTAGATTAATAGAGACAACTCACCAGCTTAAAATATGGGCAGCATATCGGAGGGATTTGGGTAAATTCCATAAAAATAGTTTTAATAAAAGAGCAACAAAGAGGCATGAATTATTGATCATTGCCTCAAATCGGACAGTTTTAAAATCTCGGAAGTCTTTTCGGAATTACAATTATTTTTCTATTGTATTTATTCCTAGCCCGTTTAGATTTTTTAATGAGCTGCATCAAATCCGTGGCTATTTCGTTTGTAGTAGTAAACCAGGGTTGAAAAGCCGCTTCGCGACTTTTCAACCCTGGCCCCGTGCTGGACGAATGAAAGCTTACACTTTGCATAATTCCACCCAACTCCCGTTGAAAAAAGTGAAAAATACGCTCTCTGCTCCTTTAAATAGGCTATCCACACCTCCGGCGCATGCTAATTGATTCCTAACAAAGAGGGTCTCGGATTTTTAAACAAAAACTAAAATTTAATGTTGGAAATAGGCGATTTTGGTCAATCCGATCTGTGTGCAGTCATCTCCAGACCATTACGCTCCTAATGATGTATCAAAAACGCCCCTAACTACTCTCCTTCTTGAGATACTGCTGGAACACGCTGACGGAAGTTGCATGCAAAGTGGCACACACACACACACAAACACTATTTTTTTATATATAGTGGGATACCCTTCTTAATAAGTTTTCTGGTGATTGTCACGAAAATGATTAGGGAAACCAGCAGTGCAAGGAACACCAGAATTTTTGAAACATGAGTTTTGCTGGGGCGGATCTGCTGGTCTTGTCCTGGTTTTTCTTTTACGAGGCCTTTTTGTTGAACACTGAGCATAACGACCTAATCCGATTGCGTAGCTTCAGGGTGCATTGCATGCCCCAATGGACACGGGCAACCGGCTCGGCGACGCTATTTTTCATAAAATTACTAAACGTACATTTACCATGTGGAAATTGATTGATCCGCCTAAAATGAAGAAAAAGACTTCGAATGCACAGGTTACGATGGTCGAATAAGGGTATGTTGTCATAGAAGCAATCCCGCACTACCAGACAATTCGAGCAGCCCATAAGAGCTGCGTGCCAAAATTTAAGAGACTCCCGTGCGGAAGAACCCGAGTTTGATACAAACCTCAAACTTTTTGGAGCTAGTCCAAGTCAGGTATTTGGTAGGGGTATATCTTACAGGGCAGTGGGCCAGGTGGGTAACTTTCGCTAATGCCCGCTATTTTGGCGGCTGTGGGTTCTGTATCACGATTTACAAAACAGGCTAAGATTTTATAAAAATCGCGACCGCATCCGGCTCGTTGTTCGAAACTGATCAACTACCGGCTGTCTGTCCTTCTATACGCAGGATTCAGGTCGTCCTATAATTGCCGATGAAGATACAAGAGCGGCGGTGGTTTTTAGTGAAAGACGTACACCTGGCCCACTATCGCCCCAGATAGTCCCCGGATCGCCGATAGTTTTAGGACTAATCTCCTACAAGTTTGAGGTTTGTATCAAGCCCGGGTACTTCCCTGAAGTCTCGTAAATTTTGGAAAGCAACTCTTCGGGGTTGCGCTATGGTTTCGTAAATGTTTGTGAATTCCCAGTACAACAGCTTGGGGTTGGTTCTCTATTGCCGGTGGTAGTCACTTACTACGCTTGCTACACAATATCGCGTGATTAAGAGCCTTATATGGCTGTTGATATCAAGAATTTGTGAATCTTAATTGTGAATACCTTATTAACAAGTATAAGCCAATAATCCTGAGTTTGGCTATTTTTTGCTTGCTAAATACTGTAATTTTGCGCCGTAGGTTATCTTAACGGACCGTTTATGGCTGCTTGAACGTTACAAATTCGCTCAAACAACCCGATTCAGCTTTTTTACTAAAACCCTATATGTTGAGTTACAAACATACTCAAACACCCCAAGATCTCCCTTATCACCTTATCAATCCAATTATCTGTTTATTTGTCTTTCTCTCGCCGTCTGTCTCTCCCGAGGTCACCTTTCCGAACGGCCCGCTTTGGATGTGGAGGCTGGAAATTGTTTTGCTCTTTGCGCGCTCTCAAAATCGATCCCCTTTCTCTACGCGTTGCCTGCCCCCTTTTCCTCTTTTCAGCCCCTCCCAGCTGCATGCAAAACAACAAACAACCCCGTGGGTGTTGAAAGCTACGCTTTTTGCCTATTTACGCCCGTCTAGCTCGGGATTTTTTGTCTTAAAATTAGATGTTTTAGGATAAGAATTATTTTGGCCGGTCTTTAACTCATTATTCCCCGCAAGATAAGCATTATTTCCAGCAGCAAAAATACTCATGCTAACAATGTAGCGGATATTGAAGCCTAACCTTTTTTAATTTTCTGAATACGTATTGAAAAGGCTTTTGGCTTAAAATTTGATGTTTTGAAGATACTAGCCATTTTTGCCGCTTTTACTACTTAATTGACCCAGTTACCAGCAAGAATTAAGTTCGTTAGCTATATTGGAAATTCATTGATTTTTAGATTTTAAATTTAAATTGATTTAAATGATTTAAGATTGGATTTAAATTGCATTGATTTAAATTGATTTTAAATTCCCTGTGGTTTAGTAAAATTGCGTCCGAAACAATGCTTTATGCCTTCCAGAATTATTAACATAATTTTTTGGATTAAAATTACATGTTTAAAGGTCAAGGCCCTTTCCACCACCTTTCTCCTCTTTAATGTAATGCGCTTGCCGGCTTATAAAATAAAGATTTACGTTAGCTAAAAATAATGAAAATACTGTTATTTTATGTAATAGTTTTGATTTTAAACTCGCTCTAGTTTGGGGGAGCTTCTCTGAACATACGACGAAAATATCTGAAAATATTAAAAGGTTTTTTTGCCCCAAAATTGGATGTTTTAAGATAAGATCCATGTTCGCCGATGTTATGCTGTTTAATGGGACATGCGGACTGCTTGATTAAATAGGGATTTAATTTAGCTAAATATAGTGAATACGCGATGGTTTATTTGTATCCATTTTTTTGTAATAGATAATTTTTTAATTGCTTACTTAATTACTTTAAAAGGACTCGTCGAATAAATACGAAAATAGTAAACGTATGAAATCCATATTTTTTAGTTAGTTAAATTGAAAAATAGCAGGAATCATGCAGCATTTTTTTTTTGGAAAACCGTCGAATAAAACGGAAATTCTCTAATTTTTAATGCTACTTTGACGTTTAATTCCCTGTAATTCGGCAAAGCTCTGTCGAACAAATGGCTTGCATTTTCACAAATAATTAAAAAGTTCTTGTGGGCTCAAATTAGATGTTTTAGGGTGAGAGCCATTTTTGCCAAACTTTTACTCGTTAATTAGACGCTTTGAACCGTCCAATAAAAAAGGGAGTTACGCTAGGTAAATATATGGATAGTTGACACATATTCTTAATTGTTAATTCACTGTTTAGTAAAGCTTCGTACGATAAATAAATACTTTAAATTAAATTTTTGTTGGTTTTGAATCGGATTTTTTAACACAAAAACCACCTTATCCGATTGTGATAAACTTCAGTTGCACTTCGTTACCGAACATTTAAACCGAGATCTATGTTTGATAATAATAGTGGTAATTCACTGTTGTTATTATTACGTTTAATTTTTAATTTAGTGCAGTCTGGTAAAAAAGCTTCGTCCGAATAAGTCCCAGAAATTTTCCAAAATTATTAAAAAGGTTTGAAACAAACGTTATTAACAGAAAAAGGATTGTTTTAAATTCCGATTGATGGTTATGATTCGACGATTGGGTATGCTACCATTGTCAAATTTTAACGATTTGGCTTCAACTTTAGACACAATCACTTAATATTTTGGATGGGGTCTTGAAAATTTCATTGTTTCACCCGAAATTGGACCTTTACGATATTTTCAAAAGGCAAT